CCACCGCAGGTACAACTACAATTACAGCTACAGTACGTTACACTACAAAACACTAATTAAACTGCAGCACATTACAGCTAGAAATGCAAATACAACTACAACTACACTACGTTACACAACGCTACACTACACTAATTAAATTGCATTACAGTATGTCACATTACATTACATTACATTACATAACATTACATAACATTACAACTGCAACTGCAACTACCACTACATTGCATTACACGACACTACACAACAACTACAACTACACTACTTTAGACTACAATACACTAGGCTACACTGCACTATACCACGCTACAGTACACAACACTACAGTACACTACAATACACTACACTAATTACACCACACCACGACTACAACTGCAACTGCACTACACTAATTACACTACATTACAACTACAACTCACAACTACAACTCCACTACTCTACAACTACAACTACAACTACACCTACAACTACAACTGCACTACACCACACTAAATCCAGCAGTTGTGGTGAGGTGACCACTGCAACCATTGCAACCACTCCAGAAAACACAACTCCAACCACCTTTCGGTCCATCAGTGGATTCGCTCTGCCATCCGTGATTCACCACAACCAACCTCTCCTATAGGTTTCCTATTTTTGAAACTTCTGCCATACTACTGGTATATATATATATATAAAATTCCCCTCCTAATATTGAATAAGCCACCATCTGGGCTCCCCAAATCCCGTCAAATATCGCACAATGAACAGATCCAATACTAAAACATTTCGGTTTCAAAGTGGTTATCTAAACATATTTCCACTGGATTTTCCAGGGTTTTCAGGATTGCTCATCCCCCGCTGCACACCTGGGAGAATGGACACGCATGCCTTCATGTGCCTGTAAAATGTGCAGCAAGTGTGTCTTCAGCATCTCGAAATCACTGGTGATGGTACCCGACATGGTGCACGCGAAGCTGGTCACCTGGTCCCTGGTGCCTCCCTTGAACAAGATACAGCTGCTGGGTGAAACGTGTCACGGCTAATGAGTGGAAGGCAGAAACACCTAAACTTAAACAACTTTTGTTGAATATCAATCATTGATCGCATACAGACATGTCACCAAGAGAATTTGGAACTATGGGACGGCTGAAAGCGTGCAGCAAGCCTCGATCACGATGTGCTTCAACTGCGGAAGTAACTGTCGCTCCCAGTAGTCCTGGGGGCCACATGTCTGGATGTGTGAGGCACAGCCAAATCAAAAGGGAAAAACTATGGATGCACAAACAAGAAACAATGACCCTTATGTATCCTTGTGTGATTTACTAGCCCTTAATAACACTTAGCTGAAAAACAACAGTGTGACAAAGACGAACTTGCTACAAGGCCAACTGAACACAAAACTCCACGAGATATTCTCTACCATGATCCATGACCCATAAAGATTCAACGAAACACCACTTTGACAGTCGCTGTGTACATAGAATAGTGCGGGCATGTTTTGATTCATCAAATCCGAGCATCTTACGATGATGGCCACTTTTCGCATCACTAGAGTTATCAATCGCTTAAATGGGACTACAAATTGTCATAGTGGTTTTCAACCAATTAAATGTGCATGTCTACCAGCTGGTTTGTCTATACAACTTAATCGGTCATGGCCAACCTTAGACAGCCTGCAAAATGATGTATGTATATATATAGATTATGGTTGGTCTATCTGCATATAATATGTTACAATATGTTACAGAGTTTATATCCCCGTTATTCCTCCATTATATCTATCCATCCAGCCATTCCCCTAGTGACTACCACAGGTGCCTGCAGGCCCGTCAGGGCTTCTAACTCCTCTCTGAAGTCCTGATGCGGTGAGCTAAATCGCAGGGCAAAAATCGCAACTTGTTGGTGAACATAACTCCAATTTCACTTGGGTTTATAGTATATATAACTATAAACTTAATGGGGCTTGTAAACCCACTTATGACTGGGTCCATTTATAGAAACTTTATGTGGCTGTAGCTCAAAATTTCAAAAATGTAAGGCTCGGATGCATAATTACCCATGATCCATGCATCTATCCTTGATCCCTACCTAAAAAGGACAAGTTGCAGTTATACCAGGCCACTTTGGTTGCGAACGGTTGCGGACGGCGGCGCAACGTCTAGCGAACACACCCTCAACCCCCAACTCCCCAGAGTGAAACGGGAACCCTTGCTACGCATTCGGGAAAAAACAGTCTATCTGGAAGTTCATCCCTTCAACTATAGAAATGCCGGAGGTTTTGACCCATCCCGGTATACCATCTCTCAATGATAATGGCATATGGCTGGCTGAGACATTCTCCATGCTGAGAAAACTCATGGCGTCACAATACAGGAGGTTTTGTCCAGTACCAGGCTAGGTTACCACAGGGTATATATATATATATATGTATATATATATATATACACATACAATTATATACAGTGTATCCATGTTGATCCCCTTCAACTGCTACACAAAAACCCCAGAGGCATTCAATCCAATTCTGATAGTTCCTCTGCCAACGTAACTTATGCATCATTATGCATACTTATGAAAGGTCCCACCAAGCACTGCTCCACAACTATTTCAATCAAGGTTTAACTATAAAGGACCCAAGTCTAGTTGGTAACTGCACCAACAAATCGCCAACAGTTGCACGTGCCTCGCCTTCCCATAAAGATCGAAAACACATGAAAAAATCAAAGAAGTGAACAAGTGAGAAAAATCAGAACTCTTTGCCATTCCGTTTACACAGGTTTGTTCATAGAGATTCCAAGAATGGATTCTAGAAACATCCACTATGTTGGGTAGTGTCAGGGTAGGTCGCAGCCACTGCTCAAGGAAATGAACAAGTAGCATTGTATGACCAAGCGAGGCATGGAAAGCACATCTTTTTCCCATCTCCGTGAAATACTGCTTGGTTGGCAAATAGTTTCCTATTATGGCTTAGTTCATCCTTCATAATCTCCAATAAACCAGTCAGTATAACCCCCTATATGAAGCCATCAGAGGTATTTCGAATGGCACAACTCGTAGCAAGTGCTCAGTGGTCCTGCAGAGACACCACAGCACCTTCCACCACATTCTTTCCATGCCTCAGAGCTCGCGCCACAGCTGATCTCAATTGATTCTGTATTGAATCCCTATAGGGGAAAAATGGGAAACATGAGACGTTGGATAATAATAGGTAGGGTTTAGGGCAAAGTTTAGGGAAGATGATATTGATATATAGAAAGATAGGTTGTAGATAGACATTTTTTCTGATAATGATAGATAGGTAGATGATGGTAGATGGATAGATAAATAAATATATAAGACGTCGGCCAGTGAAGTTGTTGCAATTCACCCCGAAAAATTGGAATTGGAATCAAAGTCAGCAAATTGACATTCAGAATGGTTCATGATTGGTAAAGATGTAACCACTCACTATCATCTATTTACTATTAACCACTATTAACCTACTCATTATTGACCATGAGTTTTTTTTGTTTTAAGCATATTTTTGGACCATCAGTAACCATCACCACTTTTCTGAAGCTTCAGTGGTTTTCTGGGTCAATGGGCTGATTTGGTGCTTGGAGGCCAACGACATCAGTTGGAAACACGGCACCGGTTTCTGAATGGCGTTTTTTAATGGCGAATTGCGAACATAATGTGTTTCGGGGTGCGAATTTTTCATTGCAAACCATATTTGTTGGTGTGAATTTTGATTACCACAATTTTCAAAGAACTAACTTGGTGGAGTCCCATTTTTGAAGTCGGGGAAGTGCTCACCCTTAGTAGCGCGTCATCGGAAAAACGACTCTGCTGAGGTGCTTGTTCACCTGCCAATTGGAGATGTGTCGCTCGCGATCCCGAAGGTCCCCAAGATCGTACATCCCATTGCAAAGCCGCAAGTAGCCTCGAAGCCAGGCTGGTGCGGCTGGTGACATGCCTGACCACTGACCCTACAAATTTTACTGCCCCTAAAATGATGAAACAGCGGATTCAAGGAATATTCCACCAGGGTGAACCTGGTGGTTTTCATTTTCGGAAGGGAAGAATTAGAGACTACTTGCATGGCTTCGCGATGTTTCGTAAAATATACAGATGGCAAGCTGCAGGCACTGCAGGCACAGCACGAAATCGATATGTCTGCATCATATCACATCTATCACAAAACCAGTCAAACATGGTTTGCAAGCCCCAAATCCCACAAATCCCATGGTCTGTTTGATGAATCATACCCCACTTGAACACAACATGAGACAACTGTCCTCATAGCAAGTTGTGGCAAGATGCATTCACTAAAGAGGAACACTTTCAACGGCTGAACAGACCTTGGTTGCGGTGGATGCTGAAGCAGTTTCCGATGGCTTCTCTGCATCTGTGCTGATCATTTCTTTGAAAAGAAAACATGTCATGTTGTCATGAGTCAACACCAATCCAAATCCGTCAATGTATCATCAACATCTTCAAAAACAACCAACTGCACCAAGAAGCCTCACTAGAACCCATTGTCGGATGTCAAATTTCCTGCCGCTGAAGAGAAGCAGTGGTCGCTCCACATATTTCTGACAAATGCGATTGGGCATGCGATCCACGTGCTGCCTCAGTCCCATCGTAGCCATCAGATCATGGCATTGCATGACGCTCATAACGTATGTATACATATATCATATATAATTATATATAAGATAAGCAAGCTGTATGTATATATATATATATAATTAATACGGATGTGATATTCACAAAAAAAGAACGCATACAGTCATATACATGATGTATGTATGTATGAGTGTATGTGTATGTATGCATGCGTGTATGTATGCATGCGTGTATGTATGCATGCATGAAGGATCATGAAGGTATGTGTATGCGTAGGTGTATTGTGTATTATGTGTAATGTATGATGTACATTGTGTATATGTACAAGATTGTGTAAGCACATCTATAGGTATATGTTCATGATTCTTCATGCATACGTGGTGTATGTATGCATATGTATATATACTTATATTAAACAGAGAAGTCTGAAGCAATCCATAATCCGAATATGCGTCTCATTTTTCCAAGGCGGTTGATGGGACACAAACTCACAACACTTTGGAATGCGTGCATTCCAATAGCTAGATTAAGGATGATTAAGGAATGTCCATGCTCAATTCCTTTAGATTCTGAGAATGTCCGGTATTTCTTTGGGTGAAAACTGCGCAGCTGATTCGACCAGGTTGCAAAAGCTCAGTGAGTTTGCTGAAACATTCCTCAGCGATGCTTCGACATGCTTCGACCCCTCGAGTGCGGTAGATGAAACATCTGCTTGATGAGCAAGAGATCAGCCAGGTAGAGTACCCTCTGGTAATTTGTTACATAGCTATGGAAAATCATCATGATTAATGGGAAAATCCACTATAAATGGTCATTTTCCATAGCTATGTTAAATTACCAGAGGGTAATTAAAGTTTTGCAAGCCGCAGGAGTAAAGATGAGTAAAGTGTGAAGTGAAATCCAGTGACCAAAAAATACGAAGAAACACACTGCAGCCGAATCTCCATCTCATGTCTCATTTTTTCTCCTCTCGCAATCAAAAATCGCAAAAAAAACAAGACAAATCAATTGTTGAACTTCACTTCTTCGAAAAGAAACTAGGGATTTCCAGCCATGTTAGAAGTCACCACAACCTTTCAGGATTGCCGAGATTCAATGCCACTTCCTTTTGAGTTGCTTCCCGGCTTCACGATCCACACATTTTGGCCCAACCAGCCGCCATGTAGGGACCATTGCGGGAACAACGATTCCAGCCTTTTGCCAGGGCGACCAGGACTACCTTAAATCCCATCCTGATCTTCAACACGCTCCAGAAACCATAGTTTAGTAATGTTTTTTCCGGGCATTTCCACCCAAAAAATAAGGGACCATTTAGGTGATGTTTTTTTTTTATGAATGCGGGATGGGATGAAAAATGATCTCCCAGCAGCTAGGAACATGTTGGGATGCCTATGGATGGCATGAAAATCTGTGGTCGCTGATGCGAGGGTGGTACAAATAGGTATCAGAATCTACGTAGTATAGAAACAACCAGTATCATATTATATAGGTATCATATTGAATCTATGGATAATTGAGGTATCATATTATCCAGTTGCAAATTCTCAAGGCTGTCAAAACCGCGAAGAGAGTCTAGAAATAATCTGCCAGAGGGGCCACCCCACTTCCAGTTGATGTCCCTCATTTATCATTGGACACCAGTTCATTAGAAGAAAAAACATGTGGACACACATGCTAGATTTTCCACTAGCATGTGCGTTTGTCTGGAAATTGGTTACCCCCAAAATCCATGGCTTATCATCACGTTCTCTATTTTCTCCAATGGCCGTTTTGGGTTAAACATCTTTGGCCAAACCCAATAAGACATACCTCCGGTTCTATGCATCCCATGATAAATCTCATCACTGTTTCCATCCAGATCATTTTCTACCTATAGGATCCTATAGGATAACCAATAACCTATAGGTATCCATAATTTTCCCATGATTTTCAATTCCCGGTCCCCCGGTCCCGGTGACGCTCAACGTGCCTCGTCAGCACTGTTTCAAGGCTCTCGCTCTCTCCCGGCCCCCAGCGATGGCTGAGGAATTCCGGCCAGCGCTTCAGTGGGAGAGCGGCCTGACAACGCGGCCCCAGGTGGTGCGGAAAAGTCAAGGAAAATGGCCAACATGTGGAAAGAGTGTTTTTTTTGTAGATAAACCCACTATATAAAATTTGAAGCATGAAATATAATATGTGTTAGATAATCTGAAATATGTTCCGTCAAAGTATCCTCAAATGGATAATCCCATTATTTGGGAACAATATAAGTGTGTTTGATAATCTGAAATATGTTCCGTCAAAGTATCTTCAAATGGATGATTCCATTTCGGAACAATATATGTGTTAGATAATCTGAAATATATTCCAAAAGATCTTCAAATGGATAATCCGAATCCCATTATTTGGGGACACTATATATATATGTGTGTGTTGGATAATCTGAAATATGTTCCATCAACATATCTTCAAATGGAAAATCCCATTATATGGGAATATTTCGCAACCAATATCAATGATCCTGAAGGATGGTGGTATGACCATGTCATGTGACCATATGGTATGACATGGTATGACCCTGGTTTTGACATGGTGAATGGATGTAGTTTTGTGATGTTTTTTCTATGGTTTCTATGTTCAAAACAATGAAAAAGCAACCATACTATTCTCCATGGTTCCTGGTTTTGGATGGTCTTGAAGCTTTGTGTTTCTCCAGTTGGTGTAAAATCGGGTATACCAGGTATACCATCAAAACCAACCAACCAACCATTTACATTTTCTGATAAATCTAAACTTGCGATTCCAAACAACGAAAATCAACAGGGAAGCCAGGGTTTTTGCCAAATAGAATGGGAGTCTCGGAGCCAGTTTTTTCCAAACCCTTCAGCTCCAGGAATTTGGATCACGGGCGGAATGTCCAGCAAAATATGGGAAAACGTAAGGAAACGTCAAATGAGGAAACTGGTGATGTTGCCTGAAATAAGGTTTCTATCATATTTCTATCTATCTTTTTTTGTGGTTATCGTTCAACAGAAGGGGTACCTACGGACCAACAAATCGCTGGTGCAATGGCAGGTGATTCTCAGGTGCCGAAACCATTGTTGATTAGGGGATGAAACCACATATTTGCGACCAAAGAATTGGGGGTGTTTAATAAGAACGGGAGATGGGATTAATGGGATTATAACCAGAACATCAATTCTAGTACTATGATGGGATGAAAATTACTACAATATCCGTCATCGATTATGATCCAAAACATCAATGTATGGAATGTTGCCGGAAACAGCCCCAAAAAACACCCATTAGTGTAGGCAAATATACCAGCACAATGGGCGGCTAGTGGAGATTCTCGCCATCAAATATGTCCATCATTCACTGCTAGTTGGTCCATAAGAGTCTCATCATCGACAGCTCATCCAACCAACCAACCATGCGTGGAAATCCATGTGCTGACTGATGGTAGATTGTGTTTCATAGGATTTCCATATGGATTCCCTATGATAGTAAAACCATTAATTATCCATGGATTATCTATTAATAGATCTATTAATGAACCATGGATTCATCTATTAATGATAATTTTACTGATATTGGATCTTGATAATCCTCCATGGATTCCATGATTCATCGATAGTAAAACCCAACAGAAACCAATCATCAACCAACAGGGCTGTGAGTTCACCAACCAAGTTAAGTGTTCGTGGCTGGATGAATGGATGGCCATGATTTGAAAAATGATTTCCCCATGATATTTTACCATTATATATATATGTTCCATTGATGTTCAAATGATTTCCAATGATATTCCCATATTCCCAATATTTTCCCATTATAAATTATTTTCCCATGCTTTTCCGTCAATTTTCCAGTGATTTTCCCTTTATTTCCCCTTGATGTTCCTTTGATGTTCCATTGCTTTCCGACATCTTTTCCCATGACCAAACTCTCTCGCTTCGTGGAAATGCCTCGGCTCGGGTCTCGCGGGGTCGCTTGCGCTCGGCCGTGCCCTGGAGCAGCTCGGACTGGGCCAAGCTGCTGTAGAGAGTCAGCGCATCCCAGGACTCCTGGCGGCAAAAACGATGGGCAAATGAAAATCCATGGCTAATGATGGCCATACATGCCATGAAAATATCCACTAATGCCATGGTTAATGATGGTTAGTTACCAATGGCTAATGAAGTCTATGTTGGCTAATTACAATTCCAGTATGCCAAGTATAGAAACATGAAGTATGAGAATGCACAATCATTCCGTTAATTATATGATGAACATATTAAGATATATTAAGTATGGAACATTTCCAGTAAGGGCATTGATATGATAACATAACAATAACATAACTAATATGATGGGCACATGATGTTTAGTATTACTCATCCTTTCCTCCGTTCATACTAAGCACCCCCCAGAAATCATGGTTTAGTAGGGGATGAAACCACATATTTTGGGACTTAGGGGTGCTTAGTATATCTTAGTATTAGGAGGATGCCATTGAACACATCCAAACACCATTATATATTATATTGTTCAGCTAAATGTCGGAAAATGATTCATAAGTCTTCTTGCAAAAGATGTTGGATCCAACATTTCGCAGCTTTGCTGATAAATTGCACGTGTCGAGTTCTATGGAGTTCTTATATGAGTGGGTGCAGCACATTACACGTACTTTAAAAGCAATGAAACCAAGTGTCATGCAAAATGCTATGAAGCAAGTTAGAAGAGACGATGAAATATCGTTGCCCCTTCCGAAAGACTTGCCGCATGCCATGATATCCCAGGCACAACTTGATGTTGAAGAATAGTGAGGCGGCCCATGAGGGTTCCAACTCATGCCCAAATACCCCTCACTTCAGGATCGTTGTCCCATATCTGGTAGGGTATAGCAGACAATTCTTATCAATTCTTAGACAACAACAGCTCCTGTTATCATTACATCCCCATCATATCCCATATCGTGTCTCCACATCACTCCACATCCCTGGTGGAACACCTTCAGCACAGCGAACATCGAACTCACCAAACCACGTTTCCCGCCTCGGAGAGAGGGGACGGGCGACCGGTGCTCTCCTCGTCCAAATGCTTCGGGTCCAAGTCGCACAGCCAACGCTGAAGCACCAAGTGACACGCCTCCAAGATCGTCTCATTACACCTGCGATGTGAAGCTACACAGCTACAACAAAAACATATGTGAGTGAAACAATATGTAAGATCTTTGCAGGATGTAGTATACATGTGGGTTTTGTACATGAGTGTTATGCTCATACATCTCTCACACCGAAAGTAGCACTGAACAATTCTTTCTTGTTTTGGATCTGTTCCAACACAGTCCTTAAAGGATAAAGTCGGGATACTCGTCCCAGGTCGAATCAATTTTGCAGTCACCAAGCAGCTAGGATAGGCTATAATAGGCTATACTATACACCATTTTTTCCCACATGGAAACATAATGAAGTTAAACATATCAAACAATATCAAATAGTTATGTCAATCCCCCATGTTCCCCCATGGCTTAAAATCCCCCAAACTTCAGCCCTGGCACATATAGGACGATGATAACCCTTCCTGCTGATCTCGTCTCATTCTTCGGTGCAACAGCGCAACGCGCAGGGCACTCGACCGTCTGAAGTCCAAAATGAAGTCATCACGCTCGCTCTTTTGAGCCGTATCATAACCTCAATCTCTCAAGACAAGGCCGTTGGATGTTGGATGGTCTACAGATTGGACATGATGGTGGATTAGCACATCCTGGATGCCCCGAAAAAAAAAATCGATCGAACTTTGGATCCATGGAATCGCTGGGTTGATTTGAGGGAAATCTTTGGGACATCTATGGTGAAACAATTGAGACTTTGGGCGAAACAGTGCAGACTTTCCAATGCCCGAATGCAAATAGCCAAAGCATGCCAAAACCCTCTAGCCTATAACCCTATGCTGGTATATGTATACTATGTTTATGTATATATATATACATATGTACGTATATGTATATGTATATATATATGTGTATATATATATATACATATATATACATATATATATATATACGTATATGTATATATATATATACACTGTCAACTGCGGGTTAATAATTTAAATTCTGCATGGTTGAGTACTGAGGATTGATTGTGGGTGATCATGACCAAACAGTGTTGTTGATCTGTTTCTATAAAATGGTACCGATACTGGCACCCCCCAATTAAACAGCCCAGGGGGTTGTTGATTCAGGGTTGACATGCTGACATTACTCATTCATGATTCATGAATGACTTTTCATTGATTTGTTCGCAAGATTCTATACAAACCCCGCGGGCCTTATCATTATTGGATGGTTTGCGTTCCGACATAAGCAGCATTGGTCCACATGGCTCTGGGAAGCTTCAAGTTTGACCCCCCACCCAAACCATCACAACTCTATCTTGTCCAAGGTGGAATCATAAAATAGATTGGCTCCTGGAATTTATTGATGATCAAAGAGCAGCCCTTAAAACGAGGGACATCTAGGGAAAAATGTATCAGCATTGATGCCAGACGAAGTGGAATACTCCTTCAGACTCTGTGCAAGACCAGCCTTGGTGGTAAGCACACGATTTTGCTGGAAATGATTGAAGTACTCTCCACGCAGTTGTCGGTAGTCAGCCTCTGAATCCACTGTCTTCCAAACTAATGTGGGTTTGCCCGGAACCAGCAACCGCTGGCTACTGCTGGCGATATGCTCTTCCAGACTTCCTAGGCTGGGTGGCTGCTGTGTGATGCATGGGTTAAACATCGGGACACAAGCAGGTTTATTGGTATATCAACGATCAACAACCTTTGAGAACATAACACAGTACCTAAGCATACCTAAGCAAAAATGAATACTATAATGATACTACAGGGGAAAAATCCTCAGGACTACTGTATCCAATGACACAATCACATACAATCACTACATAAAATTTGAGTCTCTTTTTTGCACCTGAGACCTGACTAGCAAAGCCCAAGCTTCTCGGCTGCTTGTGCATGGCCGGCAGCACTTGTGGGGACAGTTGCGACGCCGAGGTCGGCCCTGTCCTTTCCGCCCGTTCTGCACGGTCCGTAGTCTCAGTGCCCGGCTGAACTGGTGGTTGCATCAAGGCATTAGTTTTGAATGGCTTAGCCATGTGCAAATTCTTCTGCGACCGTTGCCTGGAGGACTTGGGGGGTGGCAAGGTCAGCTGCCCCTGTGCCTTCAACTTCAGCTCTGAAGCCGTCTGTGCCCCATTGGGGCCTCGGCCCGACATCCGCGGCAGCGGCTCATCGTTGCGGCGTCCTGCTGAGCTGGGCCGGCGCGGCCGCTCAGGGGTGCTAGGCATGGCGGTGCGGGCGCTGGCCGGGGCGGGGGGACGGACTTCGGCATCCCGCAAGCTGAGGGATAGCGAGGGAGGCTTCGGACGAAGCAACCGTGGAGCTGAGATCTTGGCGGCAAAAGGTGCAGGGGACCAACCGTAGCCAAGAGCACTGGAGTCCGTTGCACCAGTCTGGAGATCTTCTGAAAATCTCTTCAAGCCTTGGAGCAAAACATCATACATCTCGTCGGTGGGTGGTAGGACATAAGATACTTCCGACATTGCTGCAGGACGCCCGCACACGGCGCACGAAGCGAAGTCTTTTGGCACAAAAAGTTCAACATAGTTCAACAAATCTCTGTCTTGCACTGCATCCTGCATAAGTTTGAAGTATGTCCATCTTCAGCAGTAGACTTTCCAAATTTAGCTTTTAAACTTTTACTACTAATCGTAGACTCCCATGGTCTGCTTCCTACCTCTGCTTGGTCGATTGCTGAGACCTGAAATAAGTCAACAGGCGGTAGCTCGAGGATAGGAAGGCCTATCTTTCAGCCCTCCCTCGAGCTCTTTCTGACCCGGAACATCGAAGGTGTCATCTGTGCGGCTGGTTCAGTCAGTTGTTCCATGCGGCTGCCGCAGAAGCCTTCTGTTTAGAATCCTACACTGCAACAAGTTCTGACCTTCATCCTATAGCTACACCACTTCGTGTGAAATCACCATAGTAGCCCACTGACCACCGAAGCACCTCAAAGTTCGCAGAAAGCACAGATCTCCCTTGAGATCACACGAGACGTTTTTGTTGTCTAGGCAAACAAATGAAAACCGCCCATGGAGACATGTGTATGTTGACTGCAGCATATATCCAGCGAGTGCCCCGGAATCGAAGGCCAGTGGTGCTACTTTCGCTGGTGGCAGATGTGGCGGTCTGAACCTCAGTTGTTCCATGTTGTTCCGCAAGTGCCGAGGGAAAGTTAGTGGTTCACAACAGTTTCAATCAGCTTCAAAACATGACTTTCAACAGGAAATAACAATATATAGATAGATAGATGATAGATTCCTATAGAATGATATAACAAAATATGCATTGTATCATACATCATGCTCCACTGTCAGGTTTGATTGAACATGTGTCTCCACACACAAAAAAGTACAATCAATAGTCATCCACATATCAAAGTGCCTTAAACGGGATGGAACATCACTAGAATTCACAACCAAGGAGCATTTGAGCTGTTACAAGTTTTTGGGCAGGTAAACCGTGCTAATTATTGGTCGATATTTCCATTTTGGCTGGTTAAAGCCGTAATACCCAACCAAAATTTGAAACCACACCAATCAGTTTTAAGTTGGTTAAACATGGTTAAACCGCATCTCCTTTCTATGTTGTGTCTCTCTGCTGATTTGTTGGTTGTGCTGCCATGAAGAGATCCCTTCAGGGATCTACCTGACAGATCCTGACAGCATCCTGGCATCCTGGCGGTCTCAGCCTGCGGATCTTCGCTAACCGTGGAGTTGCTTTGAGCCACTGGAGGTGTGCAAACCTCAGTGGGTGCGTTGGTGCATTGGTGGCCTGCCTCCTTGCCAACCCAATCTATGGAATATGTGTGGCAACATGGAAAACCCCACAATGGCCACAATGGCACAATGGCCAATTCACATAGATACCATACTCATGGAGCAGTTGGTTGAAATGACGCGAGTAATGGACTTTGGACAAAATCATTGAAAACGCTTCTTGCGATCAGATCAACAATCAAATATGATTTTGAGCAAACCATTCCTAAAAGGTTGGAAGTCAACACGTATGGGAGGAACCTGGATTGTGTCAGGCTTGAAATGGTGGATATGAAAGACTTTGGCCAGTAATTTGAGATGCGGAACTTGAACAACAGTCGGTACCAAGGTATTTGGGTTTGTCGAAAAAGACAAGAATGTTATTGGATGATAACAAATGAATCAATTGATTAAATGATATGTGTTAGTTGATGGAATCTGTATAGAACTAGTAGTATTAATCTATAATGGTCATTGGAACCTCATGTTCCCATGGCAATTTTTGGCAGGTCGGGGTCAATCCCAGCCTCGTGTTCCTCATGCTTTGAGGTGTGGTCATCCTTGGCCATGAAACATGGGGATTCCATGGGATTCACTGAGGAAACCATGCAGATTTAAAATATCAATGGCAATTTCAGGAACCTAAAATGGAGGTACCTACCATATATAAGGCCAAGATAAGGCCTATGTAAGGGAATATCCCCACAAAATATGGCCTTATATGGTACAGTACCTCCATTTTAGGATCCTGGAATTCCCATTGATAATAATAATATATATATATATAACTGGTTGGTGGTATACCTACCCCTCTGAAAAGTATGAAAGTCAGCTGGGATGATGAAATTCCCAATATATGGACATATTTCAAAATGGTCCAAACCACCAGATAACCAACCAAAATGGAGATAGAGTCAGAGAGTTATTCGCCAAGGAAAAAATCACTTATATAAATCAAACAAATCATAGGTAAATCATCGAGCTAAATGGGCAATTTACCACCGGGATCCCCCTGAAAACAAGACTCCCCCATTTGACAAACAGGTACCCAGCTTCGACAAACATGTGCACTCTATACAATCAGGATAATTTTATCATAGTTAAAAAAACATGTCACTAATTAAAGAAACATAATTAAAAAACATGTCTATACAATCACTAATTAAAAAAAAACACATGTTCCACAAGCATACAAATGCCCTTAAAATCTTGAAAACTCTATAAAAAAATGATGGACCTGAGTTACTGCGGAGCAGTTTTTTCCCCGTAAAACTACCCACCTAGTCTTTTATAAAATCCAGCTCTCCAAAATGGGATTTCTAAGAAGTCCTGTTAAACAATTGGACCCTTAATATTACCTAAGCTGTTTGCGATTTTATAGTTGGGCTAGTTGAAAAAGGTGTTAATACAAACTGGACCTAGGTCCTTGATTGTATACAGATGCTTTTTTGGGCATGGTCCAAAGGGTATAAACCACCAGTCCGGGTTTATTGTTCAAAAACGTTATAACTGGGTTATCACTGAGTGATTCACCACTTGTTAATTAATTACGATGAAGGCATCTGGATACAGTATGATACAGTCATAGTCATACCGGTCATTTAACATAGCTACATAGCAACGGTTAAAATGGCCCGTTTAGTTCGATGAATTGCCAGTTCAAAAAATGGTGATGTTCCATATGTTAAGTTACAAGAGGGTAACTAATTAGTAGCGAATCCCATGCCAGCTCGAAGAACTCTTTCCCTGCTAAGTCTACTGAGAAGAGTGGATTTCAATGATTTCATAGGCATCGGCATGGGTCAAAATCAGACATTTGTGGAGGGTCAGCATTCAGAACGATCAAAATCATTAGACAGTGGTGTGTTGAATCTAACTCCTTGAATACATGTCACCCGGTTACACTCCCATCCCTCAGCCGCTTCCTGTGTGGCATGTTGTTCTTCTGGCTCAGCTTGACTGCACCTTTGTCTGAAACCAGAGGATTGGGAATTTCGCCAAGGGAAAAGGAAGACAAATGAACCACTAGCTTCACCATCCACATCATCCCGGAATGAAGTGAACATTTGCACGAAAACCACATGTTTTATGCTTCAGAAAAGCATTCGAAAACAAGGACATCTTATTAATGTGTATTAAATATTTATAACTATTCCACTTTTCCATGGGTTTTCATATGTTTTCATGGTAAACACCCAATATTTCCATAGCTTTCCTGTAACACCACCGTTTAAACGGTGGACGTTCCTCTCGCGGCCCGGACATCAGCGACATCTTCGGCTCCATCGGCTCCGGCTCCTGGTTCCATCCCAAATTGGTGGATTTCGCAACGATCCACAGTATGTAATATTGGGAAATATAGATATATACCATCTGGTTATGACTAACATAGCCATGGAAAATCCCTTGTAAATGGAGGTTTCTAGCTGGGAACATCAACTATAAATGGGCCAATTTACAGGAAAACCCCATATTTAATGGGAACATCTATGGTTTCCGGTTAAGATTTTTCCTTAAACCAATCCATTGAATATTGGGAAAAAAAATATATATATATGGGATTGTGGATGATTGTTGGATTTATTGGTTTATTTTTTTGGGTAATAATATACGTAATAATTACTAAGAATCCCAATAATTCCTTAGATAATCTATTGGGATTTATTGGGTCATAATCCCAATAATTCATAATGATTCCTGGTAATAATATGTTAAAAATCCATTAATTCCAGAAAGATTATAGATAGTCTTATGGATTATGTATGAGATTATGTAAGGATACGGCTGCTGATGATATATGGTTATATCAGGCTGCGTAAGATTGTGTAAGGGTGTACAGTCCATTTTTCCGTGGTGAATCTTAGATACCGGCCAGAATTTATCTAAGGTTTAGCTGGTGAATGTACATGTTATCATTGATAGCAAAAGATTAAAGTACTAAAGTATCCCAACCCTGATCCAGTAGTGTGATTTTGGGGAATGTCACAGTGCCTTTATGGTATGTGATATCCCATTATAGTGTGACAACTATCATACTACATTATATAAGTGAAACCCACTAATAAACAATCCCCGAATGGTAGGATTATTATTGGGTTGCCCACATTATATTAATACATCATGAAATAATGCGTACACACATATATATATATGCTGATGAGAATCTATATATATATTATGCCTGATACAACAGATTGCTGTGTATACAATATATATATATATACACTTATACATACACACATATATGTGTATTGTCTATGTGCAGATGCTCCACGACCAACAAAGATGGTATTTCTTAACCGTTAGCTATTGGTTGTGCCACCTCCCAGAAACAATGGTGGATGTAGGGGATGAAACCACATCTTTGGGACTACCCTCTGGTAATTTAACATAGCTATGGAAAATGGCCGTTTATAGTGGATTTTCCCATTAAAAATGGTGATTTTCCATAGCTATGTTAGTTTACCGGAGGGTATGTATGGGGTGTCTTTTATGGGGATGGGATTCGCCAATTCAGATCACATGCCTTTTGGCTGGAGGCTACTTTCGGTGAGATCCAAAACACCCTAAAACCACATACCCCGCTAAATTTGGGCTCATCTGAAAAGAAGCTACCCAAAATCAGCTGGTTGATCATCATTTTATTCACTTCACAGCACGCAAATTTGGGATAAATGTGGTACCAAATCATCCATTTTCGTAGGATTGTCCATTAAAACCATCCACTTGGGGGTACCCTTTTTCAGGAAACTCCCCATATTCCCCACTCTGTTTTAGACAAACCCAAATCGGCACTTTGGGACAAACTCCTTGGCCTCCGGCACAGAGACGGCCTGCCACGTGAACAGCGAAGTTTGGCTGGTGTCAGTATAGTCAGTATAGTCAGTATAAACTTAAAATCCTAGAAACAATGATGTCATATATGACCATATCATATTATCTTTAACAATACTGTCATATAACATTTAACTAGAATGGTATATTATATATATATTATATATATATATATTATATATATTATATTATATTATATTACTATCTTCTTCTATGCAGAAAAAAAAACATACATTCCCCCCCCGGGTCGCCTCATCGGTCGCACCTGACAACGGTTAGCAGCCAGCTTAGCAGCCAGAAATCATATGGAAAAAGTCAGCCTGTCCGGAATTGAGCACTTCGTATTTTACATCGTATTTTGCTAGGCATTTCATCATTTATATGTTTCATTATGTTTCTATCCTTTTTGGACGGAGTTGGAGGGTTGGATTCTTCATGTCGTCCGGCAAGTGGCTGGTTAGCTAAAAAATGGTTCCCAAAATCGGCTTCGTTTTCCAGTAGCTCCAACATTTTCCAGGCCTCATGAAGGATTACCCCCAATACTTCCGTCAGTATTGGGACTGGTTCAAAAACCCGCCGAGTTGGCTGTTTGAAATCCTAGATCACCATGAGTGCCAGTCAAATCCCATCGTTTTGCTGCTTGAGACATGTCAATGTTAATATATCTGTGATCGGTTCCATTTGTGTTGGGTTTAGGTACGTATACACTGTTATATCCTAATATCCCCATGATATCCTCATTAAAGTTCATTAATGCCATCAAATTTCTCTTGTTGATGGTTTATCAATGTTTATCCAACATTTTGTTTAAAGTGTCCCGAAGGCTGTGCCACTGATGGCCTTCCGCACCGAGGCAAGCGCTGTGGGACTCCACTGGAGCAGCACCTGACACGGTGACGCCCGGGGATCCCACATGACTTAAGAAACCCTCACTAATAAAGTCCGGTAGTACAAACTCAGGCCTCACCACCATGTGTGGGTGTTTATGAAGTTTTGTGCCATCTTGTGCTAGTGAAAATATCCATGAATTATGATTGAAGATATATCCCAACATGCCAAAAAGAATCTGCCATCCAACTTAGCATCAGTCCATGAAATTGAACATCAATTCTCAGAGGTCACACAAACTATGCGTGCAATGGACAATCATTCCTGGCTTTAAAAGTGATAATATATATATATAGATAAGCCCGTACGTCACAGAAACTGACCATGAAATTAACCACCAATCATGGATATATATATATATATACAATCGCACATGCCCATTAACATAATTTGCCATCGGTTGTGGGTGCACCATGATACAACCGCCATGAGTCACAGAATCTCACCATTCAACTAATTAACTGTCAATCATGGATATAAAACCATACAAGCCCCAAAAGTCACGGAATCTAACCATACAACTAAGCGTCCATCATGGATATTAGCCCAGCTTTGCAACCCAACAGCGAAAGGTTCCAGCAAGGTTCCAGGACTGTTCTGGTTTTTCGGGGCGTGCATTTTCGTGTGAGCAGTCCCCGGCCCCAGAGATTGAAACCCAACAGATTCGCTGTTGGGAATAAAATGATGCAAGCCCATCAGTCACAGAAACTCACCATGCAATTGATCATGAGTTGTGGATGTGAAATCGTGAAACCAACAAGTCAGAGCAATTAACCATGCAATTCACCATGCATTTAACAAGCTATACAATTAACCATAGGTTGTGTGGATGTAGACTTATAGACACCCATAAGTCTAAGTCACAGCAATCAACCATGCAATTAAACATCAATTGTGGATATAAAACGATACACACCGATATAAGTCAGTGCATGTCACAGCAACTAATCATAGCTAATGTGCCCATGGTGAAGAGAACAAAACATATTTGAACCCCAGAACCAGATCCTCATTGGCTATTATATTTATATATATATTATACAGTACATATACTGGTTGGTGGTATACCTACCCCTCTGAAACATATGAAAGTCAGTTGGGATCATTGTTCCCAATATATGGAAACATAAAACACCCATTCTGCACCGATCTACCTATGCCATCTCTTTTTAGATGCTTCAATTCCCATTGTGAAACATGGTGATTCACCACTTCTGGATTGGGGGCAAAACCCCAGATCATCCTCCACAGGAAACTCCCGGAAATGGCATCTTGATAAAAATGGGAACCTGATATGAAGTGACCCCGAAATCTGAAGCTAGGTTGATAGATTTCATAAGGATTACCCGCTGGTAATCAATCATGGCTTGCTGTAAAAATCTTCCTATTCATACATGATGTTTTCCATTTCCATGAATTTCCCAGCTAGCCATGTTTGATTACCGGAGGGTATCACTATCATTGGATTGGTCTTGTTTGGAAGTCAAACAGGAACACCCAAAAATATTGAGGGGAAACAATGGTTTCCGGTTAAGATTTTCCCACACCAATCCAGAGCACCCCAAGGAAAATCCCCTCCAAAATCACCCCTCACCTGCCGGATCCGGCTCTTCGTCTCGTGGCACTGGCTCTTCCGTACCATTCTGCCTCGGAGGTTAAAAAGGGGCTAGCCTCCAGCAAGCAAACATGGCTAGCTGGGACACCTATCAATGGGCATTTAAATGGAAAACATTATGAATGAAAGATTCTCCAGCAAGCCATGATTGATTACCAGAGGATACCAGAGGGCAATGATCAATATCGGCAGTTATGGCCATCTAACCATGAAAATGGGAACATCACCATGAAAACAAGGGACTCAATACGACTTTACCATCGGCATTTCACCATTAATATCAGGGAATATGGGTGTGTCTGCTGCACATGCTGCGTAATGGTACAAGTTAGCAGTACCACATTTCTGGACAAAGCCATACTGTATCATCATCAGAAATGGTTTGCAAGTGGTAGAGATGATACTAGGGTAGAGAAAGCAGCGGTTGATTAATCATCATGATGATGGTTAAGATGGTTACGATGATGATGATGATGATGATGGATGATGGATGATGTTTTTTCGATGAGGATGATGGTGGCTGCGGTGAGGCTATGGGATTTCGACAACCGATTGGTCTGACCGAATCGTTGTATCAGATTGTTTCCTGGAAGATCTAGACCTCTTGAAAGGACGCTATTTTTTGTTGCTACATGTGAAGGTGAGATTGAAATGAAAGCTGGAATACTGGTCAGGTTAGGAATGGAGACGCCAATCGAACAATGAAAGTCAAGTGGCATCGTTTTCTCAGGGATGGACAAACAATACCAAACAATTGTCATACCCTCTGGCAAACGTGGATAGCTGGGAAACCCCCTATAAATGGATGTTTATAGCTGGGAAAATCATGGAACTAAATGGCGGATTTTCCAGCCAGCGACGTTTGATGATCGCTTTTGGCAAGGTACACTCGGTACACTCGGTACACTCCCCATCAACGCATTAGACAATTTGGTGCTTTTCGAAGATATGGAGAACTCACAAAATTGGTGTCCCCATGGGTGGACTTCTCATTGGCGTCAGCTTGTTCTCCCTCAAGAATCCCCATTCAAAGTTGGTCATTTGCCTTGTAAAAATATCCTTCGGACCTATCCGTTTTTCATTGAAAATTGGTCAGTTCTATGTTATCCTCAAATGTATATATATATATACCGAATATATACCCATTATTATTGCGTAAACTATTGACGACAGTTATAAGATGTTATACATGTCACCACAAATCCCCAATTATGGTCAATGATATCCTCAAATTTCAAAAACAACATACTGAACCATTGCAATCTAGATACCCTCTGGTTCTTTAACATAATGGAAAATCCTCATGTTTAGATGAAATTGTCCCGTTAAAAAACTTCAAGCTCTAAGGGATTTTCCATATTGGAAGCCAGCATCTCCATCGAGGCACCAAAAGAGAGAAGCCGTGACAGCTGAAAAGGCCATACTGGCAGCCTCGTAAATTCAGACATCCCCGGCAAATCAGGCTGAATTTGCTGAATTCGATTCGTGCATTTTGAAAGTCAGAATGCTCCATCTCTTTTTTTTGACAACTCCCCGGATTCAAGGGGTGTTCAATTGTTTTCAGATTTCTGTTACTTGGAGGCATGTTAAGCAAAAAATCGCCAAGTTATCATTTCTTTTTGAGATGGCACCAATTTCTGCAAACAGAATCTCCAATAAGTCGTCACGCTGCTGCTCCAAATACCATTCTGAGATATTCTGAGCAGGTTTTTGGGCCCCAAAATCAACCCTAAATGGAATCTCAGGTTTTTGGAGAGTAGGCTCAGCAAAATCCCAAACAAAACCATCAAAATCTCCATTTATACATGACTGTTCCATTTAAATCTCCATTTCGTTTGGGAGATTTTCCAGCATTTTCCAGCCACGTTTGAAACCGGGAATCCGCAAGCGCGGGCCCACCTCCGCCAAGCTTCTCCTGTGTGCCACCGGTGAATCGCTGGGTTCACTCCTCACGTGGCGAGCGAAGACCCACGTGGCTTAGTTCTGGTTGGTGGTTTTAACAATCTTAAAACATACTAGTCAATGGGAAGGGTTATCCCATATATATATATATATATATATATACCATCTGGTTATTTACAGTAACATAGCCATGGAAAATCACCATTTTTAATAGGTAAACCATCTATAAATGGGCCATTTTCCATGGCTGTGTTAAATAACCAAAGGGTAATGGAAACTAAAAAATGTTTGAAACCACAAACCAGTAGTTGGATGATGTTCCAATTGCCGGACGGTGGTGTCCATAAATGGGGATACCCCAATAGCTGGATGGTTTAGTTCATGGAAAATCCATCAATGGATGATGAACAGGGGTACCCCTATTTTAGGAAACCTCCATATTTGACCAACAATAGTTCAGTAAGGAAGTCAATTCGCACCCACCTATCAACACCGCAGAAAGACGGGTCTACTGTTACTAAGGTCTACTCGTGGAATGCTGCCGATCTATTGATTATAAGGTCCCATTCTTTTGGGACTACTTTAGGGGAAAGGGATTGGCAAGCGGTAGAATTCTATCCAATTTATAAGTTAAGTTATGTACGATGTAGAAAACCATGTTGTTGGTTGTATCCCATTAAAAAAAAAACATTAACAATCCAGTTGTCCATTGTTGAATCCACCCAGTGGTGGGGTATCACCAAATTTCTGGTGGTGTCCCATTACTTGCCCATCATGGTTGGCTTGATCACCCACTAAAAAAAATAAATTGGGGCATCATTGATGTATGTAGTATATATATATATACACACGTATACATGTATAGATATAGATATATATATATATTATCATTTTATTTATCTGTTTGGGGGTTGCTATACGGGCGTGTGGGAAAATGGGCTTATTGGTATCCATAGAATCGCTCGATTTCTCTCGGAAAAGATGATACTACTGTAATCCAACGCATGTGGATGTAACATATCATCGTATTGGTTGTCAATCTATTCCGATTATATCCCGGTAGATTCCCATTGTGGTTGTAAAATGTTATAAATACCATCTACCTTAGGTTATACTGGTATATCCCCATTTGTTGGTTAAATCCCTCATGTGTTGCTTATGGATCATGATGATGGTATATATATATATATACATATATATATATAGACATATATATATATAGACATACGTATATATACATATACATATATATATATATATAATATACGCATGAAATCACATCAATATCATCATAGTCCCATGAGTCCCCATCAAGTCACGAACATTCATATTCCACTGGAGATATCTAAAAACCATGGAATCTCTAGAGTGAAACCTTGGATATCATGATATATCATGACTGAACATACACCATAAAAATCATGATATTCCCATATATTTCACAGTGATTCACCATTTTTGTTGGTCATATCCCCATTTCTTGACCTCCACGGCCGTTCCGAACGGCCTCTTCGTTTCGCCCAGCGGGCTTGGATGCCGCATGGCCGGCATCGGAATCGGCACGTGCCCACTCAGCCGACTCAGACGAGAGGAGACGTCCATCCACCTGCCACAGAAAATGGGGAAAACCACGATCGATGCTAATTCAAAGTAGGGTAACCCATGGATCAAATGGGGGATGTGATGTATATATGTATATAATTGTATATATATATATAATAATGATGATAATAATAAAAACATAATGAAAATAATATAATATATAATAATAATATATGATGATGATAATAATAATATTAATATTATAATTAGCAATAATAATACTAATAATAATAAGAATTAATAATAATAACATAATAATAATAAAAACATATAATATGTTGTATTGATACAACATATGTTAATATTATTTTAATATATATAGATATATGTATATACATTACGTATGATGTTGCCATCTTTTTCTAGCTCTAGCACTAGTATGGATAATCCCTCCATAAACATATTTTAGTGGGACACTTTAAGACACTCTCATATACCCTCTGGTAATTCAAAAGATCGGTATGGAAAAATAAACATGGAAAAATGAACATGGCCCATTTAGTTTACCATTTTAAACATGGAGGGTAGATGTTCCAATAGTTTCCATGAAAATTATGAATACGCAACAACAAATGATCCGTGATATCTGTCCTTCACGGCTCCTCTTTCGGATACTTTTGGGTCTTCAAGAGTGTCTTTTGTGGTCACCGTTTGTGGTTGAGCCAGCCCAGACCAATTACAGTATATTTTTTTTTAAAGTCACCAAACTGTAAAGATCAAATCTTGTAGCAATTTTTCGTGATTCAGCTTTTGAAAGCACCAGCATCCACCAGCCAAATGGTTTCAAGCAATATCAACACTGCCAGGCCAACTCAAGCGTAACGTCCTCGTGCAGCATGTCTCGCAAAACCTGCAGGAGCTCTGATGGCTGGTCTCAAGGGAACATGATGATCCACCAATGCATTTTGGGGTTCCAATTGCAGACAAAGCTCAAATATATATATATATATAGTCTTAATTGGTTATATCTATGGTATATTACATATATATACATAATATTGTCCAATGATATCCCAATGAGATTCCCATCCAAATGCTTGGTTTCTTTCCCGTTTAATTTTTTCCCATAAAAAAATCTGGGGATAACAACCAGCCTCGAAGACATCTCCGGCCTGGTTCGTACGATCGTGGGTTTCGGACTGGGTTACCATAAAAGGTTGTCGTTGGATATGGGTAATAGAAACTGTTATAATAGTAAATAGGATACAGTTATAATACAACTTTTAAAGATTATAATAGTAACTAACTTTAAAAAGGAACAAAATAGAAACTATCATAAGCTATAGATAGCCTATAGTTAGTTTAATATTTAGTTTAGCAAAGGCACTTTAAGTTTTTCTCGTAGACCCCTTAAAAAGATAGAGATAAAATGATAGAACATCAAACTAATCGCACTAAAATAGTGATACATTACTGTTCCATCTACACGGGAGTTGCATGGAGTTGCTATCGAGCCTCTAGTGAACTAACACTTTGCGAACTGGAAGCCATGGCCCATTGAGTTCGAAGATTTACCTATTGAAATTGTGATTTTCCATACCTATGTTAGTTTACCAGAGGATATAATATTGAATCTACACAATTATGGCAGAACCCATCCCCTAAAACCGTCCCTATTTGTGGTTTTGTCATTGTGTTTACATGGGTTTACGTTTTACTACATTGGACATAGGACTTGCCTCCAGTTGGCCAGCATGGCCGAGAACAAAATCACCCTTCAGTATTGGGCAGCCTATATTCCCAATGGTCTGGAACATGCTTCCCCAATTTCATGACTATCTACTGAGGGTAGAGAGATGCAAATCCTACAGACAAACGCGGCCTGGCTCCACTGGCGATCCGTCATGCTCCGACAGCGAAATGCCAATGAGACTAAGTCGCCTGGAAACTCTGGAGGGAAACTTAGGATTACTTGGCACTTTAAGGAAACATCTTCGCTGCAAACCAAAGGTATTCTCCTATCAAATATGGGTTTCCTGATTGGGAATATGGATGCCACTATATATATATTATTATATTTACATATATATATATATTTACATATATATATACATATACATATATATATATATACATACATACATGTATATACATATATGTATATTAATATATATATATACACGTATAAATATCCCAACCGCTCCCTCCTAGCCACCGGGTAGATAGCTAAGCTGATTAACAAAGCAAATTAGCTATGAACTAGGGTTCAATGCTCCGCCCGGCTGGAAGAGCCAACTGGGGGATAGTAACTGTTGCTTCGCCTGGCCATGGAACATGGTGAAACAAATCATCCCAGTTGTTGGGTTTGATCTTGACAAACATGCCATGGTCCATTTTTTAATCCCATGTATGGCAGAAACAAACTTATAAATATATATCAAAGTGTTAAACTACACAGCCAAAAGAAATACGTTTACCCAAATGTTGTAACCGCGAAGGATTTAAGGATGAAATTGGCAAACACTGGAGGCTCTTGCCAAGCTCACTTCGAAAATTGTCGCTGCAACATGACTTCCATGTTTGAACCAAAAATGGTTACCCAAGTGGGACTGGCTTTGTTATTTGTGATTACACTTGAGATATCCTTAGAATCACTTCCAATCCATAAAATACCCGGGAATCAGGGATCAATCATGGATTAAAAGATAATACAAGTCTCTGGAATCAATTCACGCATTTGTATCAATTTGCTGCATGAATGATCCATCGCTTCAGGTCTGCAAGTGCTTGAGGTAACGTTGACGTCTGGGAGACCCGGCGGCAAAGTGCATGTAGCAGAGTTTGCCTATACACTGGGAAGCTAGAGTGTTGAACAACGGGGCTAGGACAAGGAAGAAACAGCACACTGTCAACTAGCCTGAAACGAAATTTCCTTGAAAGCAACACGTTACAGGCATTTTACCAAGACACTTTTTGAGTACCCATAAACCAACTAGCAAACAAAGCCAACAAACACTAAACTTATGGGGTAAGCAACCCGTTTTTACGGGTAAATGGAGTGTCTAGGTACATGGAAAACTGATAAAAACTGCATCGCCAGAGTCGAGCGGCAATGACGATGGGATGTCCTGCGAAGAGAGATCCTGCGATCGAATGCGAGCTGTGTTAGTTTACTGAAGGGTAACACACACACACATATATATACATAATTATTTATATATATATATATATGATGTAATATCATGTAATATCACTAATATCTCATTGTTTCCCGTTATGATCAGTTATATTCAATTAGTATCCATGATATTCTCATTAATTCCATTCCTCTAATGTTACACACCGCCCAGAAACCATGGTGGAGTTTGGGATTTACACATAGTTGTAACAATGTCGGGGTTTATATAGTATTAGGGGGACGGGATTATTCCCAAACCTGCTGGTTATTGCTGGAGATTCCCAGTTTGTGGATGAAAATCAAGAGCCAACTACTCTCCAGTAATTTAATATAGCTATGGAAGCCCTGGTCCATTTAGTTGTTTTAGTTGGATGGTTTGCCTATGAAAGCATCAACAAATAAACAATTGATGATGATGATGATGATGATGGTGATGATGATGATGATGATGATGATTGCCCATTTTTATATAGATGATAAGAATGAGGCCGAGTCGGCAGGCAGGAATTTGCCACTAAATGGGAACCACAACAAGAAACCATCTCCTTTTGCAGTTTATCGTTAGATATATGAAATAACTACTAGATATATGCAAATACATACTTGGGAATCATATATATCCCTTTTCGCCTCAGTTCACCAAGTTGCCCCGGTTCTCTGCACAAAAGCTGTATACAGCCTGTGGGATGCTCCCTCGAGAGCAAACGCCACAAAACTATGCCATATGCACAGAGGTCTGGCAACCTCCAAATGAAACTAACTTCTCAGATCTATCCGGGAGTGCAACAGGGCGGGCCGGGCCCGAGAAGCTATTAGACAATTGGTGGTTTGCCCATCTCCAAGGGATAACTGTGCATCCCTTTTCGCCTCAGTTCACCAAGTTGCCCCGGTTCTCTGCACAAAAGCTGTATACAGCCTGTGGGATGCTCCCTCGAGAGCAAACGCCACAAAACTATGCCATATGCACAGAGGTCTGGCAACCTCCAAATGAAACTAACTTCTCAGATCTATCCACTTCTCACTTCCTGCGCTGCAAGCTCAGGCGATCACTCCAAGAGACGCCACTGTGTGCAGAGAATCGGCCAAGCCGCATTGCCAAAGGTCTCAACGAGGTGCTTGGATCGCTTTGGTAACTCATGGAGCAAAAGTTGGGCACTGACCTCCTGGAGATAGAACTCGAGCGTCTTCACACGAGCCCATCGACCCCTCCAAGCGATCCATGGAATATCCTCAGTTCGGCCATACAGAAAGGTGGCCCCACTTCCCCTCAAAGTGCCTGGGGTGGCACCCCGCTGGGATTGGCGGTGTGGGATACCAAGCAGCGACATGACTGCATCCCATTGTTTTCTGAAGAGACTGATCGAACCGCTGTATAAACGACACTGCATGGGCAACTTTCCAAAAATCTTTTCTGCCAGTTGGATGATTTGCGTATCATCGATACGGCCGTGCTGTCGTCTAGCAAAACGCGCTGTCTTTGGATTCTGCAAATGAATATAAAGGCAAGGCATATCGAAACCCACGTCTCTGGGAAAAACCAGGTCTTTCCTAGTCAATGCAACCATCTCGCTGGGGTGAAGCATGGCCGCAAATCCTAATAGAATGACTCCTACCCAGAAGTGCCAACCCCACAAAGTGCCAACTGCGCAAACTGCTCTGACGGCAATGCCCGGCAAAACTGCCCTGCACTGGCCGGGCTCATGGATCTGCCACTTTCTGTCGATCTGCCAAGCAAGACCCAAACTAGGTCGGCACTGTGGAAATTGCTCTTGCATGCCTGTAATGGCATATACAAATAGGTAACGGGGAAAACCTCGCTCAAACAAATGCACTCCATAAGCTCTCAGCGCCCATCCAACAGCCTGGCTATCGGAAACCAGGTTTTCGAAGCTGAGTTCGCAGAAATTTTCTACCCATTGCTGGAAGGCACTCACACATTGAATCATGCGGTTTGAAGTCTGTTCAGCAAAGCCTACTTTGAGATCTAAAACACCTCTAGGTCTGACATTTGTCCCAGGCTTCAGGGGACCTGGATTTCTCTCGACATCTCCAGCCAGAATCAGCAAAATAAACCTCATCCAACGGCCCGGCACTCTCGCCACGCAGGAGGAAGCAACCACAATATCAAAAAGGCTAGGGTCTCCTTTTTCCAGAAGTTCAAACCACTTTGGTTTCTCTTTCGTAGGTGCCTGGACAGGTCGGCCGCGGGACGGCGCATCAGCCCGGTTGAAAGCAGAATAGCAGTGCAAACCGCCGGGATACAGGTTACCTCCTATGATATACGCAAGACTACCTTGCAAGACTCGGCTTATAGCAAAGGAACTGGACCTACCCTTAGCACTAGCTCCTAGGGTTACTCTGGAATCAAGTAGTCCTGTGAATCGGCAATCACGCTCAGACTTGGCCATGTGCTTGATCCAAGATTTATAGGTCCTAGTTTCGTTTACATTTATATGACCTGACTTTTTGAAATTGAACCTAAACACTTCCCTGAACAACAAACTTTCACAAAGTTCACCAACCCACTCAGGATCTTCAAACCAAGGTCTATTAGGAAAGGGGACTTCAGACGGAGGCACTGGAGAGACGTCTTCCAAAGGAATCCCAAGGCTCTTTGCAGTCAGGTGGATGGCTTGGAGCGGCATGGCATCAACATGCCCTTTGGAAGCTTGCAAACTCCCCACTGCCATCGCTTGCACCAACCTCAGTGGATAAGCGGCTGAAAACTCAGAAACCCTTTGGCCCGGGTATGGACGACAGCCGTAGACCTCCTCGCAGTTTGGTCTGCACTTTTCATCGAAAAGGCTGATACTAGTTTTGGTAAAAGTCCCTTGAACAACAAAATGTTTTCCCTTTTGTTCACATTTGCATTGGCACTCCAGCGGTACTAGCCAGGGTTTGTTGTGCAACCATCTTGAAGGCTTGTGAAAGCCACTTCCGAAATAGCAAAAGGCAAATTGAGTGAGGACATATCCTAACTGCACTAATACCTTATATAGATGCAAGTGGAAAAGCCTACTGTTTCTCGGCTGCTCAACACTGATGAACGATCCATGCTTTAGGGCCAAAATAAGAACGATGGCTGCACGCTGAGCCATCTTATTATGGTAAGCAGTATAGCTATCCTTAGGGTCGAAACCAAATGGACATTCTAGTGATCGCACCTGTGGCCGCCGCAATGTCCCGAAGGAGGGACACGGCACTCCCGCATGCCAGTCTCGGATGACTCGCCGGGCAGCGAGCGCAGTGAGCTCCCTAAACACTGAGTCTGAGGTGATGTCGCCAACTCGCAAACGGCGGCCATCAAGATCGATCCCATCGTGAACGGCCAACCCCACATCTCGGTGAGCAGCTGACCAGTTTCCTACTCCACGAAAAATTTCAATGCAATCAAAAACCCAACCTTCAGAAAGACTAGAGGGGATCTTAGCTTTAAGGGAATGGTGGGCCAAATGATCTTGAAACATGTGCATGGACTCGGGTTCGATGCCATGCTCGCTCAGAATTACAGATACTGGACTCTGCAGTTTCGTATAGAACCCTTTCTGCTCTGTGTGCCGCCACACTTCTTGTGCAGCTTTGGGCCCGATTTCGGCACGAACAACTGCTCCCCCACTGGGGCTAGCATCTGTGGTGTATAGGAACTTTGAATAGTGAACCCTAAGGTCACTTTGTGCTGTGGGACCCAGCATTGCCAAAACTTGTAGTTCGTTCAGAGACTGACGGTTCAAGCAAAATACCTGGTCAAGTGGTCTGGCAAGACCATCTGTGAAAAGTGAATCAATGACTGAGAATAAAACACGTCTGAACAGTAAAACATGAACCCAACACCCGACCACCAAGTTCAACAAACGCCTAGTGCACGTGCCCTGAGAAACAATCTTCATGGATATCCCTGAAAGCAACAAGATTCGACTTCGTGGTGCCATGACTCGACCCTTTACCCCATCGAAATCAGCCCCCAAAATGGTACCTTGGGTGCAGTTTCGCTTCTGCTTTTTCTTTTGCTGAACAAGACCTACAGATTTGTAAGCTTTTGCAGCTAACTGAAAAACATGGGTATCACGGAGGGAAGGTTCTTCAGGCAACTGGCTACTCAAAAGACGCTGAATCCCAACATGGTCATCAATAGCAAGAAGCTCAACAAAATCACCTCTAGGAATCGGATGCCTATATCGGAGGGTTTCCGAGTCAATCATGGAGCCGCACAGAACTCGCAACACATTCGAGTGAGCCTGCTGTGCAATTTCTACTGCAAGATTGTCTCCCATAGCAAGGGTAGAAAGGCAAATCAGAAGGTGATCATGGCGCCTGTGCTCAGGTTTAAAACAATGAAGATGTTCCAACTCGGATGGTTTAAACCGAAACCGGAAAGCATTTCGAGAGGCTCTGCGTTCTGAAACCTTGAAAGTGTAATAGAAATCAGAAAGATCATCTGCACAAAAACGAAAACATTCTCCTTCTTGTAAATGCAGAAGTCCTAACATGCAACCAGGAGCCAAACTTTTTGTAGAGTCGCTGACAGTCCACATCCGACCGTTCAGGTTTTGAGGATTGATGATTAAACGATCAAACTGGCTATCCTTTGCAACTGCAAACATGCCCACGGCTTCTTCCCAGCACTTTTGGTCAGCAGGCAAAAGACGTATCGCTCCTAAGTCATCCCAACGTTTGGCAAGATCCAACAGTTCGGCCTTACTACAGTTAATCTTAGCGGGCTTACTGGGGGACCAAAACTCCTTAGGCTTACGCATAACTTCAGGATCCTCAAACGCAGCTTTCACTAAAGGATTGGTCAAGTAGGCCTCTGCTTCAAAGGACGGTGGAAACTGCCACTTTATGCGAGAAGAAATGACTGGCCGGGCTCCCGACATGGGTAGCGGTGCCGAGCGATCAAAAGTGCACTGGTGGTCTGATTTGGGTTTGTCTTCAGTTCTGTGATGAACCCGGCCGCCAAAATGGCTGTTGTATGGGTCCAAGTCGGCTTGCAAATCAATTAAAACAGAAGTGAGGTCCTCACCCGAACTATGGCAGTGCGGTAGTTCCTCCAGCATCTTAATTACACCTTGGTATTTTTCTAAAAAGCGTCCCAAATCATCCTCAGAAAAGTCACCACTGGAAAGGTGATGATCAACTAATGATTCAATGTGCTCAATGATCAAATGCTGAGCATCACTGATTGGATAACCTAGACACCCCTCAGGTGGTGGATCAACCGGATGACCCAGCACTTCCCAGTTCAGGCAGGCGATGATGAGCTGTGTCGCAAGGTGTCTGGTGGAAAGCTCACGTTTTCGCCTACGACGTCTGGGACCAAGGTGCATGCAAGCCGTCCATCGCCACCTAGGTAACGGGACCGGCCACAACGCCTTCGACCGGGAAGGCTGCATGTTTGAGGCATCTTGCAACACCAAGCTCTTCCTACAAAAAGATCCGACAGCTGTGCGAGATCTGAGGAAGTCCCTACAAAAAACTTGCATCAAATTAGAACTATTAAATAACTGAGGCTTCCAGGACGAAGACTTAGAAGTCGGCTTTGCAGATGGGAAATCGGGTTCAACATGATCTGTATCAGGATGATCTGGAGGTTTAGCACCGGAACTATGGAGGGGAGGATTATGATAATGAGGGGCAAAAGAAGCACCTTCACACCCTTTTCTCAAAGACTCCCAGTTTTCAGCCAAGTCACTGACACGACATGTATCTTGTGGAAAATGGCTCATAGAAGCATCCAAGGCCCGGGCATCGGCTGAACCAGTGCTTGCTAGGACGCACTGGGCTCGGCCTCTCCCTCCTTGCCTGACCCTTTCTTTCCCTTCTTTGACTTCGGTTTTGCCTTTGGTTTGGGGACTTCGTCTGGATCTGTGGTGTGGCTCTGAGATTTCCCTGTTGGCTTCCCAATGGTTTGAATCCTCCCTTCCAAATAGTCCAAATCTCGCAGGAACGCTAAATTCGCTGACACCCACAGAGGGCTCGCTAATCTGGTGAACGGTTTCAGACCAGGGACCCTTTTGTTTGAGAAATGGAGGTGGGTATTTGGTTCTGGAAAACCCGCCATCAGCCAGCCTAGGTCTACCTTCCCATCCAAGGCCCTGTTCGACGAAAAAGAGCATCCGAGCCAAGAAACCTTGCATCTCGAGGTTGTTGCTGCTCTGAGCAATGGACCAGCCCTCCGCCGCAAGCACTGCGAAGTGTGCCAAAAGCTTGTTCTCTGCCAAAGGGATCCGCCTCTCGACGTAGAGGTGCATAAGGTCTTTGTCCTCCTTGTCGCGGGAGATGCCCAGCTCTTGCAGCGCATTTTGGCGAGCCACTTCTGCTACGCGAGGAAGGTCTTGAATGGTCTTGAGATACATGTCCCTGGCCAAACACCCTCTGGCGCCCCCGGAGCTGCTTCCGGACTCGCTGCCCCCGCCGCCTAGGAGAGAACTCATTGGATCGCGAGGTTGGGCAAAACGCCGCATCAGCACAGTGTTCTGTTGCATCTGAAGAAGCAGAAGGCGCTGCACAGGATCGGTCACCTGCGTCGGGTCCAGCCCCAGTTCGAGCAGGTGCGCCTCCGGGTCCTCCAGAACCTCCTTCTCCGTTTCTGCTTGCAGCCCATCCAGAACAGCCACCTGACGGTCTGGGGCGGGCAGCTGCTTTGCTACCGCAGCCTGCAAACGACCGGGAGGAGCTCCTGCAAGTTGCTGCAGGCGAGCCAGTTCCTCTGGTCGAAGGGCCGACCCTTGAGCACTGAAAAGCTGCTGCTCTTGACCATGTTTTGCGCGACTTGCTTGAAGGCTGCCCAAAGGAAGGCGAGCCTGAGCTCTGGGCTGGGTACTGACGGCTTGATGGAGACCAGCAAGCTGTTCTTCTAACACCTTGATGCGGGCTTGCAAGCCCCCAGAGCCTCCCGCTTGGGATCCAGGGGGAGAAGGTGAAGCAAGATCTGGATCGTCGTCCCGCGCGAGCTCCTCTCCAGTAAGATATTCTTGGGCTGATTCTGGGTCTAACCCAAGTCCGGCGGTGATCCAGTGGTCTGCTAGGGATAGAGCGGACTGAGCCACCGGTCGACCTGAAGCTCCTCCAAGCTGGAAGTGCACGACTTGGGTGCTCTGCTTTGCGGCTCCTCGCAACACCAAAGCCTTGCACAAATGCGGGACGTAGTCCCACGTGAGATCCACAAGCTGACACTCCTGCTTGCCCAGCAAACGGCCACGAACAGTGATGATGTCGACTTCGCCCTCCCAAATGGCGGGCTCGGCACTGCAAAGGCTGCTCACCACTTGCAAGGCCGCAGTCACTTCCTCTGTCTTTGGCACAAGCAGCATAAAACCATTCTCTCTGCAAAGCAAAGGGTAGCACGTTGCCACAACCGTAGCCCCTTCCGCATCTGAAGAGTCTAGAGGCAGCCACACAGCGGTCAGACTGAGATCTCGAGCTCCATCCACGCCTGCGACATAGCCCTTGAGCACCTCTGAATCCAGAGGGCTCATGTTCACTGCTGAAGCTGGGGCGGCCATTGCCGCCGTGCCCCACACAAGAAAGCGTCTCCTTCTGTGCGAGTGGCAAACGCCTGGCACACCGTATTGCGGTGGAAGTCGGAATCGTGACTTCGCCCGCAGGCCTCAATGAAAGCAGAGTAATCACTAGTCCACACTCCCGCAGGATAGCGTGGGCAGCGAAGGATGATGTAGATGGTGTTCCGAAAAGGGATTCCTGGACTGGACACCTCGGAGAACTCCCCGTTCAACCGGCGGTAGGCAGCACACCCTGCCCTGAAAGCTCTTGCCAACCTTGCTCGTGATGTCCACTCTGAGTCACTACCCCTAAGTCGAGACTCAAGATATCGCAGAAAAGGTAGGGGAAGAGCAGAAAGATCAGGAGCAGTACGCGCCGCAAGAGCACGCTCTTCCAAATCAATGCTGATGTGGTAGGGATCAATGAACTCGGCCTCACCTGCCGGTCCTCTATCCGCTTCTGCTGCCACCTGGACTCCAGAACCTGAAGCCCTGTTGACAGAAGCAGTGGTGAGAGGGCGCACAGTCACCCTAATGGAAATCTGGAGGTTTTCAAACTGGAAACTCAACTCTTGTTCCTCAGCCCCCCCAAGCATCAAAGTTCCCGGCGATATTCAGCTAGTCGTTGGCCCACAGTTGCAGCTTGGGGACCCCAGTATGCAGCAGCCAGCCGAGCCAAAACCAGTCCTACACGCTGGCAACCCTGAGATAAGGCACAGCCTACTGCAAATGCACCGCAGCAGCAGCCAAAGATGAATGCCAGGAGGATCAAGAAACAAAATGCACCCCAAGGACACGACGCAGTCCCTGGAGTAGCCCACCACCGCGCTTCACGGACCAATTCGGTCAGGGCAAAAGCAAAGCTCATTAACTTGACCCGAGAAGCTATTAGACAATTGGTGGTTTGCCCATCTCCAAGGGATAACTGTGCATATATATATATAACACTACCATTTTGGGGGTATATTGTGCCTACTTGGGATTATAATATATATATATACACATGTATGTATATATACACATGTATGTATGTATGTAATGTAATGTAATGTAATGTAATGTAATGTATGTATGTATGTATGTATGTATGTGTGTATTTATTTATTTATTTATTTTTTATTTATGTATGTGTGGATGTGTGGATGTGTGTATTTGTGTATTTACGCATGTATGCATATGTATGCACATGTATGCATATGTATGCACATGTATGCATATGTATGCACATGTATGCACATGTATGCATATGTATGCACATGTATGCACATGTATGCATATGTATGCATATGTATGCATATGTATGCATATGTATGCACATGTATGCATATGTATGCACATGTATGCATATGTGTGCATGTATGTATGTAATGTATGTAACGTATGTCATGTATGTATTGTATGTAATGTATGTAATGTATGTAATGTATGTAATGTATCTAATGTATCTAATGTATCTAATGTATCTAAAGTATCTAATGTATCTAATGTATGTAATGTATGTACTGTACTGTACTGTACTGTAATGTAATGTAATGTAATGTATGTCTGTCTGTATGTATGCATGTATGCATGCATGCATGTATGTATGAATGTGTATATTCTATATAGTATAGTATAGTATAGTATATCCCCCGAATGGTTGATCATGGGGGATTGTCTATCAGTGCGGTTCCTGAAATAACCCCACTTGGTGGGGAATTGAAGAACTTGATTTGGATCTGAACTGTTTTACAGTGATTGATCATGTGTCCCCGCAAGTACCAAGCCATGGATTTATCTCTTGACGAAAATTGAACATACAATTGGCCATTCTCTGGTAGGAAACTCATCGAAATGTTTTAAAATCAAGTGATATTTTATCTATTCGATATGCTCGTAACATCATGTAACATCTAATGACCGGGTTTCCATCAGCACCCCCAGATCAACCCGTCGCGTTTCTGACGCCTTTTCAGCTTTTCGGACTGAATTGCTGCCACGATCCGCGCACCATGCGGTTAGTGAACTGCTTAGTAACTGGGCAACATTCCCTTATAACATCTTACGACTTAGCATGTAAGAATAACAAAGAATAATTAGTTATTACCATAGTCACCTAGCAGTTGACTAACTACATTGGTCCATCTAAATATCTAGTAGCTGGATGCAACGGCACCAGCAGTGAAACGGCATGAAACTGGCATAGTATGCCACTGGGTTTTCAGATCTTTTGGTGCTCCCCGAAGGTCGCTAAAATCTCGCTGAAGTCTTCAAGCACCTTGGGTCCAAGACAATGCAGGCATAGATGTCTTATTCCCACTGGTTGGTTAGTTCATAGAGGCTTCCCATTCAGCAGGTAGATGAATCCATAAATAGTGTACCAAACCCCTCAAAGGACAAGATTGGAATCCCATGAAAATCCCATGCAATCACCACTAGATCTCATGAAAAATCATCATTACCATTACATCCCATCCAATCACGATTAAATATATAAATCCCCTGAAAATCCCAATTCAATCACCATTAAACATATTCGCTGCAACCTGGACGTTTGCCCGGAGTTGATGTCCCGCAATCAACGTATTGTTCAGAGGGGGTGGCTAATTTTGATCCCTCGTGAAGATAAAGTTGATGTTGTTAGCCCGTTCAGCATGTTGGTCATAGGGGGTGTCGGATTTTGTTCCCTCATGAAGATAATGTTGATGTTATTTCCCCAATCAACATATTGTTCTGAGGAGGTGGCTGATTTTGATCCCTCATGAAGATAAAGTTGATGTTGTTAGCCCGTTCAGCATGTTGGTCATAGGGGGTGGCGGATTTTGCTCCCTCATGAAGATAGTGTTGATGTAATTACCCGATTCAAGATATTGGCCATAGAGGGTGGCGTGTTGTTAGCCCGTTCAGCATATTGTTCATAGTAGTGGCGGATTTTGATCCCTCATGATGATCAGGTGATATTGTTTCCTCATGAAGATAACTGTATTCAAGGTATCTTTCACATGGGTGTGTCTGAAAATAGTGTACCCCTAAACCCAATGGTTAATGATCATTATCCCTATTAAATGGCTATAATTGGGAATATACCCTATTTTCAGACAAACCCACATGCCACCGTGGCCAAATTTTCCCCCTTGGCCTTGCTTAAGGATTCGCAACTTCCCGGCAACACATTGATTGGCAATGATGAGTCTGGGCGAACGTTAAGGTTACGGACAAGATATTAAATCTTATCAAATCCAATCAAATCCCATGTAAATCATCATAAAATCCAATCAAATCACCATTAAATCCAATTATGTAAACACTAAATCCCATTAAATCACCATTGAATCCAATTCAATTACGATTAAATCAACCTAAATCCCATTCAATCACCAATAAATATTATCAAATCTCATCAAGTCCCAGTAAATCATTATAAATCACATTCAATCCCCATTAAATCCACCTAAATCCCATTAAGTAATCCCATTAAACCTCATTAAGTGATCATTAAATCTCCATTAACTTGGAAAATCATCATCCTTCAATGGTTGCTGAGGTCGAAACCCCAAGCTCCGTCAAGCGCCTCACCACGAACCCGAGCACAGACCGAAGCACAATTGGCTCCCAAGGAATTCCCCAAATGAGGGATTCCAGAAATGGGGGATCCCCAATAGCTGGATGGTTTGTAGTGGAAAATTCCAAACCAAAATGGATGACTTGGGGGTACATTCAAATGGAAACCTCCATATCTAAGATCTCCCTCTTGCAACCCCCAAATACAGTGAAAATAGTTGGAAACCCTGGAAATATGGAGTAAATATCATCTACATCCTGGAAACTCTGTTCTATATATACTATATACACATACAGTATCTATCAAATTGACCACCAGGTTTCCCCATCCTACCCCTTACCAACATCCGCGACATCCAAGGAGAGATTGCCCATGCGAAAGTTCCGATCCATAACTCCAATGCTCCTTTTGCCGCCAGTGTTCAAGCACCCATCAGTCCACAGCCGGGCCTCATCCGCAAGTTCGGATCCTCCAAGACTGCGCAAAGTGCCTGGCTGTTTCCAAGGGGAAAACGCTCTTATGGATCCGATCCTGGGGGTGATACATGGGTCACTTTGTGGCTTAGTATGGTAGTTTATAATGACATATATATATATATGTATATGTATATATATGTATATGTATATATATATATAATAATCCCAATAACTGGGATATTGGTATACTGTAGTCCCCCATAATCCTCTATAATCCACTGCACGAATCTCTTTGGCATTTCAAGGTATGCAAGGTACCAGTGCCAACTCATTGAATCTCACACCTGATCTCAGTATAGCCACATACTGCAAACCAACAGTGAGACTGGGGGAACAGCCTTAGATAGAAATCTTGCTTTAAAGATGTTTCAAGGATTTTCAATGTGTGTCTAGAATTATTATGATTTTTTTAGATATAGGTTCTCATTTGGGACCCAAATATCTAGCCGAATCTAGCCTGTCATCCACATTTTCCCGCCAGCATGGCATTTTGTAATCTGTTTTGTGGCTGTCACAAAGTTTTAAACCAATTGCCCCAAAATTCAATAGCCCACTTCAAGGACCACGGTAGTTAGTAAGTACTTGGCCCATATATGTAAGATAGAAGTCAGTTCTAAGTTGGTTTTACGTCGGTGTTTGCAAACATTGGGTTTCCCAACTTTACAATGTTTGATATGAGTGCAACTCAAACTTACAGCATCCCAAGATCGGATGGTTGAAGACTCACGACAAGTCTGGTGAATTCCCGATGTTTGGTGCTTAAAATCTCCATGATGATCATGATTGGTGGCTAATTTTACTAATATTCCCGTGTTTGTTGGTTAAACATGTGAGCAGTCTGAAATGTTTTCAACTCGCAACTTTTGAACTGGTGACTTCCGCGATTGAAGTCCTGTGATCCTGATTAGGGCGTCGGCGAAATTCGCCCGTTGCCCATCGTGGATTTGCTTAAGGAACCCGCAAAAAAAACAGTTGCCAGGTAGTGGATTTCCCATTGGGAAACAATCATTTTCCATAAATCTCGCCGCGCCTTGGCTGCCAAATGCCGGATGCGTTGTGGTGAGGAGCGATCGAGGAAGGGCAGTAACAACTCCAGGCCGCCCATCTGCGATGCTTGACACAGAACATGTGGATTTATGATAGTTTAAGCATGAAACATAGTGAACATGAACCATGGGTTCACTTTGGATTTAAGTGATTAAACCATGGAAAACAGGGATCGAACCACCACCAAAAAAGATGGGTTTGACCATCAATGGCGATGCCGGCAAAACTGCGGGATTCACCAAGGTCAGTTGGGGTACTTGATGTAGAAATGGCGGTTACCCTCTGGTAATTTAACATAGCTATTAAAAATGGCCATTTATAGTGAGTTTTCCCATTAAAAATGGTGATTTTCCATAGCTATGTTAGTTTACCAGAGGGTAACCTCTGGTGACTTGGGCCCCATGACTTAGGAAACCGACACCATGGACAGCGCTCGAGTACTTAGTATCATACCGACGGGGCAAAACCTCCATCCCCAAACTATTCCAAACGGGGAATACCCTCTAAGATGGTCATAGAAATAGTTGATTTACCTATAAACAAATGCTGATTTTCCATAGTTTTTTGTATGTTTACCAGGCCGGGTAAACCTTTCCAGAGGGATGATCATCGAACTATTGCTGGGAGATTTTCCAGCAAGCCCCCACTGCATTGCCATAAAATGTTTGGTTAATCCCCAACATATTCCAATTATCTCCCCATGGTTCATTGTTAAATCACCATTCTGTATATCTAGTTGGATAGCCTACATCATGGTACATCCAACAAAAAGGAGAGAAGTTGGCTATGTGGCTATATCGTATCAGATTCCATTATCATTACCCTTCTGTGAACCAACATAGATGTGGACAATCACCACGTTCTATAGCTACACCATCGAACTAAATGGGCCATGTTCATCCGTTCATCCATTTTCAACCTCAATGATAGCCTAGTTTACCCTATGGTGTACATATATATATATATATGACATATCATCCCATTATCATATCCTATACCTATTAGATTCCATATTAATCATGTGTTTACATGATATACCATCTGGTTATTTAACATAGCTATGGAAAATCACCATTTTCAATAGGTAAACCATCTATAAATGGGTAATTTTCCATGGCTATGTTAAATAACCAGAGGGTAGATATTACTATTCCACGATCCAATTGCTAAAGCTTGATCCAGGGAGGCCACCAGTGGCCCCCTCGGGCCTGCAGGAAGGACTCCTGAAGCTGGATTATTTTTTTCATCCACTGGAAACTGTTTTTTTTATCAGTATAATGATTGAGGAAACTCTGGTTTCTATATATATATATATTATATCAGTGTGCATATATATATATATATATGTATCACTATATATATATATATCAATATATATATATATATCAGTATATATCAGTATTGGGGCTGTCTTCTGTTTCTTTTTCCCTACCCTGCACATGTTCCAAGTTTCCCTCAAACATCCTCAAACTATGTTTTTGAAACTGCAAGATGAAGAGGAGCAGGGAAGGGCCATTAGACCCTTTTATGCTGGTTGATAGGGGTTCCCAGTGGGTGAGTCATAATGATGCCCAATGAACCAGAGATTCAATATTCAGGCATCCTAAGAACTCATCAACAAGGACTTCAGTCCTTGCTCATTTGGGATGTTCACCTACCAGTTTTTCAGGGTTGCTCCCAACACCCAAGATCACCCCAAATACCCTGTGGCAAGAGCAAAATTCACGAATGTCCAACCTTGTGGTTCTGATTTACCTGAGTTTGAACAACCCAGATTCAAGTTTCTGAACAGCATTCTTCATAGTTTCTAGATTCTAGAGACTACCCCCAGAGTTGACCAAGTTATATAAGTTGTACACCAACTTAGCGGCCCACCTCGTAGCCGAGCCATTTTCATGACCGAGCCATGAAAAAAACCATCAATAACCATGAACAATACCTGTGTATATCCCCATCATTATAGGTATAGGATATGATAATGGGATGATATATCATATATATAAAATATATATATAATATATACCCCTATGATATATCATCCCAAACCATCAATATACCCCTTACATCCTGCATCCATGACCCTCGTTATACCCAGGTGATCCCGCCACATCACGTCCTGACGTTCCGAGCAGTTTCTGCAGAGAGCCGTCAAGATCCCCAGCGCCGGCTCAGTGGGACCAGTGGGACCCTGGAAGCCAGTCACTGACTGGGTGGAAAAAATATGGGAACTATGGGGATATAAAATGTTTACAGTGGGTAAATCCTGGGTAAAGGTTATTGCATGTTTATGTAAATGGTTTTATTAGTGCTATAATGATATGCTTGTACTTATAATGATGGTTATATCAATGGGTGGATAAATGGGTATGTAAATGGCTGTATATGGTTATTAATAGGGATTAGTTAATAACGGTCATTGATGGTTAAAACCCCCTAGATAGCTAAGTTGGTGTATAACTCGATTAACTATATACATGTGGATATATATATATATATATGAGTTTATGGAAGATATAATTATGGTCAACAGGGGTTATATAAACAAACTTTAATTGTGAAGGGGCCATCTTGTATTCATGGTAATGGGTATGTGATGTAATTTGACGGTGATATAATATAAATATACAGTATATATATACGTATATATACGGTTATAATAGAACAGTGATCTATAATGATTTATCACTATGTTTGTAAGATGTGTCCTTTTCTATATTTTTTTGGGCTGCTATAACTATGGTCACCCCGAAAAGTTGGGATATGGGGGTGCCTTTTTCACTGTGGCAAACAGAGAAAACACATCCAGCATACAAAAGTTCTATGGATTACTTTGGAATACTTTGGAACATCATCTACATCCATGGACATTTTCCACTTGCTTGTTTCTTTACTGGAGGCTAAACCAGTGATTAAGAGATTGGCATGTGGACACGCGGGGTCATCCATCGCTGACCAAGCCCCAACTCATTGATTTGGGCGTTGATACTGCAATAATTATGTTCAATCCCTGAAACTGGCTCTTTTGGGAATCCCTATATTGTGCAATGCTATATCAACCCGAAACATAGTGAGGTATACGGTATCACCTTCTGATCCCTTGAAAAAAAATGGCTTGCCATGTTGGGATTAGTCGATCATTGCATCAAACCAGGTAGGATCAAAACCCACCGACAGCTCAAAACATCTCAAAACCTCAAGACATAGACAAGCTCAGACGCGAATATCAGACGGTCTTCAACTTTAGATCCACTGATCCCACATTTGGAATCTCATCATTGTCATCATGGTAATGATTTCCGATGAAGCCCGAAGAAGCTAAAGAAGTAAGGCACGTGGGAATTGCAATGAGGGATGTTGACAAACAAAGTTCTGCGAACTTGGGAGCTTCGATCATCGTGCCCACGAAGAATCAGAGACAAATCGCTTTCAGGTGACCCCTGGGGAGATATCACCCCGGATTGCTCGTTCAAGGGGCCGCTTGTTCGGCATTTTTCGGATTCCCTTTACCAACCATCCAATTTAATCATAAGTTGAGACATGTTCATTCATAGTGTACTGTAGTTTGGCTGTATTGGATATTGGATGCTGGTGGCTAGTGATGAATACTGAATTCATCTTTTGCTCCAAACATGTCCTCTGATCCTGGTGGTGCCAAGTCCAAGAGCCGTTGGTTTCTGAGGCGATTGGTACTCAAATTGTGCGTTTGGTCTACATGTTCCTCCGAAACGTTGCTTTTAAGTTTGCTTCGCCATTGAAGAGCCAAACATTTCAGGTGATGTTTTCTTGAAAATCCCCCACATAGTTCGAAGATCTTCTCCTGTATAGATGCTCATTTTTTAATACAGGGATTTCCCAGCGGCTCGCCATGTTACACCGGAGGGTATCAAACATTTGTTGTTACATCTACCATGATATCCCCATTCTATCCCCACTATAGACGTTTTAAACTCCAATTCTTGCTGGTTACCCTCTGGTAATTCATCATGGCTATTGAAAATCACGATCTTTGAAACCATTAAATCATCTATATATGGTGATGATCATCATGTTCATCCATTTGTCATAGCAAACTGTGAAAAAATACCAAAAGTATCCATTTTCTGAAGGCTTACCGTTTCGGACTCGACAGTCGCCAGCCCAGCCTCCTCTTCCGCGAGCATGATGCAAATTGCCCATAGACCTCCGGCTTCGGCGAAGCTGTTGCAGTGCGCCTGGCGACATGACAAGTGTGGTCAGTTTGTTGGTTGAGGCCACCTGAAAAATGAGTCATTGGGATACTGTATCATCCCATTTCCATGGTTTGAGTTTGAACATAGATAACATCATTGAAACCACCATTCCAACTGGTCAGATCTTCTGCTTCATGCCCATGTTTTACGCACATCATCCCTCCTTTCACTGCTGAATTTCCCCATTTTTTAACTCCATCCCAGGAACCCCGGCAGCCAATGTTCATTCCTTCAAATCTCATCCTTTTTTCCTGGGGAAGTCCACTTGTTAAATAGGGAGAACTCATGAAATCAACATAAATCAGCCCATGGATTGGGGTGTAATTTTCAGGTACCAAAGCCACAGTGGCTATGGGTCAAAACCCTGGTACCCTTCTGTTCACAGTTCACTCTCCCCAAAAGTGGTTTTGTAAGTTTTCCCACATCCCATATATGTGCGTCTCTGAAAATACGGTACCCCTAGATCTGTGGGTCAATCATTTCAGTCATTCAAATTGTTTCTTTATGGGTATGCATCCCATGTTCAAACACATCCCTATCATCTTATTTTTACATTCCCAATGTATATAATTACCCAGCAAGTGATTGGCTAATTACCCATACTAGGTGCAACACTGCACTTATGGGTATAACATGGTATAACTATGGCAATGGCCAATGGCAATAACAGCTATATTTTGGGATATAAACATCACTGGAACCTCTATAGTTTGGTTAGATATCCACCAATATCACTGGAACTGCACCCCCAAGTATTGTCCATCATAGTTCATATTCCCATTGTTAAATACATCCCAATAATATGGTTACATTCTAGTTGTTATATGGGACAATTACCCACACGCATAAGCATTAATCACGAGAAAAACAACTATATTTCAAACAATAACCATAACCATTAACCATGATTGTAATTAACAAATATTAACAAATAATATTATTGTTAGATTTTGTTAGACATCATAGTTATATATATAGTATTAAATAGTTATATCACCCATTATAGTTAACAATCACTATAATAGTTGTGTTAATAATTAACATCCATTAACATCCATTAACCATTAACCATCACTATCCATCTCGAAGATTAACATCCATTAACATCCATTAACATCCATTAACATCCATTAACATCCATTAACATCCATTAACATTCATTACCCTCTGGTGAACTAACATAGCAATGGAAAATGGCTATTTATAGTGGATTTTCCCATTAAGAATGGTGATTTTCCATTGCTATGTTAGTTCACCAGAGGGTAACATCCATTAACCATCACTGATATTGGTGAATTCCCCAGGCACCTCTGCTTCCACTTGGTCGGCGCAGAGCAGCCAGCCGCAACTGCAGAGCTCCGCCCGCAGCTCGCCGTCCGAGGAACGGAGCCGCAGGGCCAAGATCCGGGGAGCGGAACGCCACGCCGCCTGGGGATCTCCGGGAGATCTCCGGGGAGATCTCCGGGGTTTTTAAACGTGTTAAACTACCAAGGCTTCAAGGTGCTTAACAGTTTCTTAGCTAAGTCCGGGTGCTAAGATGGAATTAACATGCAAAAACTAACATGCTTAAGAGTTGGTTAAGTTGGTCTAAAAACACCAAACCATGGTAGATACTGTGGGGGTATCACCTCGCGGGATCAAGTTGCAACCAAACAGATATAGTATTCTTGGTAAAGTCCTACGAAAAAATAGAGAAAAACACATTCACTTTTCGATGGTTTTGGGGGGGGTAAAGTTTAGCTCGGCAAGAATGTGGCATGATATTGATGTCTTCTCGGGTTTAAACACCTATAATTAATCATAATCATAGGCTATGATATGGATTTTGTCAAGCGAAAACGCCTAAAAAGGCCTAAAGATAAGTTTCAACTGCTAAGAATGAGGAAAGTCCAGCATACTTTGGGGGTTCACATTGTTTAATTTTAAACTCTAACAACCAAAATGTCCAGTCAACCAACCAACACTGGGGGATTTACTCCTAGAATACGTGGACTTACCCAGGGAACCATCAGTTTCACATGCACACCACATATCACATATGTGCTGATCTAACTGATGAGCAAGTGGGTTGTAGACCCCTAATCACTGGGATACAACAACGGGGGTATCCTATATACCAACTGGAAACAAGTTAACATCACTTCAGTTGGAGTGTGCCCAGAATTGGTTGAAGTACAATAAGTGGTACCCAACGTTGACCAATTCGTAGCTTTAGGTGTCAACATTGGGTACCATCCAAACATCCGATACGAATGAACCATTCTCCTAACTTGTGACTACATCTCGTACTGTATGGATCCATGATGGGATCATCTTTTGAAGAGAAATCTCGCAGGAAAACATGGTTTCACATTCCTCATCATCGCTTAGATGTTCCATGGAGTTAGTTGTAGTTAGTAAATGGATTTATAGTTGGGATTGTGGTTTACAAGCCACTTACTCACCAGATTTCCACGTTTTTTCCCATGGCCCATCTATCCTCACATCTGCCAGACCTGCTCAAAGTTATCCATTTCCAGGGCCATGCTTGTCAGGAGCTTCGCCTCAGCATGGCAACAAGCTCGGCTGGGGCAACCTGACTTGCATGCGATCTTTGCTACTTCCACAGTTATATAAGGCCTTTTACCAGTTTAAGTCAGTTATAACTTATAATATAACCTGATTTATGGAATAATGATAGTGATCACTTCTATGACATTGTATAACCCGATTTTAAACCGTTAGAACCATGCACAACTGGTATTTTGGACTTTCACTGCAGCGATCCAACAAAACACACCAAGCCACACCGTACAAGGCGATGCGATGCTCCTCTGCGTCTGCCGCGTCCGCTTGAAGCAGATCCAAAAGCAGCTGGACCTGGCAAAATCAGCCATGGTTGTATCATGTTGTATCAGTGGATTGGTTTAAGGGAAAATTTACAGCAAAACCCCATATTTCATGGGAAAATTTGTGGTTTCCTCTATATTTTCCCTTAAACCAATCTAGTGGTTTTAAGGTTGTAAGTGGCTTAAGTATGGTTTATGGCAGAGACAGTATAAGTATAGTATTCATGGGGTTTATAAACCAACAAACATAACTGGGGGGCATCATCCTGTAAGATAGCCAATGAATGTTTTCACCACATTGTTGCCTTACTAAATTTCCAACAGTGCAACAAGAAATATGGATTGGACATTGGAACACTTCATTCATGGTTATATCAAGTTACCCTAGTGCCCTAGGGTAAACGTTTACATCGATGTGGGGAAAAACAACAACAACAACAACAACAACAACAACATCAACATGGGGAATCCCGTTCAGAAAATGATCTACGAATGATTTAACTGGATTGGTTTTCTGAGTTTTTTTCCGTCTTGGGAGAGTTCTTGGCTATACACAACCAAAAATTCTTGCAGCAAAATAATAATAATAATAATAAAAAAAAACATGAAAAAAACGGTCGTCAATTTCTGCCATGTGGATCCCCAAGACTTCATAAACAATGCCACATATCTGCGATGAAATTTAGAGATCAATCTGGCCGGAGAACCGCATCTTGCTGGTAGAGTTGCTTGATGACTTCCTGTCGTTGCAAAGCTCTGGCTCAAAGTTTCCTGATGTTTGAGACATTTTAATATAAAAACACAAACAGAAGGCGTCAACAACATAAGATGTCAAGCTGTACCCTGAAGGAGGACCTGCTACAACATATATATATAATATTGCTTGAGGAAATCATCTCTTTGCATGGACAGGAGAAGGTGAGAGGTGTGCCAGCAATTCTCCGGTCCAGCAATGATTACATTCTCAGTTGCAACCGAGCACCTAAAGTCTCAAGTGATGATCTATCGTGGTAGAATCCGCACTCTCCAACAATTATACTTTATACTATGGAATCAGAAGGTCTATAATACAGTGTATATATTATATATATAGAGAGTACACATACATGTATACATACCCTTTGCTTATGTGACTTATCCATTTGCCCGTGTATTCACATAGACCCCAGTCCCGGGATGGAAGATGAGTTTCCACTAAACGACATCAGCTCTTTTCAGGGTCAAAACCTGAGTCAAACTGTTCAGTGGGGGAGGCTATGACTCAACGCTTTCCCCACCAGGTGCTTCCCCAGTTTGTTGGCCAAGTTGGCGCTCCAATTACTCGGGTTTATGGTCTATCGAACTGGTTCATGGGCTTATAAACCAACTTACAACTGGGGGGGAACCACCATTTTTCATGCTTAATAAATTAATAATTAAATGTTTCATGGGTACCCTCTGGTAAACTAACATAACTATTGAAAATCACCATGTTTAATGACAAAATTCACTATAAATGGCCATTTTCCATAGCTATTTTGACATAACCAGAGGGTAAATCACATGTTGTCATGGGTAAGTCACGGTGATCGGCCTCGTTTCGAAGCGACATCTGCAGCAACGCGCCCAGGGCTTGGTAGCTGTGACCTTTCGGAACCCCCACCGAATACGGGAAGGATACGTTAAGGTTCAAATATATTGATAATAAAATGAATACACCACTATACATGATATATCATGATATAATATCGGAAATACGCATGATATTCATGATATATATATATATTGCAATCTTGCAGCATTGACTAACCTCAAAACAATCTGCCATATCTTGAGATCGTTACCCCTATTCTAAAAATCATTCCAATGCGGTCGCAGTGCGGTCGATAAAAAAAATATATTATATTATATTATATACATACAACAACAAACCTGGAGTGTTGAAACTAATAAGGATATCTCATTTCTTGCTTAATACACCCAAGTAACAATATCACTTGGGGTGACAAGCCAAAATGGCTTATAATGAACCAAGAAAGAAACAGGACTCGGACATAATTCACATACTTAATAACATAAGATACCAAACATATCAAGAGTGATCCAAGTACCATCTGGTTATTTAACATAGCCATGGAAAGATCCACCCATTTTTAATAGGTAAACCATCTATTTCTATGGGTCATCTATACCATGGCTATGTTAGTCATAACCAGAGGGTATGTAGATATTACTATAGTATTAATATTATAGTTTAGTATTAACCATCCAATTATTGGGGTACCTAGTTTTGACCCATACCCAAATGAATAGTTCCCATGTTCCCCCAGTATCTTCTGATTGCTTCATGGTGACCATGCTGGTTCTTAGGATGGAAATCCTGAACATCACCAACCGAACATGGTGAACATCATCCAAACTGGACATAGAACAGCCACAGAAAAGCCATAGAAAAGCTATAGAAAAGCTATAGAAAAGCTATAGAAAAGCAAGTCTCGGCAAATCTGACTTTTTTTGTACGTTTTTCCGTAAGCCATGATGCAATCCCTGAAATCTGGTCAGATTGCTGCAGCTGAAATCTGTGCCCCATTCCTTGCCTGCATGTGCCAGCAAAAGCGGAACGCCTCGTCAGGTTGTGATCATACTGAGCCATGCGAAAAAAGTGTGGTCCTCTGCCTGTGGATCAATATGGATCAATGATATTTCAAGACCCTTAAAACCATTAGTCATGAACCATCTAGGTCTGTTCCCTGATTTTTGGAGGTGAAATGTCCAACGCTTGGAAGACGTTTGTGTCGTTGGTTCTATCCCGTCCTTTTCAAAATATGTTTTGCTTCAGAAATATATAAAACTTTAAAAACATGGAAAATCCGAAAATCCATGAAAATCCCAGATTTACAGATGATCTTCCCATATCTTCCAATATCTTCCCATGTTTTTCAATGCCAACAAATCCGGGATTTCCGTTGCAGGCTTAGGACTCCGTTGCGCCGTGGCTGCTGCCTGCCTCCTGCATGGCACAAGTCCTCAGCAAAGACCTCCTAGTGGCGATCATTTTGGTTGTTTTTTTCTTCGGAAAAACGTGGGGAAACACAATAAGAAACCATCCCCAAATGGAAACTGTACCTGGGTTTACTTGGGTTTACTTGGCTTTACCACATCATAGAATTTGCTTATTGAGCTTATTGGAAATGCCAAGACTTGGTGAAAGCCATGGCTACAAGGGGCCAGCCCAGGACAACTTAGGGACCATGGTGAAATGACAATTGCCATTGTCTGGAGGAAGCATCAACGCATTTCTTGGATTTGCTTAGGGAATCCCCCAACCAGTGGATTTCCCATTGGGAAACGATGCCACATCAGCAACTCCAGGCTGGATGGGAGGCGGCCAACAACACGAGCAGCTATGTAGGGATAGATGCATCAATCAATGCAATATCTTTCCCAAAGAAAGGATAGCACCCCCAGAAAGGGTCCTGGCCAAAAATCTCCAGCATGTTGCTACCATCGGATATGGCAATATGGTCTCATGTATCTGATCCATACCTTATATCAAGACTGGCAGCTATATCTGGTTGCACCCAATTTTTGTAGCTTAAAAATCGGATTTGGATTCGTTAGACCCCCTATCATGATCCACGGCTGGGATTACCCCTTTATAGGAATGACCTGCCCGCTACATAGCTACAACTGTGTGTATATAAATATATAATTAATCATATATATGCACCAGGCCCTGCCACCCCCCCCCCCCCCCCACCCCCATGGGATGGGTCCCATATACTGGCCCATATGAGATCTTCCCCCTCCCCCCCCCGTGGTGTGGTGGGGGTGTGGCACTGTCCCCCTCCCCCCCCTGTGGTGTGGTGGGGGTGTGGTATGGTATGTTGGGTATGTATGGTGTGTATGGTCGGTCTGGTATGGCATGTTTGGAAAGTATGGTATGTTTGGTATGTATGGTAGGTATGGTATGTATGGCATGAGTGGTTGGTATTGTATGGATGGTAGGTATGGTATGTAAGTCTGTTGGGTATGGTATGTTTGATATGACAGTATGTATGGTCTGTATGGTACTATGATTTGGAATATTTCCTATGTAAGGTAGGTGTGGTATGTATGGCATGTATGTTTGCTATTGTATGTATGGTAGGTGTACGTAGGTGTGGTAATTACATTTCATATGTATGGTATGTATGGTATGTATGAAAGATATGATAGGTATGGTATGCTCGGCATCATTGACATGTATGGTAGGTACGGTATATGTTAAACACAGGTAGTGTTGTCAGAGTACACAGGTAGTAAATAGGAAGTAGATACAGTAGATACATAGCACATGTATATATGACTATAGGTAGCACGTAGGTACTTTGAAGGAGTATGTGTGCTACGTAGGCCGCCTAAAAGGTAGCATGTATCTAGTAAATGCGAGGCTGGTAGTCAGAAATGCTGCAAAGACCTAGCAAATACGCAGCTGGACCTCAGAAATGCTGCCAATAGCTTGCAAATAGAAGGGAATTGGGGCTGCTACCTGGGGACCCAACCCATGGGGGGGGGTGGAGAGACGGAGGACGGGACCATATATATATATATACACAGTGCAGGAGCTACACGTGGTCCTGAGGAAACTCTAGCTATGAGAACCTGGTGTGTGTCCTTCCCAAGAAGTGAGGCTTATGCACCACAGTGTAGGGACTTCTTTTCCACACATTGATCCACAATGCTGGTCGCGAATCCATGATTGATGAGCGACACAAGATTCTTGCATCCCCACCAATCCCCAACTTTGGAGACTTTAAGATCTGTGTCAAATATTTCAAAGCAAAAAACCCAGAACCGCCACGGCAAAAACAACACAACCAAACACTCAAGGCTTGTCATCTTTGTTGTTGTGTGAACTGTGGTTGTGGGTGTGTTCACTGCTGTGGCTCTCAGGTAGAGGATGATGGTTGTCAAGTGGCTTCAGACCCTTCTCTTTTCGCTTGCGAGCTGAGGACATGGTCTCATCATCCACCACTCGCCAACGCTGGTTCATCTCGTAAAACAAGTGGAGCTGGTGCAGTTCTTTGCCCTTGGTGAGAGAGTTAGCTATCTGAGCGTCTGAGTGGACCCATCTCACAATGACTTGGTTCCTTAATTGAGCGTCCTTAAGACTCATCAAATCCAAATCAACTCTCTTTTCAGCACCTCGGGTACATACCACCTCGGTCGCTAGTTTGTCAAAAACATTACGACTGTCAGTAACCAAACAACCCCGAACCAAGTTTACACTTTTGTTAACCTGCCTGATGTCAATGGGATACCCTTGGAGTTCCACAAACTGAAATCTGGCAAAGAATAACAAGTCCTCAGCGTTCACTGCCGCTATGGCCTCACTGGCACCTGGGCTCCTGCATATCCTCCCAATTTTGGAGGAATGCCAGGTAAGAAAGGAAATGTTTTCACAGCGACCCTGAAGCAATCCTTCTGGGGCTGCGGCAACGATGATTCCCTGAGTGCTACTGCCGTCCACACGGTTGTGTGCAGCAGCGTCCGTCCAGGCACATAGTATGGTCTCATTGATTGGCATGGCATGAATCCTCATTCGATGTTGTTTCATCCCTTTTGCTTGGTCCAAACATTTATTGGCTTTATAAAGGGTTTCCACAGTGCTATGGTTAACCTCGGAAAGCAACATCCCCACCTCCGCAGATATGTGTGGGGCAACTTGTTGGGCATGCCAACTGAGACCACCCAGCAACGTTCGCAGCTGGGACTTCTCAAACTGATCGGTGGCCGCATGTTTCTCTTTTCGCCTATGCGCTCTAATGTTTATATGTTTAAGTTCATCTACATAGGACTCCTGGGAAAGAGAAAACGAAAAATCGGCATGTTGTTCGATCAACACTCCACACTGTACAAACTGATCGCGCTGCCAGTCTGACCACTTAAATTGTTCTTTGATGGCAGTCATTGCTGCCTGCCACACTTCATCAGACTCTGAACCTGAGAACAGGAAATCATCTACATGGGCTGAAATCAGTCCTCGGAGGACACCGTCTTTGACTAGTGTCCAGCAACATGGGTCACTCCAACATCGTCGGAAGCCGAGATGAGAGAAAAACTCACAAACTGACCTATACCACTCTAGGGGTGCATCTACAAGTCCGTAGCATGCCTTCTTAACCCTCACTACGGACTCAGCTGGTATACCCATGGCAGTGCAAATCTCAGGACATGGTATGCACAGCAACTCAGATGGATAGGGGCGTGACTGAAGGAACGCGCCCGTCACATCGCCTTTCCAAGTCCGAAAGCGCATGCTGGCTGAGATTTGTAACTGAACCTGCCTTGTCTGTCTAGTGGTAGTGGGCGATGTGGTGGCCCGATGTTCGTACAGCGGGTCCTGATAACCCAGAAGTACAGCCCTGGCCTTTGCTTTGGCTTCACCACTGTCTGTCTTTTTCCAGGTCAGGATCCATCGCATCCTGATAGCACGGGACTTGTCCAGTCTCAGGTGTTCAGGAAGTGATTCAAAAGCCCTTGCTTGGATGAAATTGTTCACCTCGATGTCCTTTGCTGCTGCAAACTTTGCCTTGTCTGCAGCTGTGAGTTTGCGTTCATTCACCTCCACTGCTCTCTTCTTCATGGCTGCAGTGAAATAGCCTACCATGTTCTTGAGTGCTCGCTCACTGGACGCCCGAGTATGAGGCAAGTCAATCTCAACTGAAACTGCTGCCTCTGGGTCATTCCAGAAGGAATCACCAAGCGACACCAGCCTTCCATCTCCGCAAAACCTATAGGGGGCTCTGAACCAGTGCCTGGCCGTGGAGTTCTCGATCTGGTTCTCCTTTCCACAGTGGGCTGAGACTCAGCTTCCATGTGTGCATCCAGATCATCCTCCAGATCCCTCTCTTGTGTTCTGGAAGCTCGAAGAGGACTTCGTTCGCGATGCACCTCTCTGTCACGCTGTGGCGTGTAGGGAGTGCCTCGCTCAGGCTGCTTGTGCCAGTGTCGGAATCTTGGTTGATGCTCTTCTTGAGGATCTTGCGCCCTCTGCCACTCCTGATCATCTATGCTCTGCTCTGTCATGTCATCATAGTCGTTGCCACCAAGCTCTGAGGCTACTCTGGGAAAATCCCAGGGAACATCTTCTGGTTGATACAGCTCTTCCATCAGGGTCTCTCGTGATGAGGCCGCTCTCAGTTGTTCCACGCTGCACTTGATCAGCCTACGGCCTCTCACCAGCCATACTGAACTGTGCCTCCGGAGATTGCCCTCAGGATCCCGAGACTGTTCTGTTGCCAAGATCCGAGCTGGACCTATGAACTGTCCCTTGCCAGGCTTTTGTCCTGCTCCTTTATGGGGCAATTGCTTTCGCCAGATGTACACTAGGTCGCCGACTTCAAAGTTCCTCACACGCTTGTGCTGTGAGTTGTTGGCCCTCTGAAGCCTCTGACGGCTCTGCCACTCCAAGAAAGCCTTCTCGGCACTAAGGCGGACTTGTCTTTGACGCTGCATTTCCACTGTTGAAACACCCAGGCTAGGCTCTGGAGGAGCTTGTCTCAGAGATTGGAAAAACCGGCCGGTCTCGTCCGGTGCTTGACCCAACACATGTTGAAAAGGGCTGTAACCTCTGATGGTCTCCCTCACGTTGAATGCTCGGCAAGTCTCAGCAAGCAGATCAGGAAAACTCGATTCTTCCTGTTCATCAGCCAGTTTATTGAGGACCTCCTTGACACCTTGGATCGCCTGCTCGCAGATTCCTAGTTTCCAGTGCACTTCGCCTGGAATCATATCCAAAAACAGTTGATGCTGATCGCAAAAGGTGGAAATCTCATGGCTTCTGAAAGCCCCGTCTGGATCCAGACGCAGGGTCTCGGGAAAACCGAAGTATTCGGTCCAGGCTTCTCTAAAACTGGAAATAAATTGAGCCGCAGAAACATGCTTTTGTTTTCCAGTGAGAACATGTCGACAAACCCTAAACCGTGAACCCTCATCAATCATCAATATGAACTGAAAATGTTCACCGCTTTTGGGGTGCACCCAATGTCCAATGTCAGCAGCAACTGTGGAAAAACGAGCTGGTTGTGGCTCCAAGGATGACCGGTTTCTAGGCTGTGGTTTGGATTTCTCTTGACAGATGGGACACTGGAAATTCTTGGCCTCATGAAGAACATGTTCAGGGGCTCCCCGCAACTTCAACGCACGATACAAATGTTTGGGATCCCCATGTCCAGTAGCAGAATGAAGGAGATACAGTTTCTTACGAACTTGTTCCAAATTCCTTTTTCCAACCGCAACAAAACTTTCAGAATGTTCCCCAGAAAAACCAAACAAGTCAGAAGTTTGTTGATGGGTACAAAAACCACATTTGATCTGCGCACCATGTCGATTCCCCTCATGACATTGACAAACCAAACCCATGCCAAAATCTTTGGGTTGATTGAAGTGTCCCTCAAGTTCCCTTTGAATGGTATGACGGTCACTCCCTTGGATGATGGCTTGACACACCCGTTGCGCTAGTTTCCTAGTGTAGTAAGCTGTCCTGGTGGTCAATTTTCCTTCGCATGGCACATGCTTCACATGGGATTCACACTGACAGGGCAAGGTAAGACGGCGTGCTAACAACTCATGAGTGGTCATGACCTTCCAACCCTTGGATATGTAATTACCAACATCATCCTTCAGGTCAACCCGGCATCCCCGAATGATAGAAAAATAGGGGTCATAGTCCTTACAAAGTTTCTGGATCAAAGGAAGACGCCAAGCATGACATGACTGTGACCACTCCCATGCCGCGTGAATACCATGTTGAACACAAAACCGGAAAATGATGGCACAACCCACATACTGTTTCAAGGCGTCTCGACGTTTTGTTTCGAGCTCCTGCTTTTGTTGTTCGGAGCGCTGGTTGATATTTTGCATGACAGAATATGGACCACAAACCGGTGAGAGCCAAACCAACTTTGGTTTCTTGAGAGTGATTTGATCCAACACATTCTTCACACCGGCGCTAGTTCCTAAATCACACTGGTTCCAAAGTGAACATCTATGTGCCGACTGTGGATCCTTGGTCATGTCCTGCATAGTGGCCGAAAGAACGCTGTCAGGGCTACATGCGACCTCTAGCAACATGAGTGAACCATCATGTGTCAATGCCTGAAGTGCTTCGGGCAACATGGAGTCAACACTTTGAGCAACCCTGCGGGACTGGCAAGGAGTGGCTTGCTGACATTCAGTGTTTTCTACCCAAGGCACTTCTGGGAACCCTACAGGCTCCACCGCAGGCAAACTACTAGGTTCCAGGCTGCTAAGATTGTGACAGCTAGGGTCCTCACTGGCCTGATCTAAGCCGCTCACTTTGTGACAAGAGAGAAACTCGAATTGCCGCCCATCTCGGTGTCCTTCTCCTTCTTGGTCTCCTTGCGTGGAAGCTCTTGCTTCACCTGCTGGAGCTCGTCCTTCAAATCGGTCACCACATTGGCCAGCTGTTGGATCATGGCCTGTGTCTGGGCCATCTGAGAGCTGGTGATGCTCTCGGAGGCGGAAGATGTCACGGATGTTGCGCCCGTCTTCTTCAACTTCTGGCCGGTGAGGGTGTAACCCTTGGCCTCCATCTCTGCACTGGTGGCCGCTGGCGGGTGGTTGTTGTTCTGCTTGGCAATCTCCGGCTCCTGCTGGTGCTGAATCCACTCGGCCAGTCGTGCCAAGCGGGGGTCCGTTGGCCCCTCTCGTGCCGTCGTCACACACCACTCCGCATACTTGGGCTGCTGTGTCAGCACCTCCTGATATGAGAGGCTTGAGTGGCATCCAAATCCCACTGGATCCTCGGCTGAGGCCTCGGTGATCTGGTAGATCTTGGTGAGGGCAGCCTTCTGGAGCTGCAAGATTGTCTCGTTCCCGGTGATGGTCATCTGGAGATGGTTCTGCACATATTCCTGCAAGATGCCCTTCTTCTTGGACGCCTCGTTCAGGCGGATCACCTCCTTGCGCAGGGGCGTCTTGGACTTTGCCTGACCAAATGGGGGCAGGCCACGTTCCGCACGCAGCTCGTCCAGACGGGTCGCCAGCTCTGCAACCGACCACTGCTTCGGAGGGATCTCGCCAAGACGCGCCAATTCGGTCACCATCTCGGCCTTGCTCACCTTGGGCATGGCTGAAAACAGGAATGGAATGCACGGAATCTACACCACTATCTTGAGATGCTGCAGCTGCTATGACATTGTGATTGTTGGTGTGTGGTTGCACTGAAGTGTTAGGTTGATTGTTGCCGATGACGTGACAAGACTGAGAACCCTCACTGTGACCAAAAACACCAACACCCTGAGGCTCAAGATCATGAATAAAAACATTTGCATTTGACACAGTCTCATTCCGTGAGTCAGTGTTCACACTGACACCCTCAAAATTGTCTGTTAAATCGCTGTCCTTCCTTTTGTCCACAGACATAGACGCAGGAAGGAGTTGTCCCTACAGAAAGGCCTTCAAACTGGGCACGCCCTGACGTACCTCGGTGGCTTGCTGAAACCAGTCCTCCGTCAGAGGAAGCAATTGATGTCCTGTGTTGGAGCGCTCCAACTTGATGACATGCTTGTCGCTCAGGTGGCGGAAGCAAACTAGATCTGATTCAAAATCGATCACCGCTCCAAGCCTACGAAGTGCATCTACGGAAAACAACACAGGACCATCTCCCTTGTCTAAGGTATGTACCCTAAGGCTACCGGACTGGCCTCCTGCTGAAACCTGGAGGTGAGCGGTAGATAGACAGCGGTCTGAACTACTGTTTCCAAAACCAAAAACTGGTCTATCTTGCAAATCTACGGCACTCACTCCTGGGCTGCCACGCTTGCTGGAGTTGATGCCCATGATGGCTTCCATGGCGGTGACTGATGCCAATGTCTTAGTGGCACCTCCATCGAGCACTGCCTTCCCTTGTCGCACTGCATCCTGGGTGCTGATAAGGTTGCTGGCCACACAAGCTTGTTCTTGGATGTCTGCGAAGCACACGAAGGGCGCTGACTCTTGATGCTCAGCTGCTTGTGCTTGTGATTTTTCCTTCATTGGGCATTGTGCTACTCGATGATCGCCTCCACAGCGAAGGCATGTGATCTTCTCCTCTGAGCTTCGGCGGAAGCCACCACTGGTGTAGCTGGGCTTGTTGCTGGTCTTGTAGTACTGCCGGCTCATCTTGACTTGGTGCTGCTTGAACCTTGCCTCCTTCAAGGTCCTGCGGCCTTTCTCTACCAAGGCCATTGCTTCTTGGGCTTGATGTTCAGCATCTTCCAAGGCCATCAAGCCCTCCTCATTCATTCCCTGCGCAGCCAATTGCGCGTAGTCCATGGAGGTATAGTCGGGGTCCTCATCGACCTCGTGCTCATCCATGGCCGCCAGAGCTGACTGACCTTGATCTCGTCGACGAAGATCATCGTCTGTCCACTGGTTCCGGAGCTCTTGCGCCACCCTGGACAAGGAGTAGTTCCCCTTGAGGGCTGAGGTGACCATGTTCCTCTCGGCCGTGGTCAGCCCAGCATCTTGCAGTAGGAACCACCCTTGGACAAAGTCGGGAAGAAGATCCACCGTAGGGCTGGAAGTCGATGGTCCACTATGATGATAGTGAGACTCACCACCCCATGAATCTCGACTCCACCAGGAACCATACCATCCATCATCCCAGCCTCCACGCCAATCTCGCCATTCTGGGTCTTGTGCATAGTTGGCCCAAGGATCCTCGGAACCTCGGGCACCTTGGGCTCCACCAGGCTCTTGGCCGTCTTCAACGGCATCCTCATACTCTTCGTCATCCTCACGATCTGGTGCCATGCTGGAAGCACTGGTTGCCGACGGTCTCGTCAGCATCTCAGACCTGCTCGTTCTTGTGGCTGGCGAGTACCGTTGTTGTACCCTTGCTAAGCTCTGACATGTCCTAGAGTACAACTCTGACTTCCGAGTGATGTAATCACTCATGCTTTCATGTCTCTTCCTCTTGCTGTACCTGAAGTAGCGGCCCATGTAGTCAGACATCTCTGACAACTGCGGCAGCCCCAGGTGTTGGCGCAAATGCGCCAAGAGGACTTGCACTCCTCCTGAGTAGGAGACCCAATCGGGCTCCTTCGCCAGCACGAACCTGCGGGCTGTCCCACTGAGTTCTTGTATCAAGCGGGGCCCGCACAAGTACCGCTTGTGATATGGGACACTCTGTTCCCACATCAGTGCCAGTTTGGAATACTCCTGGTATGTCGAAGCATCTCCGTCCCAGCACGGCACGCCATGTCGATTGCGCTCCACGCGCTTCACCACACGTTCTCCCATGTTCCTAGTCGGCCTGGCAGACTAGGCTAGAAAAACTACCCTGGATCAATTGCCTCAATTGAGGCTCCGCTACCGTGCAGGAGCTACACGTGGTCCTGAGGAAACTCTAGCTATGAGAACCTGGTGTGTGTCCTTCCCAAGAAGTGAGGCTTATGCACCACAGTGTAGGGACTTCTTTTCCACACATTGATCCACAATGCTGGTCGCGAATCCATGATTGATGAGCGACACAAGATTCTTGCACACAGTATATACAATCTTATAGACTGTGGTAAGCCCCATGTAAGCCCCATGTAAGCCCCATATTCTATTCTTAAGGGTCATCGATTTTCCAGCAATGGATGGTATGAACATGTATGAACCATCCTGAATGGGATATTTAAAGATGTGTTCACCACATTGTTGCGTTACTAAATCACATCCTTCATGGTGGAAATCTAGTGACCCTGGGGTAAATGTTTACATAGTTTACAGACAACCCGCCAATGGTGTCCGTGAGGGGAGAATGAGCCGTTCATAAACGGTGGGGGTTTTCCACGTTGGATGATCTCCCATGATGCCATTGGGCCCCATGGGCCCCTCTCCTCGATGCTCATATTCCAAGCCAAAGCTGCTGCCTGCAGAAATCATGGGGAGATTCTGGAGGTCCTAGGGCCTAGGGAAACATGAAGCATCCCTGTCTTAGACGGCTTAGAACATGTTATGTCATGATGGATTAATGATGGATTAATGATGGCTATGCACCACTTATCATACCATTCGATAACTTCGACCAACCACCCCAAAATGCACTTGAAAAAGTACCAAGGTGCAGGATGGTGCAGGGGGCGGAAAAAAAAAAAACACGTGGTCCAACTACAAAGGAGTGACTTTCCAAAGACCCATGGGCCCATGTTCGAGTGGATTTTCACAATGATCCTGTCAAAAATTCCCAAAAAATCCCATGAACATCATGGAAAATCCATCTGGAAAAATCATCACTGAAGAGTTCACTTCCTCAACAAAAAATGGCTGGTGGTATCCCCAGTCCGAAACAAACAAATCACGCAGCAGCTGACTGCCTCATTGGCTTCCGAGGAATCCAACAGTGGCCGGATGAAGTGCAACACGCCTGAGGGGCACAATGAGGCCGACCAAATAATACCAACAATGTCCAAAACTGATGAAAAACGGAAGCTGTATCTCTAGATAAATAGATCTTCATATAATGTAATATATATATAATTAATATAATCAAATAAATATAATAGTAAGAATAATAATAATAATTATTATTATATATATAATTATATATATATAATTATATATATATATATATTCTCATCCAGCTAGCCTTTCCTTTTTGGACTCTATAAGTTCAAGCTGCTTCAAGCAGTTGCCAAGGCACCTGCTTTCATCAAGGCTCGACGTCCCTTGGCGTCCTCAGCCAGGTGCTGCAAGATCATGAGCTGTTGACCTGGCACCACTAAAGTGACACCAAAATTTCAGGCGTTTTCAAACGGCTCAGAATGCAGAAAACATATGAAGACATGACTTGGGTCACCTGGTCACCTCCCAAAATGAAAAACAGACAATGTTTTCACAGATGTCCAATTTGGGGTTTCATCTGGGCTTTCGCTGCGGCGTTCAAATTGGGCACTGCCAACCATGTAGGACACACGCTGCGTCTCAGGTCTTTTTGGTGCCAGCAACTGCTTCAACCTTTCTTCCTAGCGGTGAAGTGTCCAAAATCCGCTGGATAATCCAAGTGAGCCATGAAAAAATACCCTGTTGATGGGTTATTATAAAGGATTATACTACCTGGTTTGATGGGGATTGTGAACTAACCCATAGTAGGGAAAAATCTGTCTGGAACTTGGACCTGACATACGAAGCTTATAATTATGTTCAAGTACCCTTCAAAGTTGACCATCAGTTTGTATGCTTTTGTGGTCTTGGTGAACAGTTGTATTGCATACAGCATTGTACATCCCTTCAAAAATACTTTTGCCCAATGGGTAGGGAACGCTTAAAAGACTTAAAAGAAACAGAATGATGCTTCAACTAGTAGGTTATGTTCCTAGCCAATGTAAACATGTTTCCCTACCCAATTGTTTCATGTGAATTCCTACCCATAGGAATGGGTGCAGAATAGTTCTCTTTTTTTTTGGCTCAGGTTTTGGAATTTTTGTTGGCTTTCTTTCCTGGTACCATCTGCCTTGTATTTGCAACAGTTTGGAACTAGAATCTGTCATTTTGCATGGTATTTGCTACATTTTGGCATGGTCACTTTGCATTTTGCATGGTATCTGCTACATTTGGCCATGGTCGCCTTCCATTTTGCATGGTATTTGCCACGTTTTGGCACTTCAACTTCTCATTTCCATGGTATTTGCTACATTTTGGTGCTTTAAACGTTCATGTGGGTTTCTTTAGGGTTTCATTAAGGGTTTCATTTCAGGTGTCATTTAGGGTTTCTTAGGGTTTCATTTAGGGTTTCTTTAGGGTTTCTTTAGAGTTTCGTTTAGGGTTTCTTTAGGGTTTCATTTAGGGTTTCATTTAAGGTTTCTTTAGGTTTAGGGTTTCTGTAGAGTTTCATTTAGGATTTCTTGAGGGTTTCATATAGGGTTTCTTATCAGGATTTTCAAACGTTCATGTGGGTTTCTTTAGGGCTTATTTAGGGTTTCATTTATAGTAGGGTTTCTTTAGGGTTTCATTTAGGGTTTCTTTAGGGTTTCATTAAGGGTTTCATTTCAGGTGTCATTTAGGGTTTCTTTAGGTTTAGGGTTTCATTTAGGGTTTCTTTAGAGTTTCGTTTAGGATTTCATGTAGGGTTTCTTATCCGGATTTCTTATCAGGATTTCCAAACGTTCATGTGGCTTTCTTTAGGGTTTCTTTAGGGTTTCTTTAGGGTTTCATTTAGGGTTTCGTTAAGGTTTCTTTAGGGTTTCATTTAGGCTTTCATTTAGGGTTTCATTTCAGGTTTCATTTAGGGTTTCTGTAGGTTTAGGGTTTCTTTAGAGTTTCGTTTAGGGTTTCGTTTAGGGTTTCTTTAGGGCTTCATTTAGGGTTTCATTTAAGGTTTCTTTAGGATGTCATTTCGGGTTTCATTCAAAGTTTTTTAGGGATTCATTTATGTTTTTTTTTTTACGGTTCATTTATATACATATATATATATATATATGTGGTTTCTTTAGGGTTCATTTAGGGTTTCATGTAGGGTTTCTTATCAGGATTTCTTATCAGGATTTCTTTAAGGTTTCTTTGGGTTTCACCTAGGGTGTTTACAAACAGGAGAGAATAAAGCAAAAGCAAAGAAAAAACGAAGAGGCAGTAAAGACAGGAAGCAGAGAAGCAGAGGAGCAGGAGGTAGAGCAGCAAAAACACATGAATGAAGAAAAGAAAAAGTAGAATAGTAGAAGTAGAAAGGCACAGAAGCACAAAAGCAGAGAAGCAGGGAAAGCAGAGAAGCAGAAAAGAAAAGAAGCAGGTAAAGCACAAAAGCAGAAAAGCAGAGAAGCAGGGAACGCAGAGAAGCAGAAAAGAAAAGAGGCAGGTAAAGCAGAGAAGCAGACAAGCAGAGAAGCAGGAAAAGCATAAAGCAGAAAAGCAGAGAAGCAGGAAAGCATAGAATCAGGAACCCAAACAAAAATCCAAAACCTGCCGCAAAAAAAATGCCAAAAATAAATAGCCCTCCGTAGGGAATGCCACATTCACAGCTCATGGAAACCACAAGGTCACAAGGATTCGTGATAATCCCATTTATTCATATTAAGCACCCCCACTGCATGGTCCCAAATACATGTATATAATCCCCTACATCCACCATGGTTTCTAGGGGATGTCTGATATTAGGGGGAAGGAATGAATCCCGTTTGAATCAACCATAATACGCGCACATTTAATCCTTCTGAATTTCATGTCTGATTCATTGAAATGGGTTTGACAATTTAGAGGACAACCCCAAATCCACTGGTGTGTCATCACTTTCACAAACTTGAGACTTTTAGTGGTTAACACCCCATTCTTGTCTGTTATATCTCCATCTTAATGAGCCATTGTATGGCAAAAAAAAAGGCGCTCGTCGTGAGCAGGGGAGCAACGTGGTGTTGCCCAGCAAACTTGAGATGTGATAAATTGGGGGCCCATCCTTCATTTCCAGATGCACCAAAACATATTGTTGGTTATATATCCCATGACATTCCCAGTAGATCCCATTGAATCACCTTTTCTCTTGGTTACCCTCCTTTAAACTGACTTAGATGTGGGGAACCCATGATTTGTAATTATATAGAATATTTTTCCGAACGAGAAACCATAGGTTTTCCACAGCTTTTTGTATATTTACCCCACGGTAAATCCCCATTTGAGACACACCACAAGATATCAAGGTGGTTCTAAGTTCTATGTATACCATTAAATATTCCCTGTAATTAGATCCCATCAAATTACGTCCATTGGAAATCCCGCTTTTTCATGGTGAAACCATCTGAAAAACCTTAAAGGGGTACCCCAAAATAATTACCAACATGGCTGGAAAATCCCAAAAAATCGCGTTGAATGTCCCACTCAAAGCTCCATTTACTTCGGGGATTTCCCAGTCCACGTTTCAAAAAGGCAAGCCCCAGGACTCTCCAGGACCTGCCACAAGACGCTGCGACCGACCGGCACCAGCGTCAGCTTCAACAAGGCTTCGGAAGACTGGGCTGGGTGGGTGACTCAGGAAACAATGGCAAGACATTGGTCAACATGTGGACGGTAAAAATCTATGGCAAACAGACTGGTTTGCCAAACATGTTGAATTTCGTAAAATGATTGTGTCAAATATGTCGAATCATTTTTATTCTTGCTGGGAAACAATTAGCAAAGGATGGAGATAAAGAGAACTGGCCCTGATTGATAAAGATGTACTGATGGCTAAGCAAGTTGCAAAAAATGGTAAAATGATGGGTGGCAATAACAATCCAAACGGGCAAATGCATGCAAATGCAAAACAACATGGAAAAAACATTGCTGACTGGTCATATAGACTCCCCCCGGCCCCGTAAAGGCTCGGAGACTCACAGTAATCCATCACCGGTAGTGCGGGGATTGCACCTTCGCAACGAGAAGTCCATCATCTGAAGAAAGACCTTGGAAGCAGATCAGTGCCTGCAGCCGTTTTATAACCTCACCTTATACAGTAACTCCACCTATACCTTATATAGTCATTTGCTCCGCAAATCCTAGTTATTGTACGTAGTTATAACATGTTATAGACAAATTTCACGGACTGAGCGATCTTGCGGGCCTCGCATTTCCACTTACCAAAGTGGTTCATGACACTGTCCCAGTCTTCCATCTAAGGCATCGACAGTGCAACAAGGCCTCGACATGCTCATGAAAGGGTACTTGACTTAGGGACCCCATCAATCTACAAAATTCTACAGACATATACCTGCATCTTCCAATCTATGTAAAATTATTGCCTTTTCAGGAATTATTGCTGGCGACATGTTTTTCTGCCTGTGAGCAAGTCTTGTATTGTTCTGCCTTTGCACACCTTTGCAGGTGTTTGCCGGTGTTGAAACGGCGAACAAAACCCAATGAAGCAGCGAAAAAACTCGACGAAACGGCGAACAAAAATCAAGAACCCAAAATGTGAAGACTGAAACGGCGAAAAAAATTGGAAACGGCGATATTTTAGGCAACCGGCGACAATGATTGCTGTTTCGGATTTCGAGCGATAATTTTGCATAGGTGGATTATCTAGGTATGCCAAGTCGACCCAATTCGGCCAATTCTCAGAAAGTGTGAGACCAGTATATATAATTATATAATTAATATTAATAATTATATATTAGATCTATTTGGATATATTTAGATCAATTTGGATCTGGATCCAGTCGCATTTGAAACACAGATCATTTTTGGCTCTGAGATCTTCACCAAATCGCAGTTGGAGTCTGTCAAAGCGCAGGCACAGGAGTCCTGGAACAAAATCGAGAACACGCCCTGGGGATCCTGTGAAATAATGGGATATCATGGGGAAATAGTACGGAAATGTGAACTGATTCTATGCCATCAGTATCCCCCTCAATAGTCATGCGGATCAATAGTCATGGGGATATCATATATCCACTACTATCAATATCAGTATCATGGGGATATCAATAGTCATGATACTGATACATACTGATACTATGCAATTTCAAGAGTTGGATAGTCACGCATCCATTGCGATTCTCTGACGAGAATGATTATTTCTGAAAACAGACTATTCATAACAAGGCCCAAAGGACTACAAATTTGGCTACATGGATTCTATGTGGTAATTAGTAAGCCATCCAATTTTGAGATCATTTGCGTACCGACTCTTCCAACTGGTGCTTACTCAGTCATCCAAAGACGTCGGTCAAGAGGATATTCATACCATTCGTAAGGATTCGTAAGGAAGAAACACCAACCAGTTGTGACATCGTGGTGGTTTTTGTCTGCTTCCTTTTCGGTAGTTCAAGTCTCTACAGGATGGGGCCCCCCAGTTATAAGTGGGTTTATAAACCATTATAACCCCTATTAACTATAGTTATATCTACCATAAAGCCACTTATAAGGCAACTTAGCTATCTTGGGGGCACCATCCTGTAGTTACTTCTGGTAAAAACCAGTAATACCTTGGACCACCAAAAGCGCCCCAGGTATCGAGCCTGGAATGTCTCACATCAGCCAATGATTTTCCAGTTGTAAAGACTTGTAAAGAGATATCGATGGTTAAGGGGAACGACAATTTATCGGACTTTGTAACCCCTTGAAGTAGATTGATCTATCTACCAGAAGCACTATACTGAGATATAAACTTACTTAGCTAACAAACTGGGGCATCACTTTGTATAATTATGTATATACATATAATTCAACTTTCTCGAACATGCTCGAACCATATTTCATATTTGATGTGGTAAACCCACACATAAACCATCCCCACATATTAGGTGACATTGGGATGCATTGGGTAAACACCACATTGCTGGTTATGTCCCATGAAAATCCCATGAACTGTATATCCTACATATATCTGGATAAATATCTGATTCAACCGCGACTGAATTATATACATCACCATAAACCCTAAATGTTTAAACGGCGATTGAGTAAGTCATATTTAGTGTGACAATTGTCGGTAAATATTATTGGCATGAATGGACATAAAATGACATAAAATGACATAAATGGGTGATAAATCCCAGTCACAATTTGTCTCCTTCTCTGCTAGGCTGGACAAGGTCATTGCAGCGACCTCCAACGATCCATCTCAACGGAAGGGGAACCGGTGTAATTCCTCGATCTGTTCGTATCCTCGAAGATGGGGATGTTGAAAACCGGTTCCGCGTTGCGGGTATCTTAAGCAACACAAATTCAAGGAAACGACAGACCGTCAAATGGGAATTTTAACAGCAAAAAACTGCTGTTTTTAGATACCAACGGAACAGATCGGAACATGGGATTCAGCCAACAAGAAAGGGTATCTTAGTCTTAATCAACATGAATGGTTTAATCAAAGAGTGCCTCAAGCACCAACAAATGCAGCCAACGTAAATCTGGATTCAGCCAATACTTTCTGTATAAAAAATCCATTTCCTCTTGGACACACGAAGACATGTACGGGCAGCTCAGCGTTTAAAACGGATCTCAAGTAAGCATCGGGATTCAACACAGCGGGGGTATCATCGACCCATCATTCCTTGGCTCCTTAAGGCTTTAAGGGAAACCTGCACAGTGATGCCTCATGTTTGCCCCATTTGCCCGTCCCCAAGAGCTTTCCGGAATCATCCTCCCATCATTTGCAGAACATTCGAAACAGGTTGTTTCAACCCATCCCCATAAAAGAAAGATACAATGGGATGCAATGTGCTCATCATGTGATCCCCCAAAAGGATAACTTTTGGGCACCTGACCATCGAACAGATAAGTTTTAGTAAAAATCCTCATAGGGGTAAATTGGTTGTTCTATCTTTTTGAGGATGGCAACATATTGAGACCAAAAGATCAATGCGTGCGCCTCGCCTGGTTCAAGGGAGAACCCCCAAACAGCAAACTGCTCAACAGGCGTAACGCACCCGACGCCCTCGGTGGGAAGTTCCCATGATCAAAGGAGGACATCCCGTGTAATCAGTGGTTTCCCATCAAAAAACCAAGGAAGACAGAGTCGTATTCCCAACAGGATTCCCAACACATGACAAGAGCAAACATCAATCAAGCACCATTATTCCACTTCTTATCATTTCATGATTCTTACCAGGCACTGGAAAGTTTGAAGGCTCGGCAAACCGAACAAAGTACCACAAACCTTGCGAGGGAAGTGGTCTCTGTTTCTGGCAATGAGATGGAGATCCGCTTTTCACAACCTTGCAAATATGCTCTCGACAGCGGATTGGCTTTACTTTTCATGCAATTGCGCAAAGGTTAGCTTGTCATAAATGGATTTAAGTGGGCCCATTGGGTCAGAATGATGCAACCAGACTTGCCTGGTTGATTGATTCGGAGCCTTCCCCCGACAATGATCAACAGCCCACAGGGTGGTACCCCCCGTTATAAATTGGTCTACAATCCCCTTAACTATATATAAGATATAACTATAACTTATATAATTAACATGATATACTGTAACCCCATAAACCCTAGTAATTAATTGGAGTGAACTAAACCAACTTCTCTCACAGACTGGGGCACCACCCTGAAGTGGCTTAGCAATTCGGGCGTGTCATTCCCCCATTTTCAGACAAGACACCGGCAAACGGCCGCCTGTTCGGAGTTGTCGCTGTGGCACCGTAAAAAACAAAGGCCATGGTCTGACACTTTTTGGCAACTCCCCAAAGATAGAACATGTAAAATATTGTAATCATGTAGAATCCTATTAAACGAAGGGTAAATTGATACAACTCCTAGGGAAAGGTGGTTGAAATAGGGCTTAACATGGCTAAATTGATGTCTTAATCTTTTACCATAAAGAAGTTCTCCCGATTCCTACAGGAACGAAAACCACTGAGAACTTCTTAAGTCTTCTTATAGACACACATTCATTCCACGTGCCTTTTGTATCCTTTTCCAAGATGTTTGCAACATTGCGGAGAAAATGTTGTCCACAAAACCTGACATCTGCGAGGCCAACCAAGTTACACAGACATAGTTTCAGTCTCTTCCGGCCTTGCAATCGTCCAAAGCGCAGAGATTCAGCAAGGCTGCCACTGCGCCAACCGCAGGCCTAAGCCAGGGTCATCTGGGCGAAGTCAGCTCAGGTGACCGGCTGTGATATGTTGTGATCTGGTTGGTGGTTGACCTACCCCTCTGAAAAATATGAGTTGGGATGATGACATTCCCAACTGAATGGGAAAAAAAATGTTCCAAACCACCAACCAGATGTGATAATATCTTTGTTGATGTTTTCCAAGATACACTTGGAAAACATTGAATTGGATGGAAAAAAGGGTCACACGCAGGGCGTGTTTCTATTAATTACTCATACGATTCGATGACTCCAGGTCATCAAGGTGCAGCCTGCCTAAGCTCCGCGCTGGGCTTCAATGAGCTTCAGCAGTGCTGTCACCAGGCCCAGCTTGAACAAACGTATCCTGGAAAGTCACCGATAAATTCCTGGCTTTCCTACCACCGAAACACAAACTGATTGGGCCACTGGACCCTGCGTTTTAACATCTAAACATACTTCGGACTCGATATCTGAATGATTCTGAATGTCTTTTTCTGAAGTACCAATATTTGATTATAAGAAATAGCATATGTACTATGTCCAGATATTCACCTACCATGTCGGACCATTTCAAGGGTGGATGTGGGTAAGAGTTGTAGATATACCAAAACTGGAACATCAGATATATATATATATATTTCGGGTCATCATTGTACTAAACACGGTAAAGGTCAATGGTTGTGAGCCAACACCTTTAATGAGGTCATGGTTGTTGTCCCAGAAACTGCTGAACCCAATGGGTTCAAGTCACCGATTCCTGGCCCAATCAATAGTTTAGATTAACAAAAATTCACACTATAGTTATTTACCTCCAATTCTAATTGTATATCACTGTATATCACATAACTCTGAGTAAATTGCACTAACCTGAAATGAGGCTGTTCCACTTTGGGATACTCCAATCCAATTCCCATCTTTCCAGTGACCTCACATAAAACCCCAATCAGATTCCTAACATTTCCCAAGATTTCGTTATTCGAATTTATTCAAGTTATTCCCATTGTATCCCCATATACCCATGATCTTCCCAGTATATTGACGATTTTCTTCAATGACTATCATCCAGATCAATCATCATGGTGTATCATTACGCCCGTCCGGCCCGCTGTCTTTAAACGTTGTTGTTAAAACAACGACCCCAGGCCCGTGGACGAGTCCTGTAGGCTTCCTTCAAGGCAAACTGGCCCAGGCATTCCGCAGCCTTGAGATCCAGCTGCTGCCCGAGATAGGTTTATAATCCCATTAACCATAGATACATCATAGATATATCTACCATAAACATCAATTCATCAATATTCACCAATATTCACCTAGATTCATCAATATTCACCAATATATATATATATATATATATCATAATACTGTATATCATAAACATCCATAAAGCCTCATAATATCCTTTTCGAAGTCTTGAGGTTCTTCTTGCAGTCTCAATCTTCACTTGTCCAGTCAGTCAAAAACCCAGTATGGTGAGCTTCTTTGATGGATCAGCCTAAGCACTCTATCGAGCTGCTGAAAAAAGGGAGTTACCATAGAACCTATGAAATATACTACCATTGCAAGTCTCTAGTATCTGTAGTCATCAAACATAGTCATACAACAGTAATATACATATTTATATTTATTTATCCAATCTATACATAAACACAACATTAAACACTAATTTCACTATTTAAACACTATTAAACACTATTAAACACTATTAAACACTATTAAACACTATTAAACAAACAAACACAATTCATCACTTCACTTCGGTCCGTTTGCTTCTGCCAACCCCCTGGTTGTTCGCCTTCACTGAGAGCTTGGAGACCAACAACTCCAAAGCACCCAGGGCCACCATCTCGGCCTCGCGGAGTCGCAGCGATTTTTTCTTGACTAAAAAACAAGAGATAGGGATACTAATATGTGATAATATGGGAGAGTGATATCTATTAATATTATTTAATATTAATTTAATATTATTATTTGATATTATTTGATATTATTTAGTATTATTTAATATTGGCCATCTCACGTGACTATTCAAACAATTACATATACAATTACTAGATCTGACGAATTGTGAAGAGCAAAGAATCATAGTGATAAGCTCAGATTGATCACTATATTATGATTGATCACGATTCAAACAATCACTATAGTTCAAACAATAGTGAACTATCGAATAGATAGCCAAGAATCATAGTGATAAATATGTGGTACTATGTGATCAGCATGGATTTGAGCATACTGTAAATTTTCCTTTACCAATAATCAGCTACGATCCATGGTTCGGCAGAAACTAATCATAGATCATTTTTGTCATTCAAAGTTGTCACACAGTCTTGAATAGTCTTGACAAACCAATCATTTCTGGACAAAGTTCGCATTGGTGATTAATACTCCATAAAACTAGTACGGCCAAGTGGCTATTATAAATTGACCAACTTCTTGTTCTTCAGCAGTATATGTTGTTTTTCTTTAGACTGTTATATTCAGGATACAGTACATAGTGGGCCGTAAATGGGCTTCAAGGTATTCCACGAAGCGCCTAGGCGAATGGTTGGACCAAAATCATCCACCTCCAGTCCCACAACGATTTCAAGGGGTTGGCGTCTACTCTCCGGTAATCAAACATGGAAAAATGAATGCATTAAGATCATGTAATGGAAAGCCCCATATTAAGCCATAAAGACCCATATATTTAGCATCCATATAGTTTTTGCCATTGTCACGTTTGACAACCCGAGGGTCGTCACCCATCCTGTTTCAAGCCGCACCTGACACTTGTCATCCACACTGAGGCTGTTGAGCGCTGCAGTCGCAGCTTCTACACCTGGCCATCTTTGGTGGGAACATCGACGGCAACAGCTTTTCCCCCAGTGAGATCTTCAATCTAATGAAACTGCTGGAATTTTCTCTGAAACCAGTCATTCCTTAAAGTGTTCGCACTTGGGGGTGCAGTTGGGCTTCTTTTTGTAGCTATAACCATGTAGTTGCCCCCATAAGTTGGGCTATGGGGTCCCTACACATATTATATACTCACATATTATGTATTGTATCATATTACATCCATATTATAACATCCATTTATGATCCAAATGTAATATAATGTGTAATATTACATCTACTTATAACATCTTATAACTGGAACTGCACCCCAAGTTGTCGCACTGTCCTGCACCCCCCTTCCCTCTTCCCTGGACCCGCGAAAGTGATCCCAAAGTGTCAGAGGTGCCATCGGGCGAATCTGACCCCAGTGCAGCCACTAGCACCCGAATGGCCCCGCTGCGGCGAAAGACCTGCGCTCAGCTGGGAAGGCAGAAATGGAGGTGGTATGCGGTATGTGGATAGCTTCAGCAATCTATTTTTGAACCTATGTACACACTCAAAATATCTCAAAATGGGATGGTGTAGACTTTGCCAAATTTCATGTGGTTCTTGGATGTATATAAATGTAACTAAGTAACTAGCTTCCGATCTCCGATAATTTTGAAGTCTTTTTGGCCAGATCTCTGCGGATAGCGCCTCACGACTTTGCGGGTCCGCCAGAGTTTCCACACAAAGAGCTGCTGGAGTCAGTCTCAGCTGCTTCCGCATGACCCCAAGAATTAAAGATGTTGCCCCAAGGCGGTCGAAAGCAACGTGTCCGTTGCATTTTCAATCTGTTGATCTGGAGCAAGACAATGAGAAATCCCGAAAGAAAGTGGGTTACTATGTAAGGTAACTAGGGGTCAACTTCCTTAGGAAGATAACACCTCCATTTTTTAGACTCTGTGTAAGGTGCAGGTCCCTTAAAGGAGCAGCATCTAAGTTTCCAACATCGATGGGAGAGGCTGCAACAAAAGTGAAGCCACCTGGGGAAGATTTCCAGAAAACCTCCGGATTTCATGGTCAAACAAGCCATCTGTAGGTATACCAAGAAATTACCAAAATGGTCCATGTATTTTTTTGTTTACATATCATACATGGAGCATCTCGGAGTCGATTTCATGAATCAAACCACTGGAAACCACTTCTGAGGTGAACCGTACTTCACCGTACTTCAGCTAAGAGTTGATCTTCAACATTCTGACTCGTCTATAGTGAAATCACGTCGTGAACCGTAAGGTAAAGCAACTTACAGAACGCAATCCTGGGTTTTCTCCCGTCAAATCTTACGAATCTCCGAAAGTGGTGTTCCTTTAAAATCAAATCAGCAATCTTCATAAAACCACACTTTCCTGTAGGTCGAGAACCAGATTCCCCGAATATCGATTCTGATCATCCCGAAAAAAAATCTTGGTTAGTACAATCTCTGAACTAATCATCAATCAACCATCATTTATCAGTTGTGTCAGTGAAATATCCGTTTATGTGTTGATGGTTAGAAATATATTTTAAAAAAATCCTATTTTGCATCCCTATGACATGACTACAATCATCAACCAACTGTGCTTTAAACACAGATTTCTTCCGCAACGGTGCCTGCAACTCTGCCCCGGGCACCGTGCAATGGGCGCAACAGGCAGCCAGGCAACCCAGCAAGGAAGGCAACTCATCGACCTCCCGGAGCTGTCCTATGTATTATTATTATATATATATTATATTTAAATATAAACATGCATCTTATACATATACATTATACATTATACATATATGAATATATATATATATATATATTGATATACATGATGTGTATGTATATATATGTAATATATATATACACGTATATTCATATTCTGTATGTCTAGAAATTACTTGCTATGTATTATATATACACACCTATTACTGTCATATATCATTCCTCTGGTAGCCTTTTTTGATTCCAAGCAGCGTGCTATTTTCCTGATCCCATCCCAGCTGCCAGCCTGGAATTATCGGTGAATATCCAATGATTTGGTTGATAAACACCACAAATTTTGTCGGTTAAGACATACTCCCGATATTTGATGAATATCCCAGTATCACCATGTCAAATCTCTGGCTTTAACAAACATGTGGGGAAAATGATGACACTCGCCAACCAGGCGCCACGTATTTTGATGATGTTTGGTGTCATCCCCAAGGAGACTTCCCCCACAACTTGCAGCATTTTTCCACCATTTTGTGGAGAAATCCATATCCATGGTTGCCATGTCCATGATGTTTGGTTATTTCATCTGTACCCATTTAAGATGAGTTTAATTACCCAAAGTGGTTGCTAGTTGGTGCGAGGTTCTGCCATTGTGGATCCCGTGGGAGATAAAACCAGAGTCATATGGAAAAAAATACATCGGAGGCAATTCACTATGTTCAGGCATACGTTTCATGAATAATGGGTAATTATAAATATGGGCGAAAATGTATTGTTCTTGGCGAGAGGACATGTATCTAAAAGTAATCATGAACTAGGAACAAAACATCCAGCATGCGAAGCTAGAACAGTGGGAAGGCACCGTTCTACCACTGGTTGCTCACACATGTGAGCGCCAATAACACTATTCGACAGCTCCTAGGAAGTTCCGCAAATAGCAGTAACAAGTCATGACAGGTGTGAGAAATTGTCAACTTTGAAATTGAATTTTGATGGCGAACCTATGACTGGTTTAATTCGACATAATCGATGTGGCTTTATTCACTGACTGGACTGGTTATAAGTTATAACTACCCCTATTTTGATAACAAACCATATTGCACTTGCGGTCGCTACAAAGGTAACAGGTATATTAGAATAATTCAGAATTAACACCCATATACAATCTGGGAATCTAACACTGCAGCTACAGAAAATGGTCTATCTATCATCATTTACTTCCATGATTTACCTACTGAAACTGGTGATTTATCTATGATTTTCTTATATGTGTTCTTATGATTTCTTATGTTTCAAATGAATGTTCTATATGTTTTCTATGTGTTTTTTTGTGATTTCTTATGTTTCATGTGACATAAAAATTTGTGAAAATCACCAAAAACGACCATTTTTCTTCATTTTCCAGCCACCTTCGCCACCTTTGCCACCTTGCCTTCCCGGCCGCCACCGCATCTTGCAACGCCACCAGCAGCCGCGACCCTTCGGCAGCGACCTCGGCAAGGTCAGGCGCCTCGTTGGATGCGATCCTTCGCCAGAGCTCTACGGGCTCGGGCTCCACGGCCATCGGCCATTCTAAAGGAGGGACGGTTGAAGGTGCTCAAAACATCGTGTTTTAATGTGTTTTTAATGTTTTATAATGTGTTTTTTTTTAATTGTGTTTTATGTGTGTTGTTTAAAATGTTTATGGTGTCTCTATGTTTTTGTTTTACATCTGTTCTAAGGAGTTCTAAGGTATGGAAATTCTGAGGTCATAAAGTGTGTTTTCTCATGTTAAGATGATGTCTCAAAAGTCTGTCATTTTCGTATGAAGGTTTTGCTAAGTGATAGGTCATATATAATCATATATATATACATACACATGAGATTATCTGAGTCTTTCTGGTAAGAAACCCAGTCTTATTATATAGGTTTTATTGGAGATTCACAAATTTGGCGACTTGATAATTTTTCGCTACTGAGAAACGAGTTGTTTTTTTTTTCTGATGTCGAGTTATTCACTCGATTCAATCATTCAGTACCATTCATACCTCGGAACCATGTCATGATAAAAACATCAAGTACTCCACAGTACCCTTGAAGGAGGTGGTTGCTTCAAAACATGTACGCTGCAAACCCCACGTTTGCCCGCATCGGATCCCGCATATCCTTTGACATGCTCAAATCCCTGCGCAGAGCTAGCGTTTTTTACTGTCCAAAACCTAAAGCCTAAAACCCAAAAACCCAAAAAAGCCTCCAACCCTAAAAGCCTAATAAACCTAAACCCTAAATTAAAACATATTAAAACCCTAAATCCTAAAAACCTAAAGTCAAAATCGCTGCGTATAGCCAGTGTGTTCATTCATCCTCCGATGACAAGTATATGATATCGTTTGATATCATTTGGGTGTGTTCTTGGGGTGTGGGCGAACGTGGGGTTTGGCGCCAACATGTAAAATCTGCCTTTCTTTGCGATACAGGTTTCCCTCTTGCTATGAGGAACTTTTCTGAATCATTGAATTTCTTCATTGCTCGTACTGTATGCAGCAAGCAAACTGAAATCTGTGAAAATCCCGCAGAATGACACGCATCGTTAGGATTCAAATATGGGTAAAAACTGGTACTCCATGGTACTCCAAAATGGCCGGTAACTGGGTGTTTGTCAGTCCCAAAGACCTTCCACACGCTTCCGCATTGACCTATCCCCATCTTCGACCCAGCAGCTCCAAGAATCGAGGCTGAACGTACCGGACACTTTTGCAACGCTGGCCAACTCACTATAGCAATCCATCTGCAGCGCTTTGACACGCAGCTGGTTCTCAAACTGGTTTACAACACTGCGACATGCCGCTGCCCGAACCAATGTGATACATCCCTCAAAACCCTGAAAGTATCCCTACACATTGGGAACATCACATTTGAGTGAACGGTGTGTCTTGGTACGAAACGTTACAAACCATTGAACACATATTTGGCACAAAGACACTTTCTCCAAGACGGGCTAGCCCGGCCGGCTGCTTTGTCTTTAAGGCATCTGCAAGGGCTCAGCAGCGCTTCATATTGTGCAAAAATCCTTTCAAATCATCTACTAATTTTGCTATGACATGTCTTCTGCATCGTTCGTTTTGACTTGCAAACACATGCTTCATTCATCCTAGAGTACTACAACAAAGCAAAAGCCTACTCCGAGCCCCCTAATGGGAAAAATGTCTAACCATATAACCACTGATTTTCTGCGGGTTACAAACTTGACACTTCATTACGACAAGTTGCTCTATAGCGGCCATTGCAACGGCAGTCAGGAACGGCGCTAGGCACTTGCGACCGCGATGCCATCGGACTGGCATCATAATGTGAGGCTGTCACCCTAAGCAGGAAACTGGCTGCAATGCGCAAATCATCACTGGCCATGTTTCACCCTGACACGTGAGATGTCAGTAACTCAAAGCTACCCAACGCGAAACAGGAGAATGAAGAACTGGAAGATTGCAAAAGGCTTGAGTCAGGGGAAACACAGCCTTAGTGACTATGCAAAAGCAAGACAGCTCGGGATGAATTCAGAGCTTCGTTTTCGCTGCTGCGGTCTTGTGGGCAGCTCAGCACCAGCCGCGCAGCAAGATGCGACTGCTAGGCGCTGCACTTTCCCCTTGAGGGATCAGTAGAGGTAAGCGACTGCAGAGCTTTGCACTTCTGTGATTCAGCGCGTGAATCAGACATATGCGCTGCGGATTTCTCATGATAGACATTATAATTACATTAATATAGTATGTGTGATTTAATATACAGAAGGCCGAATGAACCCGGGTGTAATCATCCCCCGACCTGTATGCAAAACCAGCGCCACTGACGGACATTTATATCACGCATCTAGTGCCGCTCGGAGTCGCAAAACATCGCCCCTGCCATCCAGTGCATCTCTGGCGCTAATTATAATCCCGTGCAGTCTTGACTGTACATACTTTCAAGACAGGTCAGTCCTCTATACTGACTCTCAATCCGACAAACCTGTGCAGTTCGGCCTGTGAAAGGTATTGTGTCAGGAGTGTCGGGCTCCGCAGGTATTGATTTTCTGGTACCCTCCAGTAATTCAACATTCAACAAAGCTATGGAATTCATGGCCATCCATGGCCATGGCCCATTTACTTCGATGATTTTCCCACGGATCCAATGTGGTCACTGGATCAGCATCCTGGAGGAGCCTCCCCAGCTACCACTGGCAACGGCTATCTGTCCCAAAACGGCGGCCACACCCGCGTGGCGAAGCGGCTTGGGGCCCCTTCTATCTGAGCTGATGCAAATAATCTGGGTTTCCGAACAGTATTTTGGCATATTTTGGCTCAGTAGTTTTAAGACCGTTTCTTTGCGCCGTGTTACGAGTATGGTGTCAAACACACGGGGAGACCTCCTGCGGTGTCACTCTATCCGGATGCACGCACCGCAGCGGAACGGTGCACCTCGGTGAAGTTTCCAAAGTCATAGGGGTACCCCCATGGATTGGAAACCTCCAGGTGGATCAGTAACAGCATTACCAATAGTAGAAACACAAGCTGGAGATATATCTGCATATACAACAAATGTAATATATAACATAGTTTATTACTTTTTTAGTGTGGTTTCATGTGATTTACCTTTCTATTTTTTTTAAGGTTAATACAATATGAAAAACAGCACCAATTTCCAGCTTCTCCTGCCTGAAGAATGATGCTAATAATGTGAAATACAGGGAACCTGGTATCATTCATATCTGATGGTCAGAATCCTGGTACACTGCTTCGAAGACCAGCTGCTAATTGATGTTCATCCTTCCCAAAATGGTGCTGTGAGAGTTGACGCATATCCATACCCAAACTGCATCAGTTTCAAGCGTCTCATGTTTACTTGAATATCTAATGATGTAAATATAGATTGAAATTTCCTGCAAAACCAGACAACAATCAATGGCATATTTTGAAGTATTGCTCTTCTATTCATTCATTCGTTCAATCATTCATTCAATCAATTAGTTAATATATACAGTAATCATTTCAATCATTCATTCATTGGTTCATTGGCTAATCGATTCATTCATTCATCCAGTGATTCATTCATTCCTTCACTCATTCCTTCCTTCCTTCATTCCTTCATTCCTACATTCCTTCAGTCCTTCACTCCTTCCCTTATTCATTTCATTCATTTCATTCATTTCATTCAGTTCATTCACTTCATTCATTTCATTCACTTCATTCATTTCATTCATTCATTCCATTCATTTATGTGTTCATTTATTTCATTAATTCATTTAATTTATTTCATTCATTTAATGTCATTCATTAATTCATTTCATTAATTTCATTCATTCATTCATTTATGTCATTCATTAATTTATTTCATTCGTTCATTTATTTCATTCATTCATGCATTCACTCATTCACTCATTCACTCATTCACTCATTCACTCATTCACTCATTCATTCATTCATTCATTAATTCATTAATTCATTCACCTATTCATCTACTTTGCTTCATGCAACTGTCCAGATTCAGAATTCTAAAAGATTAGGATTCCTATTGCATGGTTCATTCATAAATCCGCTGCTCCGCGAAGCGGAACGTTGATCTTCAAAGACACCGCCTTACCAAATGTCCATAGATCAAACATTGTGCTGGGATGTTTTGTTTCAGCCCGTTAGTATAATCTACAAATACATATTAGACATGACATCATGACATCCCCATTTTTGTAGCCAAATCATAAAATGGTCCGTAGGCAAACCCGACGAAGCATCGCCAAGACACTCGACGAAGCAGTCTAGACTTCGGTGTCTCGGGTGCCATTTGAGTCATTTCTGTTTTCGCCCAACTGGAAACACATTCCTGGCAGGTCACATTCGCAGGGGACCTACAGGCGCCATGATGTGAAACTGATAGGACAATAAATGGGGATTGATATCTTGGCAAGTAAAATATATGATATATATGTTTGTCTTGGGGTATAAGTACTAGTTCAAGCAGGTTTTCTGAACATGTGGATCTCATAAATTCCACATTTTTGCATAGCGGCATTCCTTCGACTTCTTGCGAGGCGTTGCTTCAATTATCTATATATATATATGGATGTATTGAACAGAATGACTTGGATTTACCTAAGGAACCACCAAAAAATACCACATATTCCCAATAGTTTCCCCAAGTAGTGGAAATCCTATTGGGAAAATAGAGAATCATCTTCAGCAGATCAAGGATGAGGAACAGCCTTATAGACATTTTCCAATCTATTACAACAAATCCAAGTTTCCTGCGCGAAACTGAATGCCATCAATGCTGCTCTTCGACTACGCAGGCGAAGTACCTGGCAACTTCAATTTTACCCGGCCTGGTAAACTAACAAAAAACTATGGAAAATCACCATTTTTTATGGGAAAATCCACTATAAATGGCAATTTTCAATAGCTATTTTGACATAACCAGAGGGTAGATGTTTCATGATGAACATGTGCGGAGTCAAAACTCTTATTTCATCCGCCCGAAAGCATCCTAATTGTCTAATGGACAATACGGAAGTCACAAAAGGCCTTGCCGCCATTCAAACCCTGCGAGGGAACTTTGCAATGCTCACCACTGTAGGTTCCATGAGGCAAACTTGCTGAATACCCAGCCAGGTTTCCCCCCAGCCTTTGGCATCTTGTCATTGCCGTGGAAACACAGCAGAAAGGTAGCTTTGCCCTCCAGCCGCATCAACAGTTCCACCTTTTGCCAGTTCCCTTTGGCCTGAAGAATTTTGGACGCGCCAGGAAAAAAAACCGGGGCATTAAGTACCATGGGTAGCCAGCACTCAAATGAACATGAGAGACTGGTATATACAGATATACATATATATATACACATAATAATAGATATATGATAGATATATGATATATGTATGTAAGATATATATATAGCATATATATATATAGCATACGCAGAAAAAAAAAAAATATATTTGTACTGTTGCTTTGTGATGTTTGGAGCTTTGGGAGCTGATCACCGGTCGTTCCCACGGAATCTCGCAAATCATAAGGTCGTTCCCACCGGTCGTTCCCACTGAGAGCAGAAACTCTGCAGTGTTTTTCAATCCAACAGAACCGCGCCTGCCACGCAAGGAAGACGTCTCTTTCCCGCGCGGGCACGCAGGCCATGATGGCACTGGAACGCACCAAGAAAAAGCCGGAGCCCTGGCATGGGGATAGGGATGATTATGGGATCTACAATGTGGGGCCCCCCAGTTATAAGATGGTTTATGGTAGTATGAACTAATTTCCTTGGTTTTTCATTGCACAAACTCTGTTGGGGCTCTGTTGGGGTCCAACATCATTACCTATGATAAATGTGTCTGAAAATAAGTTGCCTAAAGAAATTGACGGTTTATCATCATTTTACCATATTTTCCCTATAACTTGGCAGTCTTGGGTGCCAACTCCTATTTCCGGACCAACTCATATCCATTCATTGGTTCAATTCCTATCTTTGCCGGTGAAAATATCTATTCTTCACGGTTAAGTCCCAAAGTTATGCTTGGTTAAATCCCGTAAATCCCATTACATCACATTTGAAATCCCATTCAACCACCATGAAATCCCCCTTTAGATCTAAGTTGTTCCCCTTGATTTGTTGGTGTTTTCCCCAAGGTGGCCGGCAGCCGCCTGCACGGCCAGCAAGGTCCCTTCATTGCCCGGAAGCTGCTGTAGACGCCAGTCACGCAGCCGAGTGCCGCGCACCGCTGTGTGAACCACCGCCATGGTGGATGTCACCTGAGCGTGCAGATATTATCGGGTGATTTAGAAGGTGATTAAAAAGAACATGGTTCTGGCTGAAGATGTTTTATATATAAAATATGTATATACCAACAAACATGGGGATGTGCGGTGATTTTATGGTGATTTACTCAACAAAAGAATGGTGAGTGAACCAATGATTTATGGTGGAATCCTGGGGATAGAATGGATGACTTGGAGGATCATCCCGATCATCCCCTAGATGCTGGTCATAGCTGGTCAACCCTGGTTTGTACATAAGTCCTCGATTTGTGGCTTAACTAAGTATGGTTATCCCAGATGATACGAGGTATAATTAATGTGACTAACCCGTATAAGTAGCCCGGTAATATCCAAAAAAAGTACCCTAGAACAACCAATTGGTTATTCCATGTTATTTCCCTTTTTTCAATGAGTGAACAATTACGCTTACTAATATGGTGGATGGCTATCCCAGTCTTAGGGATTCCATCAAATTCAACAAGAAAAATGGCATCTTTCATAGGGGGGGTTCAACCATTCATAGGGCGTTCCTATAGGGGATTAAATCCATGATGATTCAGGCTTTCCATGGCTTTCCATTGGGGTCCGCTCTGCCCCAGTCGCTGAGTGTGAGTACTGCAGCGGTGCCCCAAGGTGGAACAGCAAGGGCCCCACGCGACGGGAGAGCGGCGCGCCGAGCTCTGCGATGCGCTCAGGGCAAACATACCAGGCCTAGTTGTGGATGATATGGTTGTGGATATGATTCATGACCATTATATGATATGGTTAATAAATGTTAATGAACTAATGGTTATTGTATGGTTATATTGTTGGATGGTTACCCTCTGGTAATTTAACATAGCTATTGAAAATACATGAAAATACCCCGTTTATAGTTGATTTACCCATTCAAAATGTGATTTTAGTTTACCAGAGGGTATGGCAACTTTCAGCGGAAAAACAATGACCTTCTCGTGTTCTCATTGCCATGGCTGGAAAAACGCCGGCAACATCGGAAAACACTCGTGGATTTTCCACGGCAATGATGACGAAGGTAAGATGAACCAAGCCAAAAGGAGGGTGATAACATCGAGTACAGTTCAAACTAGTTGATATCCTTTTTGTATTTTTTTTTGGCTGGTTCGATACTGGATATAACCAATTGTGTGGGTCCGTTGGTATCCCAATGTCAAGACATAATTACTCAAATGTCATCGAATGTTGCTAAAATTAAGGGTGATTATTTAGGTGAGTGTTTAATACTGAATAATGTATAGATCGGAGACGTATATATATATATATAATTATATATTATATATATATATTAGATATACATATTTATACATATATATATATGTATATATATATATATACAGATGAAGTGCTACTAATTCAGACTACTAATTCCTCTCAATGTTTGAACATCTTGCACTTGCACATATTTTTGCATATTTGCATTTGCGTTTTTTTTTTCTGCAGTTGGAATTCAAGCAAATTCATCCAAAATCAGCTTGCAATCGCCAACCATTTTTCCAACCTCTGCATGATCACATATGGCCTCCACAGATTAAATCAGCCCTAGCCCACCATCGAAATCCCATCAATCTCTGATCAAGCCACCAGTGTGTGGCACAACAACTGTAGAGCTTGGAACAACTTGGCGACCTCACCATAGCTGTCCGCTGATGACGATGAAGTTGTTCGTTGAGATGCGACACGGGAAGGGGGGGTTATTGGTTATATATCATTGTATGTTCTTGTAACGATAAGCCCAAGCACCACTGTGACATCCTTTGCTTTTTCATGATGCTTTCTCATACACTTGAGATCACTCCCATCTACTGCCTGCCGCTTGGTCCTTAAATACCAATATTAATGGGTTGGACCCTCCACCAAATTCCACTGCCAAAGTGCGATGACCATGGCCGAGGAGAGGATCGAGAACAAACAGTACCAGGTCCCTTCCAGGACGCACCATATACTAACCTTCACCGGACGACAGGAGCACTGCATGGCACGAAGGCTACTCTGGGAAACTAGAAATCACATGCCGGTGAAATCCATGACATGTTTGAAACACACGGCTGATCGCGAAGAAACTGACTCCAGACTGACAGGATCGTGTGTTAATTACTACGTATACTACTGGGCTTACTAGGTGTACTGTACTACCTTGTATCTGCTTGGTAAGTGTGGAAGCTGATGGCGTCGACAGCGACTTCCCCTCCCTGCGATAGAATCAAGTCACTCTCAGCGAATTGGCAGAGTAAGCGATATGACTTTGCCGACGGCACTCACGGTAGATCTGCTGAACATGCCAGGGAAAGCCATACCACAGCAAATCCATCAATGCTCCTGATTCAGAAGCATTGAATCTGGGTGCGCAGAACACTGTCAAATTGCTGGGTCTTGGCTCATCCTATCTGATACATGTGAAGCGAGGTTGCTTGGCATTCGCAGCATTTGCAGCTGCAATCATTTCTTTTATAACATCTTATCTTCCGTGACTGTGAAGTGGATATCAGGTTAGTTTCTTGTCTCAACCCAGTCAAAAGCGTGGGTCACTAGGGCAGGGATCATCATCACAGCTTGTGGCGAGACCTTCTATGTCTCTGTATGAAAACGTGCTGAGCACAATTCAAATACACATGGCATACATGTCTTTCACGTTTCTGTATCCCAACATCAAACAGTTTTGCCTGGAAAGCCTGAAGGCTCTTTTCGCAAACCAGTTGGGACAGTTCCAGCTGTGATTCGGCACGTGGTCCTCAGTCGGATTGACGGATGACATGAAGAAATCGTGAGATCCGACTGGTCATCCCTTACGGGTGGATTGGTGCTTGATGCCTGATAAGTGACTCATGGGTTCTTGACAAGTTGCTGATAACTTATATATTCATGTCTGTGTGTGTGTCATTGTCAACTAAGTTACCCTCTGGTAAACTAACATAGCTATTGAACATGGCCATTTATAGTGAGTTTTCCCATTAAAAATGGTGATTTTCCATAGTTTTTTGTATGTTTACCAGAGGGTAACTAGTGAATTGAGGCGTGTGGCTTTTCCTGATCTCACGCTGCAGCTGGGTGTCTTGGCGATGATCATGAAGATACCTTCGACAGATTCCTCAGGTCCAGGTCTTTCCTCTTTAGCTTTGAGTATAATTATATATATATGGGGATGGGTCAAAACCTTGTACCCCTTCTGTTCACATCAAAATAGCTGGTAAATGGATGTTCATCCCCCTAAAAATGGTATTAATAGGTATTGATCCATACCCATATATATGTGTGTGCGCATATGTGTGTTGAACCTATCTAAACCCCACAACAGTATAAATCTGCGTGGTCTACAATCCATCCAGTACACAAATCACAGGGGATCTGACAGAATACTTCGAGTGTCTACTATGGGCCTGGGGGTGGCTTCAGCATTTCCGGAGACAGTACCCTCTGGTTATTTAACATAGCCATGGAAGCCATGGCCCATTTATAGATTTTTTCCCAGCTAGAAACCTCCATTTAGAAGGGATTTTCCATGGCTATGTTAAATAACCAGAGGGTATATTATACTGTATATATGATTCATCACAATCTGCCCGCTTTGCATACATCTTGGCTAATGTAAACCTAGTAAACCGCCAGGGATACATCATAAGTAAACCCTGGGCCGTTCTTTTTCTTTGGTGGGGTACCATTTCAGTAGCCATGTATCACGCAACTTGGGGATGACCCCCTTGTTAAACCCACCATGGTTTGTTCATCGAGAGTTGACACTATCCCTGGGAATGATCCATACATGGTTGGGTTAGAATCTGCTTATGATATGGTGATAATATGTGATTATCATATCATATCATAATAATAATCATTATATATATATATATAATAATAATTATTATTATATGATAATAATAACAATATCTTAATAATAATATTGACCATGGTACAACAAGATCGTAACCATATTGTAACCACATGACCATATCAAAACCACATTGTGATAATGTATGACATTTTTTACAATTAACCTATATCACATACTATCACCAGGCCACTTTATTGTGAGTGTTGTGATTATTGATTGTGTGTACTGCATTTTTTATGCTGGCATTAGAATTAGAACATATCATAGAGACCCATTACTATGGCGGCTTTATCCTGGCTGACATCTTTTTGTTCGACCTGTCTTACCCTTCGCCATGTAGGAAAAGGTTAAAACATGTTAAAAACCATAAAATCCCGTATGAATATATAGATATGAATAGGTGAAAAAAAATGTGGGGATGAGTCAAAACCTATTATTACCATATATTACCATATATTACCATATTTGGATATATTTGGGGGAAAACACATGAATAAACATCCAGCTATAGCAGCTATTTTGGGGTACCATCCAGGGGACCGTTTGCCATGTCACCAGAATCGCCGCTATCACTGTGAGCAACGCGGCCATCAGCAGCCAGGGACTGAAGCTACACAAACCTTTTGCGGAAGGGCACGGTTTGGGAAGCTTCAGGGCTTTTCAAACACCTGGAAAGGGATAAACCAAATATGGAGGGATGAGACCTCAGAAATGTATAGGGATAAACCAAATGTATAGGGATAATTTATGAACACTGCCACTGGAAATAGGGATAAACCAAATGTGATATGAGTATGTCTGAAAATGTGGTATACACTAGAATTGCGATGTTAAAGGGAAAACATTGTGTTAAACCATCAAGGTTGTTTTTCCCTAGTCTCAAACAAACCCACATGTTGATTTGCTGATGGCTCAAGTCATTGGTGTCATTGGTGTCGCCATGGTACTATGAAGCCTCCAACCGGGGCCATCCCCGGTTTTCGTTACATGAACATCTTGATTTTTGTATATAAATATTAATATATATATATAATATAATATGTTCACAAATATATGTATGCATACATGAACAAGTGTGTATATATATACGCATATACAAGTGTAAACAAATAGGTCTTTACAAGAGATAGATACTGCTGCGGCCCGATTTGAAAGCCATTTCGGCAAGTTTCCATAGATGGCCAACTGTGCAGCTTGTCCCAGCTCTGTGCAAAGGTGTGCAGGGCTACCCAGTACTCGCTGCGCTCCAAGCAGTTGACTTGGCGCCACGCCGGGAAACCACTTGAAGGATGACCCTGCTGCTTGCTGGTTACCAACTGGGTTTATGTCTCCAAGTGGCGGTATCGACTATGATTGTGTGATGACAGCCATTTAAAAGGCTTCAATGCGATAGAATTCATGATTACATACCTGATTACCCTCTGGTAAACTAACATAGCTTTTGAAGATGACTATTTATGGCTGATTTACCTAGTAAAAAAAGTGATTTTCCATAATTAGTTATGTTAGTTTACCAGAGTGTATCCATGATTGATGATCAGCTATATCCCCATGATACTTTGCTTCGACGTATGAACCACCAGCTGGGGTGTAATAAAATGCCCACAATCCTTGCAGGAAGAATTTCCCTAGGCATATATATAACCATAATCATTAATCATCAATATTACTATTACCATAACCATTCATCATATAACCATTCAAGAACCATTTGGAGATGATTTTCCCTTACTGTCCATGGTGAGGTCGGCCCCCCGGGCCCCACGTCCTTCCCGGTGCGGTGCGGTGCCGGGCCACGGAATCTGCCGCAGCACCGCGTCCGAGGCCGCGGAGGCGGCCTCGCTGACCAGCTCCGAAAAGCCGTGGGGAAGGAACTCGTCGGCCAGAAAGGCCTGGGAAAAAAGTTATGGTTATGGTTATGATGTTTCTATATTATTATTATATGGTTATGATATACTATGATTAATGATTAATGGCTATGGTTATAGTAATAGTTGGATATTAATGATATTAGTATGGCTTTGATAATATTCACCATAGCCATATTAATGATTCATGGTTATGGTTATTGTATGGTTTTCAATGATATTGATGATTTATGATTATGGTTATTATATGGCTATGATTATTGATTGATGATATTAATGATTAATGGTTATGGTTATTGTTATGGATATGGTTATGATATTTCTATATTATTATGATATTTATGGTTATGATATTAAGTCATAGTTATATATTTATATCACTATGATATACTATGATATTGAGTTATAGTAGTAGTAATATTGATGATTAATGATTAATGATTCATGATAATAATGGTTATAGTTGGATATATATATATATATTATATGATTAATATAGTACAGTATATAATGATCATTAATGATTAATATAGTATAGTATATCACAGTATATCATGGTTATAGTAATAGTTGGATATTAGTTGGTTATTATATGGTATATAATTAATATCATCAATCAATAATCAGAGTATTATATTATATCAATGATTAGTATATCATAGTATATAATAGTGTAATAGCCATTGTATATAGTATATTAATATGATGGTTATAGTTAAAGTAATAGTTGGATATTATATGATTAATGGTTATAGTAATAGTAATATTGATGATTAAAAATATTGATGATTAATGATTATGGTTATGATATTAATGGCGTTGGGTGATGGTTATGGTTATCATATGGTTGTGGAGATGATTAATGACCATTAATGGTTATGGTTCGTGTGTGGTTATATGGATATTAGTATGGATAAATGATATATGATTATGATGGATGGTTAATGATTAAGATCATCAATATCCATACGCCATATGGGTATTACTATGATATTGACTAATGATTATGGTTATTGTATGATTGTTGGGTAGTTATTCGATGGTTATCATATGGTTATGGATATGATTGATGACCATTAATGATTATGATTATTGTAGGGTTGTATGAATATTTGAATGGATATATATATATGATTATGATGGATGGTTAATAATCAAGATCATCAATGTCCATATGGATATTTCTATTAATGGTTAATGGTTAATGATTAATTGTTATTTCTATTAATAATTAATGGTGAGTTCATGGTTATTATATGGATATTACTATGATATTGATTATTGATTATGGTTATTGTATGGTCATTGCATGGTTGTGGTTGTACCATTATGATTGTGAATATTATTATTAATGGTTGTTGGTCATGGTTATTGATGGTTATTAATGACGATTAATGGTTATGAATAGTTATCGAAGCTTGTTAATGGGTATCAATCATCATCGATGTCTATTATAATGGTTATTCATGATTATTACTGGTTACACATATGGGTAATTCACCAATATAACTTTGTTTTTGGGATATATACTGGGAATATTATCATATTTACAACACTATTGGTATAACAAGTAGATTTAAGTAATACATAGCTATAATCTGACGTGGTTGTGAGGCTGCCCCAGGATTGTTAACAAAGCTGGTTTAGTTCACTTCAATACCTGTTGGGTTTCAGGGGAACATATTTATATAATTATATATAGTGAATGGGGTGAAATTAAAGCGACTTACAACTGGAGGGTACCATGCTGTGGCTGTATGGGTGTCCTTATTTTTCCAGGGGATGACATACCTGGAAAGCACTATTATGGCTTATAAAGCATATATTCATATATACATATATATACTGGTTGGTGGTTTCAACCCCTCTGAAAAATATTAATCAGTTGGGATGATTATTCCCAATATATGACAAAATAAAAATGTTCCAAATCACCAACCAGTATATATACAATATGATTTCAGATGATTGAACTGAGTTTCGCAAAACTTGGGTCAGCCATGGTCAGCCCAAAACAGCGGGATACCAACGAAAAACCGGTTGGGATAATCCCAAGTTTTGGTGTCGATGGGGAGCATGTCATATTACCATTAACATGAGGGGACTTTCGTAGCTTTGTCCTTGCAGTTGAGTCGAGGAATGAAAACCCTCAAATTCTGAGAGTTTTAATCGACAAAATGATGACAAGACATGGGATTTAGCTATGGAATATTCTGGGTATGATATATATATATATAATTATAATATATCCATGTGAAAAAGAAAAAAATAAACCTAGGCGACTGAGGATTTTCTTTTGCTAGACCAGGACAATTTCCCGTGGCTTGCGGTTCAGGCACATCACTACTGGGTTCTCCAAAAAGGAGCTTCCGGAAACATCGCCTGCGCAGAAAACCACTGGGACCTTTGGCTTCCCGAAAAGATGTTTCCCACACCGAAATAAACACGTCTGACATGCGCATACAATCCCATCCCCCCTTCAGCCCTTAAACACCCAACAACCTAAACTGCATGGTAAAAAGTCGGGGATCACATGTTTGCTCCATTTATGGATGATTTAGCTTAATATTTACCCATTTACCAAGGAAAAAAACATGGTGATTTTCCACAGCTAAGTGGAATTCGAGCACACCATCCGGCGCCTACATCCCTTGGGTGCTACCGTCCCTGGTCGACGCCGGAAGAACCTGCGCGGTGAATTTTCCAAGATCTTCGAAGCTGTGGAAGATGTTTAAATTATGTATATATGTTGTATCTCTCTATATATATAATATTTAATAATAATGCAAACATTTTTGAAAGATACTTAATGAATGTATATAAACATAGAATGCACACATGTTTGAAAGATACTTAATGAATGTTAATGATATATTTCTATATATAAACATAGAATGCAAACATGGGCAACTATCATGGAAGACATATGAATCCTGGATATTCCATGATATTCCGTCATGGGGAACCATGCAGTATCATGGAGTATGGAGTCACTGCAACTGAGTCACGGCCCAAGAGATAGTCGCGCTTGAGAGACGTCGAAGGGAATCAATTTGCCTTGTATGAAAATGGTCTCCGTAGGGGGCGGCTGAGCTTGGTGGGGGAACTCTGACCCCAAACATAGGCAAGTCAAGTTTTTAACTATGGTCATCACATACTGGTCTCTAGAAAAAAACAACTAAACCGTACTACCCTTTGGTAATTTAACATAGCTATTGAAAATGGTCATTTATAGTGGTTTTACCCATTAAAAATAGTGATTTTCAATAGCTATGTTAAATTACCAGAGGGTAAACCTATTTTGAGGTTTGAATTGACAAGCACAATTAAGACTGCACGCCAGTGGATCTGCGTAGCAACCTGATCTGCCAATGGGGCCAGGGATAGCCAACCACTTCGTCATCTTGAACCAAGACGCACAGCAGAGCGCAGTCAAACACAGTGACCACTGAGCTCCGAAAGAAACAATGGTATATGATGGTATATACATCTATATCTGGAACCCAATGACCTCTATTTTGGATCGTTAAACCTCCACTGTCTCTGTGAAAACCTCGAACGCAATGGTCGTTTAGGCTCCAAGTCACTCCAATCATTGCCACTTTCGACTAGTGAATTCCACTCGCAAACTGATCTGTCTTAGCATGAAACCTCAACTTTGCAGTTAGGGTGAAGCTCTGGGTCATGTATATTTGCGGGCACAGCCAAAAAAACTTACGTAGAACCTAGTACAGAATAAAGTTTAAATTGATACATGCATTGCTTGGTGATTTTAGGGTATATAACAATTTTCTGTCAAATCCCAATGAACTACGTCAAATCCTCATCATTCCTTCTGTGGCTGAACGATTTTCCCCATGGCCCCCATGGCTCAAAATCACAAGAGCAACCTTTTGTGCATCCACATAGCTAAATTCAAAGTGGACATTCTAAGGTTAAGGTTGCGTTTGTCATATTGTCGTCTGTATATATTTACATACATATGACATATACAGTATTATCGATATATATATATATATGTATATATAATATATATATACATACATACATACATTACATTACATTACATTACATTACATTACATTACATTACATACATTCATACATACATTACATACATACATTACATACATACATTACATACATACATTACATACATACATTACATACATACATTACATACATACATTACATACATTACATTACATACATACATACATACATACATACATACATACATACATACATACATACATACATACATACATACATACATACATACATACATAACATACATAACATAACATACATAACATAACATACATAACATAACATACATAACATACATACATAACATACATACATAACATACATACATAACATACATACATACATAACATACATACATAACATACATAACAAACATACATAACAAACATACATAACATAACATAACATAACATTACATTACATTACATTACATTAGTAAGTTACATTACATTACATTACATTACATTACATTACATTACATACATACATACTTACTTGTGTATATATATATATATATGTGTATATATAATATGGCTGAAGCGCTAAACCAACAGAGTTTTCAACATGATTTCTTCCCTTTCCACCAGCACCTCCCCGTTAAACGACTCAGCAACCCCCGCGCTGTGCCATGGCACGTAGCACAATGTCCACCGCCTGAAGCGCCTCGCTACTGCAGTTGCCAGAAGCTGATGCCTGTGAATCGCAGAAATTCTCAGGCCCCCAAAGATTTGGAAAACCTGCTTATTAATGGGTAATGTTGAGATTAATGATTAATGGGACTATTACTGATTATTTTAAAAAGTGTTATTAAGATTAATGGGTTAACAATGATTAATGATGGCTATGAGTGATTATTACTGATTAATTCATGCTTTAACGGTGGGAATTATTAATCAGTAATAATCACTGGGAATTGTTAATAGGTCAACATTGGTTCATGTTGATTATTGTTGGATGGTTATTATATACTAACTACTAATGGGTTAATAACCAACATGAGCCATGTTTAAAGGTTGAATAATGGTTCATAGTGGTTATCAGTGCTAATTATATACTGATTGAATTGCTAATGGGAATTAGCTCATAGTGGTCATTTATCGTCACAAGGTGGTGCCCAAAAGTTAGATATATGGCCTTTTGTGCCACAAGAGCAACATCACGGCAGGCTGCCTCATCTTGAAGATTTCATGGATTTGCATGATATTTGGGATGGACATCTGTGATGGATATACATATTATTTTTGACATATGCATATCATATTGATATATATATATAGAGTCCACGATAAACATAAAGATTGGATTTATGCAGGTTTGATTGTAATTTATCATTATTGTTGCTATCGAAATTGCCATGTATTGGGGTACGACATTTTCACACAGACCCATGTGATGGACACACACATATGTATATATATATATATAGAATTATGTATATATATATACGTATACATACGTAATTATACATAATGGATTTAATGTTGATATGAACGTATATGCTAAATGTTTGAATGCATAAAGTAAATATGGATGCATATAATATATATATATATATGTGTATATATATATATATACAGATCCAATGTAATAAGTTTCAATGGTTGGATTGAAGGATGTTGAAGGGAACATTTACTTTTAATCTGTTACACGACATAGATAGAGAGATTTCCGGCAGATTTTCCCATCATTCAATTCTAGGATATTGATTGAACCAGCATGTTTTATTGTCTTTTAATGTGGTTTATATATAATGTATTATATTGTTGTATGTGTGAATTCAAGACATAAAACATAGTCTACAGATTAGAGATATCGTGTTTATTAGCCTGGGACAACATATCACTGGATGTTGCGTGATTTTGTTTGTATTTGTGAGACATTTCTCTGACTTTATAAGTAATAACATCTCAGTTTAACTTCCTGGAAAAAATGACATAAACACATAAACATGCGTGTGAAGCCCTCTTTGCGCTCGTGTCTTTGTTTCCTTTTACCCTGCTGTAAACTAGTATCGATGTGGTGTTTCCCCATCATTTCAAGATCATTTCCCTATGGAAACCATATATCTAATGGTCATGGTAAGGTCATTGTGCGGGGCTGGGGAAATGACGGAGCTGTCAATAACTCTGTAATCATGGTCATGCTGCATATGCTTTAATAGTTATCATTGACTTTCGTATCGCTGTTATTAGAGATATTATGTGAAATTAGTGATATTTATTATTGAATACAAAAAACATCTGATCACTGATAAGTATTCAAATAGAGCATTATCTATAGCGACTAAATCACATATGCGTGAGTTCCTTAAGTGGGATCAGCGTCCCATTGGTCAGATCTCTTGGGTTTGAGGGTTTGCCGTAACCCTCTTTTGCTTTGAAAAAAACATCAAGACTTCAATTAAGACTTCAAATTTGGCTCATACATACCTATTATTGTTGGTTGAGACTTCCATTCATTCTTCCTGAAAACATGTTCAAACAATTTCAAACATCATATTCAGGTCCACCACACAAAGCCAACTAGGATACCCGGATACGCCATCGCCCGCTTCCCCCACCTTGCCATTAAAGCGCACAGAAACAAAAAACTGGATTCGACGCACCAGCCTGTGGGGCGCAAGTGTTCAGTGTGAGGTTCACTAGAGAAATGGGTACCCTCTGGTAAACTAACATAACTATGGAAAATCACAATTTTCAATGGGTAAATCCACTATTTCTATGGCAATTTTCAATAGCAAACTGTTAGTTTACCAGAGGGTAACTTGACCGTAAAGATGGGTGATGTTGCCATTTTTAGACCGAATTGAGAGTGATGGTGATCTTCGGATGATCGATCAGAAATGTTGGGATTTGACACCAAGATGGCTCAGTATGGGCTACCAAATGGTGCCAAGCAAAATGGGCATATATAGATACCACCAGGAGTAATAGAGGAAATCTGTCAATGAATTGTTTTTTTTCGGGAAAGCTTATACCCCAATGTCCAAACCTGGTTTGTGGGTCTTCCTACGCACTGAACATGTTTCAAAATCCTTCGGATCTGCCAAAAATCCAGCCGCTCCGCACCAAGCTACAGCTGCTTGATGAAGACAGGTGTGGGAACGTCGAAGTCATCATACTCCTGGTTGCTTCATAGATGTTAATAGTTCAATCATCCAGTGCAGTCTTAAGGAATTCGCAAGCTTCATGATCTGTCATCCATGGTCATCCCCACATTTCATCACATGTCCAAATGATCCATCAAACAAATACCTTTAGCCCATCTCATTATACTAGTTGGTTGATAGGTTTCCCATAACATAGGTTCTCATAATCCCAGTTTAACTATATAGGTAGTATATAAGTCCCCAGTTCGTAACCACCCAGGGTATTGTGTTCATGGCTCAGATGTACCACACTTTCCGCCATCTCCCCAGTCCGGACAAGGTGGTTCTCCCAGCACCGGGTGGTCTCTTTCGCCCTCCCGGGCCACCAGAAGCTGCTCCCCATCGCTCCTGGGAAGCGGTAACCTCATGTTTATGATTGTTCATGGGGATTGCTGCCAAAAAATGCTGTTAGAACCTCATTTTTATGGGGATTGCTACTAAAAGCCGTTTTTGTTTAGAGATGGCAAATGCTGGCACAAGAGTCACAAGGTCAAGGATTTTCCTGAAGTATATAACTACTGAAGTACGTGTAGTTTTTTCTTCAAAGGGCTATTTCAAGAGCCAGTGATAGCAGTAATGGTCACAGTTTCTCCTCCAGTGGGTCTTCAGTAGCCGCCTCAAATGTCCAAAGGATTCTGCAGCTCCCAGCAAAGGCTCAGCACGACCTCTGGCTGCCGCTAGCTGCCACTAGCTCCCCAAAACACCAGTTGTTCTTTCAGCAACAATCAATAGGTCACTGTAGCTGGCTAGGTATCTCTTTTGAAAAAGTGAAGTTTACACCAGGGGCTACAACATATGGGGCTGTGCTTCCATCTTCATCAAGCTTTCTGTGGTGGAAAAAACTCGATGTTCAAAACCTCCCAGCGTGCACGGAAGGACATCAATGTCAATCCCAGATGGACAACCACCGGGAGGTTGTTCGATTAGGGGAGGCTGTGCCCATTCTTGTATCAAATTATCAATGATCACTCGTGCGGGGCTAATCTCTTTCAGCAATCAACCAGTGTCTACTGATGAAGGGTTGACCCTAGATTGGTTTGTTTTCCGCCAAAGTGACCATAAATTGGGGGGGGGCGTTTCACAATTTCAGACACACCCATTTCACATGTGTTTAATATCCCCCAGTATGTTATTGTTTGTTAAAAACCCAATTATATAGTGTTGCTTAAAACACAATTTTCAGTCTCCCAATTATCACCATTGTGTACCCATGGTATTCGTACGTTGTACCCATTGTATCCCCAGTAGTCCCCATTTTGGTTGGTTCATCATGGTTAAACTCTGAAACTTGACTCATACATCTACATAGTGGTGCCCCAGTTCGATAGCTAAGTTGGTTTATAACTACAATAAGTGGGACTTATGGTAGATATCTCTATAGTTGATGGGGGTTATAAACTAACTTATAAGTGGGGGGTACCACATTATACCATATACCCATCATCGTTTGTTCACCCCCTTTTACTCTTGGTGAAACCAGCATTTTCAGGTTTCAACCCGAGTAAGCAGTGTTCAAAACCTGCAACGTCGTCCCTAAAAAAACTGGCTGATAGGATTTCCCAGAACGGAGTGTGACAAATCCCCAAGAAATTGGATAGTATAATCTAGTATAATTTGGTTTTCCCATAGCAGATTGTGGTAACCCCTAAAAATAACTATATCGGACAATTGGATAGGTATAAGCCCAGATAATGATCAACCACCAAACGAATTTCGCACGAATAGGTGTCTGAGGAACGTAGTAACTCCAGACCAAAAATCGCCAACTGGAAGCTGCTCAAGGTGTCCAAGCGGAGCTCGATGGGCTGCATGTCCTCAGAGCGCTCAGATTTTCCATGTGGGGATGAGATCCAACATGGAATGTCCATCGATGATTAACACATTTTTGGGATTTCCAAAGAACCAAGTTTCCATCTTTTTTGGATGATCATCTTTTCATCTAACATGGTTTTCCTTTGGTAAATTAAGAGTTCAACCCTGAACATCATTCATTTTTAGTGGAAACTAATCCTCCAACCCCTATCTGGCAGGGTCTATGTTGATTTACTCGAGGCTGGTAGGTTTTTGACCTAAGCCCTTCCCCCATGTTCAACGCCCTGTTGATTTTGGGACTTGGGAGGTCCCCTACGAAACTCTGGTTTACTGCGACTGGTGGTGCAATAACCATCTTGAAGAATATGAAAGTGACTTGGGAAGGATTATCCCCAATATATGGTCAATAAAATTCATGTTCCAAACCACCAACCAGCTATGGCAGCTATGGTTTATGAGGGCTGTTTACTGGGTGTTTCATATGGGGATGGGATTTTTCAAAAACCAACCCTTGATGACCGAGCTGGAGCACAGAGAGCCCGGCTGTTTCTGAGTAACAACCGTGAAACTCAATCAGTTATATTTATGTAATACTATAATACTATAATAGTAATAGTAATAGTTATAGAGTCATTGCTTGCTTAATATTGACAATTGCTAACCTATCAATGAAGGTGATTTTTGAATATGTTTGACGCTTCACTAGTTTAACAGCGTTTAACGAATGAGAGTCTTGCACTCAACAATTTCAGGCTGAATCCTACGACATCAAACAGGATGACCAGGATGTTCTATTGACATGCAATTATATGGCTATGGATAAATACCCATAACTACCATTTTGAGGGGATGAACATCCATTGGTTCCAATATTTTGGTCTCGACCATGATGGACTGATGACAATCCTCGGCAAATGATCTCAATTTCCCAGGTTTTGACCATGGCACTTATGCACCTAGAATATTCCAGCCAGAGAGGGTTTGCGCCTGACTTGTTCCAGACTGCATGGTTCCTGTGCACACTGTACCTGTACATGTATATTTCTCATTGGGTTAATTTCGGGATATTCCAAACATCTGCTAGCATTATTAACACCATATCATGTTCTAATATATTATATATATATATATACACGTATATATATATATATAATACGTATGTATATATATATACATATATATATGTATATATTAGTAGCAGAATACTGGCCAATTCTCGCAGGCGCTTCGCCTTCAGCTCACCAAGTGACGATCTTCAAACTGTCCACTTCAAAATGGGCGGCAGGACCTGTCGCATTTCGGCTGGTGGATTCATATGGAGGTTTCCAATCCATGGGGGATCCCCAATAGCTGGATGATTTATGAGGGAAAATCCGAATTTTTTATTGATGATTTGGGGGTACTTCAGGAAACCTCCATAGATGTTTATTCATGTTCGTGTTTGCTCCATTTTGCCTTCAAATTAGAGCGATTTCAGAAAACTTTGTATATATGGAGGTTTCCATACATGCTGGTACCCCTCAATCATCCATTTGAACCTGATTTTCCATAATGTTTCATTATAAACCATCCATTTTGGGGTACCCCCATATACATCATTTATACTATTATAGCACACTTGTGGATAGTCCAGCAGCCTGGAGAGTGCTTGATCCTTTTTTTTTTGTCGCTGGGTCAACCCCCGGATGGATCCAAATCGTCTCAGCAGGGCTCCATTCAATTACCGTATACGGGGGTCCCGATTGTTTATTACAACTGGTTTGGTGGTTGACCGACCCCTCTGAAACATATGAAAGTCAGTTGGGATGATTCTTCCCAATATATGGAAAACTATGGAAAAATAAAAATGTTCCAAACCACCAAGCAGACAATATCTTAATTGTAAATTACAGGTCGTTTAGCATACTGATTGCAAATTAGCCCTTTGTAAAGATGATATAGATGTACCTATTATGTACCTATTTTTTGGCCATGGCCATTTCCATGACTGTCTTACAGGATGGGGCCCCCAAGATAGCTAAGTTGCCTTATAAGATACTTTTCATATCTTTTCATGGGGTGTATAAACTAACAAACACAACTGGGGGCCCCCATCCTGTATATCATGTTCATAAGATTTTCCATTACAAACCAACCATTTTGGGAATCCCCCATTTCAGGAAACCTCCATCCTACCTTTCGTATGGCCGAAACCATGGCCTGCTCCACGCTCCAGTGCCAGCCAGTTGCAGCTGCACAACAAGAAGGGCCGTTCCAAGGTGCCGCGCAGAAGTCGACTTCGCTTGGGCCGCAGCATCACGTTACCTGCTCCGAAAATGGTCATGGGATGTCATGGGGTGGGTCAAAATGAGGTCAAATATGGTAAAATGTCTGAACATATCAAACCATCCAGTTCTTAGGGGGATATTCTAAGCCCCTCTTTATCCACGTTCGTATTGAACACCCCCATTGAAGGTCCCAGAGATGGGCCATGAAGCTAACCTTTGGGCTTTCTCGATGGGCTCACCGGTGACAAGATACTCCGCCAACCAGCGCTGTTGTCATGCACATCCAATTGCAGCGATCCCAGTTTCATCTCCAAGGCCCTCCGTGCTCCTTCATACCGCACCAAATCAACGACCTGAAGAAAGGGAGTTGGATCAATTTGGAACGCTGGGAGAGGTTTGTTGACCACCACCTGCGCTTTCACATGTCAGCCACAGACTTCAATATCTGCAATATCTTCAAACGCAGGAAAACAACAAATCACCTGGAAGATCTATATACACCCTCTGCTAGTTTACTGCAACATGTAGCTATGGAATGCGATGGAAAATCACAATGTCTACTTACGTATGCTATAAATAATCTATAAATAGGCCATGTTCCATCCATGTTCCACAGCTATGTAACAAATTACCAGATGGTAACCTAACACATATTCAATGCATTCATATTGATTCCATTTAATTCCAGTTTTATCCCATGATTCTCCATTAAATCATCCATTATTTTTGGTTAAGTTGCCTTAGTGTGTATCCAATTATATCCATTATAGTTATGATCATTATGTATTATATCATCCTTAGTTACCTTAGTACCTTTTAGTTACACCAAACTGGCAAAGCAAACTGGCCAACTCAAAGCCCTCTCTGAGCGATAAGGCACCAAGGTATCTGCACAGAGGTATGCCACCTCGTTCAGTGAGGTGCTATCGACCAAGGTGACCCCTGCGCCCTGCACAACCAACTCGAAGACCATGCCTTTGACCTGGCCAGGGCCCCAGGGCCCCAGGGCGCCACTGAAATCCATTTCTGAAATCCCATGGCATCCCCTCGAAATGGAAGTTTCAATGGAAACAAACATACTACTGGTTGGTGGTTGACCGACCCCCCTGAAAAATATGATAGTCAGTTGGGATGATTATTCCCAATAGATGGAAAAATAAAAGCCATGCTCCAAACCACCAACCAGACTAAATGGAGGTTTATTGATGGGCAAAATCATGGAACTCAAGGGGGGATTTTCCCGCCCATCTTTGGAGCCACCAGAGATTATCATCAATCAGGCTCCATTCCAACAAAATTCACCATGGTCTACAAATCCAGGCTTGGCTCTAGATGGTTTGTCTAAACATACCGCAAAATCCGAATCCAAGGGTTGAAACCTTAGTTTCCTTATTCAGCTGCTATTTTGGGAGTACACCCAATTTTCAGACAACCCATATCTTATCGGTCTAACATTCTTATTGGTTATCTATGAGATTCCTCGTGAAACAAATTTCTTCGTTGGATAGAATATTGAATCATTCATAGCCAGTTGTATTCCCATGTAAATTATAATTTGATTCATGTTCATGCCCACTAGGTTTTCCAATAGAATCCCTGTAGATTCATCATTAGACCCCAACTAAAAAACAATTCGATCTAACTCCCATTAGATTCTCTAATATGGATTTGTCTAAATGTAAGGCTCACACTACCCACTGGATAGATAAAATTGGAAATTTCATGAAATTTCCATGTGTTTTCCCCATCTTTGAACAACCCCAGGAATTCTCAGCTCGTGACTCGATAGCTCCGCTTACGCCCTTGGATGGTCCAAAAGATGTCCAAAGAGCCACGTCCTGAGCAGCGTTCAAGGCGCTTCGAGTTCTGAGGACCCAAGGCTTTTTCTGCTGGTGACTAGTTAGGGATATATGGTATATGGGATGTAATAAGTTGTTTGTTAATATATAGGGGTGCTTTGTTAATGGGGATACAAGGGAGTATATATATAACTATAACATTAATACTATAACATACTAAAACATACTATAACAAAACATACTAAATCATACTATAACATAACATACTATAACATACTAAAACATACAATAACATACTATAACATACCATAAAATACTAAAACATACTAAAACATACTATAACACACTATAACATACTATAACATGCTATAACATACGATAACAGACTATAACATACTAAACCATACCAAAACATACTAAAACATACTATAACATACTAACACATACTATAACATACTGCAACAGACTATAACATACTAAAACATACTATAACATAACATACTACAACTAATTCTCAACAGCCATTTGGGCCTCCAACATTGACAAATTCAGTACCCAATCAGAGTTTCTAAGGAGACGATTGAATGATTGGGGGATGGGGTGATAGCCTCAAACTCAAACGATCGAAATCCGCAAGAAAAGGACCCCAAAGCATGAATGATCCAATGCCAAATCAGCCGTTCGTGAGATGTTTTGATTAAAAAGGGACTACGTACAATGACAATAACTAACCTCACATATACATCATATACATACAAACAATATTGATACATCAAAGAGATGAGTCCATTCATTGGTGTCAGTGTGAGACCCTCAGATTTTGGCAGAATGCTGTCAGTTGAACTAGATGCCCCCTTATGGCGGTATGGCTGATCCAAGCTGCAAGCACTTCTCATCATTCTTGGGACCACTACATGTCACTACTTTCATCCATTCCTCACTGACATGCTTTTCAGCCTCAAGTCCCCTTGTTCGCAACCATGAACTCCCAAGGTCACTCCCTAGGTCACCTTGGTTGACATAGGTGGAATCTCCAATAAAATCGAAAAATGCCGCGTTCAACTCAGCTTCTGAGTCTTGAAATCCTTGACCCCAAAGATCTTGAGCTGGGCATCGCACTCCTTGGATTGGATGATGTGGATGCCATGGCCCATGTCCAAAGTGTTAAGTCGTTTAGCCTGGACGAATCTTAGATAAGCTTCCCAATATATTTTTTTTGCAGCGCATGCATGTTCAAACCAATGGATCAATGCACAAAAAAAAACATGATCACTCAAACCAGCTGAAACAACTTTGGAACCAATAACTAATAACAAGCCACTACAACTTTTTTGGTTTTAAATATATAACTTCAACCAACTCCCAAGTAGACCAAAGACAACAAAATAGGAATCGATTGATGTCCATTGTCCATTGTTGTCATGTTCATAATTTTCCGAACAAATAATCAACTATTTGAACGTCAACAAACTCCAAGAGCCGTCATCATTGGCTACACATGATATTCCAATGTTAGATGCTTAAATCATCTTGAATCCAATCATTCTTGGTTAAATCACCCAAATCCCAAGCAGCCAAGATTGATAACATTGTCCCCTTATCATATCCTTTTATCACAATGTCATATCATCTGCCCAAAAACCGCCAGAATGTGTCAATTTTTTTTCAACTTCAAGAAACTTCGACAAATTCACCCTCCAAGGCTTGTGCGGAAATGGATGGGGAATGGGATGATTATTAGATATTATTCGAATTTATTAGAATTTTTTAGTTATTAGTGCTGAGCCATTCCCCCAAAAATTCCCCACCCAGCCCTCCAAGTCTCAGCCGTGGCGTGCTGTTCAACATCTGCAGCGGCAACGTGGGTCGCCGCTGCCTCGGCGACGGCGAGGACAGCGACGGCGAGACGAGCCGCGTGGCGCGGCGCCGCGGAGAGCCGCGGCGCCGCCGCGGCGACAGCGAGATCTTCCGTTGCGGCTTGGAGCCCAAGAGACGCTGGAGGAACCTGATACCACCAAGGGATGCCAAGGATAGGTATAATATATCTGATGGCAAAACATATCCAAACATGGTGATTTCATGGGGATTTCCCTGGGATTTTCCTGGATTTTGGTTAACATAACTTGGTGAACTGTTAGATTTCTCATGGTTTATGAAGGTCTATGGCTCTAAAGCAACTTAGAACTGGGGGGCTTCCCCGACTCATGGTGACCATGGCGGAGTGGTGGAACCTTGGGAACATCTCAACCGGAAACCATGGCTTTTACAACCAAATATGTCCAAACACATACCTGGGACCTGAGGATACCATAGGATACCAACCTACTACCCATTGGTGACCTATGGTGACCTTCTCCATCCTATTGTTTGGGGACTGATTTTTTGGGACTTTGAACCAGCCAAAATTGGAGTTTAGACATGGATGTCATCGACAGAAATACAGGGATGACCTACCAAACAACCAGATAACAGAAGGGACATGGCTGTAAGCGGAGGATTTCACCAGAAAAAAGTGGTGTAACTCAGGTATCTCTGATTATATACAATGCGATGTGATAGAATAGGAACCTGGGCGAATCATCTGGGACTTGAGAAAAGTTGGGCTGTTATGGCGCCACATAATTGTGGCTGCTGACTTTCTTTTCGTAATCTTTGTTGGGGGATTTGTGATTTTTGAGCTGTGCCCACTTCTGAGGTTAATTCTTGCAGTGTGGTACCCCGCAGTTATAATTTGGTCTATAATCCCCTTTAACCATAGTCATAGATATAACCCCATAAACCAATCATAACCCCAATTGTTGGAGTAAACTAAACCAACTTAGCTAACGAACTGGGGCACCAGCCTGTACAGTCATTAAGGTTGGGGAATGATGATAATCTGGGTTGTACACCAGGACAGACTGATCCGAGAGAAGCATGACCCACAGCCCAGCGGTCCAAATGAGCCATGGACACAAGAAATGTTGCAGTTTTTCCTCCTAGAAACCATCACTTTCCTTGAGGGTAAGATTTTCACTTTAGTTAGGAACAGTTAGAATCACACGATTTACCAAGCTGAAACATTGGGTGGTTGACTTGAGCGTAGCTGGCTACCCTTCCTCGCCATCATCGATGTTGACCCAGAACCATGTGACAATGTGCAACAGCACCAGTCTAAAAGAAATGGGAAAATGCGCGTGGTTAACAAGGTGGTAAATTCAATCATAATTCATCATAAAACATTTTCTTTTAACCAATTATATATGTGTTCATTTCGATAAGTTAATTCAACACACGTAGGCACCATGCCCTCCCATCACAGGTTGCTTCAACACATTGAACAAAAGGAACCCCCCCATGAAGCCGTAAAAGAAAAAAACATATGGGACAAAATATGACTATGAAAAAAACACATATATCATATATAGTTTCCGGTGACTTTACCAAAAAATATCATCCGATTGAGTCGACATCGGAGATGGAGATTTTCCTCGCCAAGAAGCAAGAAGGGTGGCAAACTTTGCTTCAAACCTTTCCTGCAGACCTTTTCCTTCACATCATTCACATCTCGCAGGATGATATGCCGGGGCCTTTCCTTCAAGACCTGAGGGAAAACCATAGGACGGCGATGTGTTTCATCTGTTCAAAGGATAGCCTCTCCAAAATGTACATAGACCCTGCCAATAGGATCCAATGGGGCTTTGGAAAAAAATAGTTTCTACTAGAAATGGGCGATTTTCATGATCTATGTTATAGTATATAATTTTGGGGATGGTATTTCTCTGTGATGCTCATGGGATTTTAGATTGATCAAAAGAGCAAAGGATAGATCTGAAAATTCCTGGCCAGATTAGTTTCCAAAGCCTTCCAAATTTGAGCCGCTCTTGAAGTTTTTGAGCACATATGTATATGTATATATAAATATATTGTATAAATATATATATATATATATACACATGTTTATATATACCCTGCGAACCCAAACCCTGGAAATTTGTAGGGTCTGACTCGAAACCTCGGGTATGTTTGACGAAATGAAAATACCTCGGGTTTCTTACGCAAACCTCGGTTTTTCTTTTTCAAACCCGTACTGAACCCGTATTTAACCCGTATTAACCCCGTATTTTACCCGTACTAACCCCGTATTTTAGTACTGGTTTGGAAAACCTCGGGTTTCTGCCAGAAACCTCGGGTTTTTCCACTGACCCTACGTTTTTTGCGGGTTTGGCTTCCTAAGGTATATATATACACATGTGTATTATTATGTGTGTGTGTGTGTGTTTCAATGTGTTGCATGCAGTTCTGCTTCCCCCCTCAACCCTCTTTCTTCCCCTTTTGCGTCAATAGGCCTTCACGTGCATCGATCCAAAGATGGCTTCCTGCGGCAGTTCGATGTCCATCACGCTGCTGTACTGGACCTCATCCTTGGCGCCGAGCACCGCGAGGCGCACATAAAAAGTGCCCTGGCCGCAAATCACGGCACCAACCGGCACCTTGGCAGAGGAATTTTGTGCGGAAATGGTCACCCAAAAACCGATGAGAGGTTGCTAAATATGGTACAATGGTAACAAAATGGAACAAATATGGCACAAAAAAAAGGAAACACGGTTTCAAAATTGATAACTTATCATCAATGTGACGATCAAAAATGGTGAAATCATGAGATCTGCACGACTTTCTGACAATTTCTCTTAGCTTATCACAAGTGTCAGTACTGGTATCGCACAATAAAAATCAGAACCTGTCCTGGTATCGCAAATCAGGCAACAAATGGCGCACTTTCGCCAGGAAAGAGGTCCAATGGCGCCCCAGCTTCCGGTCCATCCAGCTGACTCACGCTACAAACCTGTCGCGAGTCGTTCTCGAAAAAGTAAGGACAGTTGGCCTTCACATAGGGGCGCAGTTCCACCACCAAAAAGTCCGAGATGGGATCCTGACCGCTGAGCATCGCTGAGCCCTGCATCCCCTTTGGATTGAAACATGCGCATACAGGGCACGCTGGGTTAAAACCCAGCGGGGCCGTTGGTGGTCCTAGATTCATTGGGATTCTTGGGACGAAGAGAAAGCAGCTGTCCGACAAAAAACCGACAAACATTCCCTAGGCTTACAAGTAGATTTTATAGATTAAGTAATCGCCAGCCCACATGGGCCCACTATATCCCATTTCATCACTGATTTTTCCAGCTTCGAGTGGTCACCTAGAGTTCACCATAGTTCTAGGGGCCCATATCCACCATATCCCACCCTCCCATCAAACTACCCCAGTGATGAAGATTAAGTCCATGGATACGAATCTCTCTGAAAATGACATCTATATCTTGCAGGGAAAACCCCCTAAACTTACCTGTTTTTTAGGGAAAGCGATCATTCACCATCAAATTGTGTTTTTTCCCCCTAAACTGTCCGACAAACCCAATGATAATTTTATTATATATTATATATTATATATTATGTATTATTATTATTAATTATTATTATTATTCTATGGGTTTATGTAACCAACATCCATTTTTTCGCGCCCTTTTTGGGCGCGGCCAAAGCCCGCTCCTTTTTCACATCCACCATGGTGATTTCGAAAACGGAGGTCATGCCGCTGCCGCCGCTCTTCATGTGACGCAGAAAACCCCGATGCCCAGCCAGGTTTTTGGTCAGCATGATGGGAGCCTACAGCGGGTTTAACGGGCAACAACACCAAGATACACCAAGGACCTTGAAATTTAGGTCATGAATGATGTACACCATGAGGTTTCTTTGTATTAGTGAGGATTTGTTTTTGGCTTTTGAGACAGTTTTAATATTGACAGCAACTGAGGATTCTGAGGTCTACTGTGGAACATTAGGTGGTTGTTGTTCAGCTCCAACCATCAAATTCTGCACTCTATCTGACATGGGTTTCTCTGAACAGGGATTGACTGCTTGATCCTCATTGTTACCCTCTGGTAAACTAACGTAACAATGGAAAATCACCATTTTTAATGGGTAAATCCTCTATAAATGGTTATTTTCAATAGCTTTGTTAGTTTACCAGAGGGTACCCATTTCTAGGATTTTCTAGGTGCACTGCTTGATACTGTGTCACCAAGATCGACGCCGTGGCACCGACCAGTGGGCAACGGAACTGCCCGGAATGCAGCTGGCAATCTCCAGCGCCACTTGATCGGACACCTGGTTTTTCACACAGGGGATCAACATCCAGGGGATTCACTGGATTGATTTAAGGGAAAATCTACAGGAAACCATGGTTTTTACCATCAAATATAGGGCTTTCCTGTAAATTTTCCCATCATCCAATTCTATGAGGGATGGGGCCATGGGTTTCAAAGAGGCGGCTTCACTGCTTCACCATTACCCTCTGGTAAATTAACAGTTCAACCCTGAAAACAAGCCATTTTTTAGTGGAAACTAATCTGTCAACCCCTATCTGGCAGGGTCTATGTTAAATTACTGGAGAGTAACTTCTCCATATCATCAATCATCATCAATCATCAGCAAGGATTGTAATAATATATATATAACATATAATGATATATAATGATAATCACATATACTACTATAATCTACTATATAATAATATCTAATGGATTCTCATGGTGATAATCATCATCATCATCCATTTTCCCTCCCCATGGTATGTGGAAACGACCACTCCATGGATCTAGAATGAATGATGAAATGGTCACTGATTTACAATAAATGAATGATATTATAAACAAATGATCAAAGGATCTATAAATGAATGATAAACGAATGATCATTGAGGATCCATAATCTCCATACAATTTTTAAGCTGAATATACTCTTGACCCACAGTATATCACTGGACTATCAATGATATACTGGCATCACCCATCCAGAAGTTTGAGATCAGTGTGTTTGAGCCCCAGCTTGAGTCAATGACCCAATGAGTCAATAACATTCAATACCTCAATGACTATGATCATCTACCAATTTTTCATGGGATTAAAACTCAATCATTATCACCATCTACCAATTAAATGGATTTAAATTGGATGATACGATGCAAATTCCATGGAAAAACCCATGGATTTTTTCACAGCACCTTGGACTCACGCTGCAGGCATACGGAGCCCTCATGGGGTACCACCATCTCGGCAGAGCCCTTAATGCCGGAACGCACCAAGAGGGCATGACCCTGGCGCGGTGCTGAAATCCATGGGATTCCCGAAGCTGAAATGCGCGTTCGAAATGATGAATGTTGCATATCTATGTTTAGTTTAGGGTTTAGGGTAGAACCTAAAAAACAAAAAAATCGGGAATAGGAACATGTCGCTATTTTCAGGAGGCTGTCAGTATCGCTGGTGTCCTGAAAAAACCTTGACTGTATGGGTCAAATTTTGCGACATTTCGCGAATGTGTGTAATCTTTCGGATCATAAGATATCTAAGTCGATAGCATAATATTTCAAGATACTTGGGGATAATCAGCACTCTACAATTTTACTATCCCCATGCCCTTGACAGCCTTGACCCATACCCCACCTTGCAGTTTTTCAGCAAACAGTGCGGATGGATGTGTACCTTGGATTGTTTGGAGCTGCTTCATGGGCAAATCATAATCAAAACATGTCTCATATCTATATATAATCATTGATTCTGTATATATATATACTAAAATGATTTACTCTATAGAACTTCTTTCCCCAGTAGTTTCGCCAATTTTTCCTGCATGAACCATCCATTTATTAGTTTTTGCCACTGGGGAAATCACTGTATGATGTTGGAAAAGGCCTCCATATCACTTGTACAACAACTTACTTGGATGTTTGGTCAAAAAAACAACATTAAATCCTATTGAAACCAACATAAATAAATCCCATTAAATCCCATATATCAATCCCATTTTTTCGAACGCGATATGCAGTACAGCGAGTACTACACGTCAGCAGCAGCAAACCCAGGTGGTTGTCTATTTCATTTTGGGGGTTAAAAATTTGCATTGTTCTCGGTTTTCAGCTACAGGGAAAAGGAGATGAACAAATCGAGTTGTATTATACCATTGTTTCATGCTGGCAGCGGAGAATGTCTTGAGCTCGACAATGGCGAAATGGGTAAAGAATTGGTGGAGAAAAAATCCTAATACAGGAGGATTGATGTTACGTTGGAGACCATGTGCAGATTCAGCAAAAGCGATTTCTGGCCAATGAGCTCTGGGGGCGCCTCTTCTAAACGGAGAGGAAATAGTGCGTAGAGATAATGAGTTGTTAAAACACATGTGGAATTCAGGAGAGGCAGGGTGGCGGATAATGTGTCCAAGGTATGTATACCATAATGCGAGAATCGGAGAAGCAAATAGACGAGGGGATACATGAGGAGAGGACGGGGTATGCGAGTGATAGGAGAAATTCGTTGGAACAGGGTGAGTCAGAGGGTTGTAGACAGCGAATCCAACCCCTGCATATGGGTCATCTGCTGTGCCGGAAAGGTAAAAATGGGTATGTGAGAGTTTAACTATACCTGTATGTTGAGATTTGGTTTCTTGTAAACAGTATATGCCCACAATGAAGTAGCGCTTGAAATTGAGAACAATTTCCGACGCCAATGAAAGTTTCAATATTCCACGAATAGAGTTGAAGTATGCGTGAGGGAGTGGCAAAGTTATCAAGTCGAGCAGCAGGATCGTCAAGACGGTCTCGATCGTCATATGTGCGGAAAGAGTTTGCTCGAGAACTGGAAGTGTGTGAAAGAAAATGCTGAGGGTAATTACGCCGCTGAGAATTACTGCTAGCCAGCACCTTGTACGCGGGACTAGGTGGGATGGGCAAGGTGGAGCCCAACCACCTGTGTCTCTGAGCTAGCCTATTTTACATGTGGAGACATATTTTACATGTCTGGAGGCAATTCTGGTGAGGGATCTTAAGTTTTGGTGAGTTCTGTCCCGCGACGCACGGCAGGGTTTGTGACCACTTGTCTGAAGTTTAGGAGGGCAATTATGCTGATATGAGAAAAAATGACTCTTGGAGGGACCGTGGTCTCCCGGCAAGCCTCTGGCGACCCCTGCCAGCTTTAGCTGTTCATGATACTGCCTTTTGCCCCTTCGGTAAAACCAGAGTGAGGTATGGGAGAAACAGTATTTAATGTGGTGGACTAACATTCCATTAAACAACTTAATGGGTTTAGATAACAATTGCAATGGGGACAGAAGTGTTCTGGGTTACCATTATAAAGTGCATAAACTTATTGATAGGGAGAAAACTGATGCCAGTGAAGGATTGTATTTTTGATCTGTACGGGCTGGGCTGTTTGCTAGCAATGTGCAAAAAAACGAAATCTGTGATTTCGTCGTGCAAAATAAGGTTGCTTCCCAAGAGGGGGCGGCAGTAAGTAACGGCGAAACGCTGGAAAGTGGCAAGCTAAAGCTTGTGCCAAATGCCTATATCAATCCCATATACAGTAAATCCCGTATATAAATCCCATATAAATCCCCCTTGTTTTTGCCCGCGGAGGGAAAACCGCGCTAGCGTTTTTGACGTTTGTTGATATCTCTCATGTTCGCACATAGGGGGATGGGGGGGGACTAATAACGTTCTATTCATGAGCTTGCGGCAGCTTGCGTAACATCTGACACGCTCTTGATGATACGCTCTCAACCACTTTCATGTAATATCTGAGAGGCAAAATGAAGTTCGCAAGCGAAGGTGTCAATCCCTCATAAAACTTTTGTCGAAATGCAAAATACATGCGAATTCACAGGCGATACCAAAAAAACACCCGAAAATGAGATCCTAAAATCATGAAAAATAGTTGGCGCTGTGGTGAATGGTGATTTTCTCAACAAAACGCTCATTTCGTGAGTGCGAATATCCCCCCCGCCGGGATGTAAGGCAGTCCTTTAAGCTCCCAAGGCGCTTCCCGGCTTCCACGGGAGACCTTCGTCTGCACCAGGAACTCTTCACGCAGGACGCCGGCAAAGGCGCCGCCGGCGGGGGACCGTTCCACGCGCAGCGGGGGCGAATGTTCCTCCACCGTGCCCACTTCATAGCTGATCCTTGGCGCATTGGGAGATGGGAGGCTTGAGAACCAACAAATAACCATATGGAATATTATCATAGAATCATGTATATATATAATTATATATATATTATCATAATGGCATATGTTATTACCATAACTACGGTATAAAACTAAATTCTGGAATATTACCTTGGCTGGGCATTTTGATAGGAGATTTGGGTCAAAAAAGGGTGCCCCAGTCCAGTTGGTTCAGTTCACTCCAATAGCTATAGTATTCATAGTAGTTACTGGGGATGATCGCCATATGGGATACAAAAAAAAATGGTTGCAATCATAATGGGATATAACTGGAAGTTTCATGGGATGTAGTGGTTATAACCAACAGTCTGGGATACCCAACCAGAAAGAAAGGATAATTATGGAATACAACAACCTAGTAAACGATGATTTTTTTCGTGAAAACATGAAAAAAAACATGGTGATATAGCTAACCAACCATACATAATGGATTATATGATGGAGCATAATCGGATATAACTGGCAGTTGATATGAATTGATGGGATGCTATTGGTATTACCCTGAGGTAATTTCAAAGTTAGCATGGGGGAAAATCACCATGTGTTATCAGTATGTGGTATGTGATCACAAATCATCGAACTATATAGTATAGATAAATGGGCAATGTTCCATAGCTTAACCAAAAGGGTTACAGTATCTGATAGAATATAATTGATGGTATTGAAATGGGATGAGTACGTTAAATTCATATGAACACATTGGATACGTCACTTTTTTGGGGGGAATATCATGGGAGCCAAGGGACAAATCATGAGGAGATTCATGGTGAATATCCCACGATTCCTATTTAATTATATACGGCCAGCACTTGTGCTATGCCCCAAACTCATTTGGGATGACTGCCGAGAACCTCATTTTTGCTGACCCTTACAGTACTTTGTGGCCTTCCACTATGTTGAGATGGTTAAACTTCATGTCCCTCACGAGATCTCACGAGGCTTTGAGTGATTGTTGACCCTCTGCAGGGAATCGGCTCATTTTCTCTTGCTGTTTTCAACACTTTTTACATAAACACTAAAGAAAACCTACAAAAACCCTAGGAAAAACCCTAAATCATCCCTAAAGAAACCCTAAATGAACCCGAAAGAAACCCTGCAAAAACCATATGAAAGTGTATATCGTGAAGTACCTGTGGGGTGTAGCGCAGGTGCTGCAGGTATTATTGGTAAATATCCCATTATTCCCATAGGAATCTTCCTATTTCATGGTGATAAGAATGGGAATACCATGGGGATTTAATCATCCTGGGGACCCAACCCCACCCTCTCCACTTTCGGAGGTGGGGGGGTTGAATACACATTGAACAAAGACGGGAAAATGGGTGGAGATCTGGCTCTAAGATTCTCTAAGTATCCATTACATCATTACTTAAGTCATATCTGAAGTGGGCTTCCCCGATCTGAACGTCGCGTTTTTGGTGGCTTTTTGAGGTGCCCGCAACACATTTTCACAAAAGCTGTTGACCATCATTCCTTCCAACGTTCAACATTAATTCATAAATGAGAAAGGTGTTGATTTACTGTAAAGTGCTTCCAGCACGAATTTTTAATCATTCCAGATTCCAGTTCACTTTCGAACTCTCAAAGAACAAATATGACAGGTGATTGGACATGTCTCCTTGCTGTCCAACTAATAGCTCCTTATATAGCTGACCTTTAGATTATTACCTTAGTTTACCAGAGGGTACCAGCACCCCTCTGTCAAGAAGCTCTTGAGACCCCAAGCGCAAGCGCAACCGCAAGGGCCCCTCTGGTTGGAACCAGCAGAAACTCATCCGCTGTTCCGGTGCCAATTCGAAGGCCGGAGCTTTCTCACAATCCTGGCGTTTTTCGTCACGCTGGCCGAGGAAAGAGGGAAGACAAAAACAATAAAAACAAATACAAGTGTTCCCTTGCAAAGTCGATTCCTGGAAAATTAATGGACGAAACGAATAAATCCCCCAAGAAACAAACATCAAATTCTATCATATCCTATCCAATGTGGATTCAGTTTTCCAGAGTATGTGTCTGTGGCTGCAGCTACAGACGCCAATGATCAACCAAAATATGTCTGCCACCTAGATCCATATAGTAGCACACCCCGTGATAAAACCCATCAACTGTTGTTTATGTTTAATGGTTCATAGAATTTCAATGAATTTCATAGATCATAACCTGATCTTTCAACATATCTTTTCCACAATGGGTACCTTGGGTACCCTGGCCCTCCCATCATCCCCATAGCCTGTCGCAATCCCAAGGAATGCCCTGTGCGGTTCAGGATGCGAAACTGGGGCCGCAAGGGTTCGGAGAAGCGAACCACCTGAGCCACGGCACGGGAACTTCCCCGAAAGATGGTGGAGCTACCTCTGTCCATCCCCCCCCACCCTCCACCACCACGACCCTGACGCCCTTGTCTCCAGGTCCTCAGTGTCCTCTCCCTCCACTCTCTCCACCCCCCCAAGCATTCAAAGATCCGGCTTCGCATTTCCGTGTTCCTTTTTACGCACATCCCTATTGTTATCTGGCCAAAGTCTACTACTGGTCCCACTCTCCACTTTTTGCGTCGCCCCGAAAGATGGTGGAGAAAGATGGGGATCAGCATGGCTCAATAAAGCCCTTACGGGCAGTACGTTGTTCTTCAAATTCAAAGACAAACTAGTTCTTCACAATTAGAATCAACCCATATGCTCCATGTATAGAATACTGACCAACATTTGCCCTAAAAATCACACAGTTTTGTAGCACCATGGAGCATATGGGTAATGGATGTTCACCCCAATCAATGAACTTTGTCAATCAAGTCTTCTGTTCATGATACGGTCAGGAACAAGGGAAGGTGCACGCCGAATAAAATTCAATGCTACTTCACTTGTCTGTTTTTTTTTTTCTGGGGTGTGCTTCCTCTCTATATATATATAATAATATATTTACACTTACTGAGTATATATCTATATATATATGTTTAATATTCTATAATGTATGTGTATGTAAATGTATATATATATTATGTATGTATGATGTAACCATATATATATATACCACTCTATCTACAACTCTATCTACATTTCTTTACCACCACTAGGGTCCGTGACTTCCACCTTTAACCGGCCATGGCACTACCGAGCTTTGCTCCACCAGGGTGTCCACCGCCGTCAGACACCAGGCGTGTCCGATGCCCGTGGCCGGCTGCGGTGGACCCAGCAGTGGCTCAGGGCGCGCCAGGAGCGCGCCACGCTCCAGCGCAGCGGCGTCCCAGTGCGACAGGTCGCCTTAAAGGATGGATGGATGTGTTTCCATAACTATGGAAAATCACCATTTTTAATGGGAAAATCCACTATAAATGGCCATTTTCCATAAATCTGGGCAAATTATAATATTTCACTAATCTGAATTAAGCCCATTTGGGGATGATTTCCCTTACTAACCATGATTTCCAGTGAGGGAGAACAGTGAGGTCGTTATAATTTACCCAGATAAATGGGATCCCAATGGTTGGTTTATGGTTGGTTTATTTCATGGAAAATCCGAAAAATGGAGGCAAGCTCCATATTAGTATATGTAATATTATATGTTTGTGTGTCTGTGTATACGTGTATATGCGTGGTAATGATTTTGAGACCAAGTGTCCCCACCAAACAAAAAATGGAGGAGGAGGGAGAGATGGGGAGGAGCGCCGAAAGATGATGAGATGATGCTATCATATGATGAGATCATGAAAAAGTGCAGCTGATATCAAGACATCACTCCAGCCCAGTAACTCAAGCAAAGCAGTTTATTGCACGCACTTTAGACTGGCAAGAATCTTGCTCAATTTTTGGGTCATTTTGGACCACGCTAATTTTTCCCTGGCAACCTGAGGTTGCTGAGCGTGAACAAAATCCTCAGGATCCCCATATTTCTTCAGTGGCCAAGTGACATAAGTGCATGAGCTGGACACTCCTCCTGCCAGGCAGCTGGGGATCACCCAAAATTCATCCCAAGGTGCTTCAGTGACATGATGATCTTTTTTTCCAAGAAAGAACAGCAGAACAGCAGTCAACAATTTGGGTTTCTCTGAAAATAGGATATAAACCCAGTAAATAATTGTATATAGCCATTTAATAGGGATAATTTGATAATTGATGATTGACTATTGGATTTTGGGGTATCCTATTTCCAGACAAACCCATTTGGGATACCGATGGGATACCGCAAAATTATCTAACAATGCTGTTGTAGTGAACATGAGGTTCCTATAACATCCTATAAGAATGCGATTTCGGTTTTCACCATTTTGAATCTGAGAATGTCTGAGACACCCCCCACTTGTATACAGTCACCCATGAAATTCTCCTGCTGCTTTCGGCCAAAACAAAAGGCGCCGAGAAGAACTCCTGCTGCTCCAAGTCAGCAGCCTCGAGATCCAACTCTTCTCCTCAGTTGGAAGGCCCGTCACCGACACAGGGGGACCGATCCCCGAACGCGTTTTACGGGATTTTTTTGGGTCGTTTCTTCAGTTCGTTTTACTATTATACACTTGCAATACAATTAGTTGGTATGTAGGCAGTCTTCAACACCAATTGACGGAAATGGGGTTCCGGGTGATACATGTTTACACTAGCTTGGCTGAGCGTTTGGAGATGGCAATGGGCAGATTCATGATCTGGCGTTTGAAATCGGGGAAATGTCTCCGGCAAATGAATCTGGAGTTCCTGAAACTGAGGACCCAATTTTGAAACATCGCGAAAAATGAACTGGGCTTAATTTTATTTTGAATCATCTTGGCATTGGATCATCTGAATTTCCGCGTCACGTTTCCAGCATCTGCCCATGTCACTGCCCGTCGTTTGGGCGACAGCGGTGACTGTCGCCCTTGCGAAAGGGTGCTGACGCGTTGGCTCCTGACAAACATCTGACATAGCAAGGGGAGAAAATCCCGGTGGGGTACGCGTCAAGGTCAGGGCACCCTCGAGTAAACTAACACATACTATAGAAATTTACCTAAACATCTCGATGATTTACCTATTCAGCATGACCATTTTCCAAAAGTGTGTTAGATGATCAGAAGGTAAAATCACTAATATCCCATTAATTCATATCAATTTCAGTTATATCCCATTATTATCCATTATTTATTGTTGGTATAAGTTATATCCCCAACAAAATGGATGAGTCATATAAAACAAATCATGACCATGAATCATCTGTGGTCCCCGGAGTCCAATTTGTTTCACCGGTCATAGCCATTTGTAGATGATTTACCCCTTAAAACTTTTTTGTTCAGCTAGTAATGTTGAACTGCAGGAGAGTAAATATATGATAAATATGTAAAGATATGTAAATATGACATGGATTCATGAAACCATTGAACATCATTGAACGACATTGTTCATAGCTTGTTCACAGGTCACACGAGTTGGCAAAGATGTATACCCCGGTGGGACACCCAGTTTCTTGGCGGAGTTGCTTTACAACTCCAATAACCTGGGTGTATGGGATATCCATAGCTAATGGAGATCATAAACCAATATATATATATAACAATTTATAAGTGGGGGAGTATCACCCTGTAGCAAGAAAAGTCCATAATCTACGGCTTCCATGCAAGACTTTATGTTGTACGTGTTCATCCCTTGATCTTTTCAGGTCTACATTTTCGTTACAAATCACTAATCAACAATGCCAATCTTAGATACCCTGCGTTTTTTTCATTAACTTCTTACTTACCACATATTGATATAATATGTATGGGTTTGATTGTTTTTTTTAGTGCCAAAATCAGGAAGTAGTAGAGGGGGGTATGATTTGGAGGTATGATTCGAGGTGCCTCTACTTCTGTTCACTTTAAAACTTTGAACCCACCAAAAAAATACATACCCATATATATATGTGTATCATGATGTACATAATATATATATACATACATATGCATATACTGTGTACATATAATTACAAATATATATATAAATACACGTGTGTGTTGTGTATATATATATATACACACCAAAATATGTATATATATATATTCATTTATATATATATATATGTATATGATTATATATGTACAGCCCAAGACCCAGGCTTCCCCACTCTTCCACAACGGTGCCTCCTGGCAGCCTCGATGGGTGCCGTACCATTTGCGATGCCGGTGATGGCAATTTGAAGATTCGCTCCTTGGGGATCGAAGGATGCCCACGCGCCGGCCAGGAGCCTTCACGGAGATGTCACGGAGGCTGGAGGTGAATCGGGATTGGGATGAAACATATGAGAGGTACCCTCTGGTAATTTAACGTAGCTATTGAAAATGGCTATTTATAGTGGATTTTCCCTTTAAAAATGGTGATTTTCCATAGTTATGTTAGTTTACCAGAGGGTAAAATATGGTAAAATCATCAAATTTGAGTTCTATGATTCTATGATCCAAGATTTTGATAGATTTTGGAGTTTGAAACCAGGTTAGCCCCAGGTAAAAACTCCCGCATCATTGAATGATTGTCCAATTAAAACATTGCCAAATTATCCTTGTCAGTTTTTTGCTGTTGTGGATCCGTTTGCTTAAGGGGCAAAACAAAGACATCCGCTCTGGTAGTCAAACATGGCTTGCTGGATAATTCACGATAATTCCATTGATAGAGGATTTTCAATTGCCACGTTTGATTGTCAGAGGGCACAAGTATTATATAATAGCACAATAGTGAATATGTAAATATTAATTCTCCATACTTGGCCCAGGGGAATGGGAAAATACATTGGTTTCTCCATACACAAAAGCCAACCTTTTCACAGGTTAAATATTTCCAAAAAAATGTTGTTTCATATCCCATCCTATCTTGCTGTGTGATAATTCCCTTATGAATGATTCCAAATGATATGATATTCAGCCCTTTCCAAACACAAACACCATATAAAAATGCCAAACTTCAGACAATCACTTTACCATACATCAACATCGGATAACATCGGGGGGTCCTGAAATTGACGACCCAATGGTTCGGGGAACATCCTTTAATATCCATGGATATCCATGGATAACGATTCAATCAACCCCTCCAGGACTCGGTGATCAATGGTGATCAAGGTACTCCAGCGGCGCCAAACATGCATCCTTCTCGAGACAGAACAGTACGTGCTCCTGCAAAAGGCTCCAAATTCTTAGAACAACTGGAAAAAATCGGAGAAAACAACTGAAAATTAGAATCTGGACAAACAAATCCAGATCAACAACAGGAAATATGAATTTGGGATGGACAGATTTGCCCAGAATCCTGGAAAGTAGCTGGGACAGAATCCGCTCCACCATTCCCATGCCAATGGTTTCAACATGTTCCAACTCATTCCAAAAATATGAAGCTGTCAAGATCGTGATCCCAGATCCGAAGACAACAAGTCAAATTCAATATCACCACTATACAGCTTTCCCATTGCTTCGTGGATTTCCATGGATTTTCCATCCCTCCTTGTGGTTCAGGAGGGTATACCTCCTCACCACTTCAACCAAGAGCGTGCGGTAGAACGGCAGAGGCGCAGGACGCACGGTGAACCCGAAACAGCGCTGCACCGGGTTGAAGGGCGTTCGTGGGGCTGTTGCTGCGCCGACCTGGGAGGGGGATGGGTCGATGACCCATGAACCCTCTCATTCTGTCATGTTTTTTTTTTTTTTAAAAAAAAAACTTTATACGTATGTAAACGGTATGTATACATAGGTACTATAGTATAGTAAGATATGTTTTATTGTACAGTCTTTGATTTAATTGTATGTTAATCGTATGGTATGTTAATCGTATGTGATTATATTTTGAAGCAGAATACCAGGAGACGCCCGAGAGGTGCTAAATTGGAGGACCCTAAGGCCCGAATTAGTGATTTTGGTGTCCCCCATTCTAGGACACCCTCAATCACTAATCAATTAGTTATTTTTTGAGGTCCCCCATTTTAAAACTAATTTGTGATAGGTGGTCTTCAAATGAAGATCCATGTCCTGGTTGACACTGCTCAGTGGTATCTCAGCTCTGCACTGTTGGTTGATTGATCCTGCGTATGCAGCCAGCATCGAAGAGTCAGACTGCGACTGCAATCATCCCAAACTATCCCGGGTGGGGGTGATATATTGTATATAAATATATACATATGTCATCATATGTCCCAAACTATCCCGGGTGGGGGTGATATATTGTATATATAAATATATACATATGTCCCAAACTATCCCGGGTGGGGGTGATATATTGTATATAAATATATACATATGTTATGTTACATATGTATACGTGTATATACATACTTGAGAGGGGGAACACGAAAGGTAGGTAAGCAAGAAAGGAACCGAAGAAAAAATGAAGGGGAGAGGGGAGGGAAAAATACATAAAGTGGAGTCTGGTAAAAGCGACGCGGCCATTTTCTTTCCAAAAATATGAAGGGGAGTCTGGTAAAAGCGACTGAAAGGCTTCGGCGATGTGGTTGGGGTTGGTGGTGGTTGTGGTGTTGGTGGTGTTGGTGGTGCTGGTGGTGTTGGTGTTGTTGGTGTTGTTGGTATTGGTGTTGTTGGTGTTGTTGGCGGTGGTAGTGTTTCTTGTGTTGTTAGTGTTGTTAGTGTTGTTAGTGTTGTTGGTGTGGTTGGGTTTGTTGTTCGTGAGTTGTTGGTGTTTTTACTTTGTTCCTTATTCTTTTTTTTTTTTTTTTTTTTTTTCTTTTTTTGTTTGCTGTGTTTGTTGCTTCTGCAGGCTTGTTGATGGGTGTTTGTTGTTGTTGTTGTTGATTGAATGAATGTTTGAATGTTGTTGTGTGTTGTTGTGTGTTGTTGTGTGTTGTTGGGTGTTGTTGTGTGTTGTTGTGTGTTGTTGTGTTGTTGTTGTGTTGTTGTTGTGTGTTGTTGTGTGTTGTTGTGTGTTGTTGTGTGTTGTTGTGTGTTGTTGTGTGTTGTTGTGTGTTGTTGTGTGTTGTTGTGTGTTGTTGTGTGTTGTTGTGTTGTTGTGTGTTGTTGTGTGTTGTTGTGTGTTGTTGTGTGTGTTGTGGTGTGTTGTGGTGTGTTGTGGTGTGTTGTTGTGTGTTGTTGTGTGTTGTTTGTGTTGTTGTGTGTGTTGTTGTGTGTTGTTGTGTGTTGTTGTGTGTTGTTGTGTGTTGTTGTGTGTTGTTGTGTGTTGTTGTGTGTTGTTGTGTGTTGTTGTGTGTTGGTGTGTGTTGTTGTGTGTTGTTGTGTGTTGTTGTGTGTTGTTGTGTGTTGTTGTGTGTTGTTGTGTGTGGTTGTGTGTTGTTGTGTGTTGTTGTGTGTTGTTGTGTGTGTTGTGTGTGTTGTGTGTGTTGTGTGTGTGTGTGTTGTGTGTTTTGTGTGTTGTGTGTTGTGCGTTGTGCGTTGTGCGTTGTGCATTGTGCGTTGTGCGTTGTGCATTGTGCGTTGTGTGTTGGTGTTGTTGTTGTTGTTGTTGCTGTTGTTGTTGTTGTCGTCGTTGTTGTTGTTGCTGTTGCTGTTGGTGTTGTTGTTGGTGTTGGTGTTACCCCTGCAGCGTTTTTGCTCGGTTCCGTAGTGGCCGAAAATCGTCAAATCGGTGGTGTTTTCGCGTGTTTTTGCAACTCTCAGAGCAAAAAAACACCGTAAATACCGATGTTTTTGGCGGGTCGGAAGCCCAAAACCACGGTATTTACGATGTTTTTTGCCTCTGGTAGTAAAAAGCACGGTATTTACAGTGTTTTTTGGCCAGCACCTAGCAAAAACACTGGTATTTACGGAGGTTTCACCATGTAGCAAAATGTGGTTTCTTGATCCGAAAAGAACAAAAATACTGTAAATTACAGTATTTTGAGTCTGCTCTTAGGGTGCGTGGGAGGTGTGGAGGGGGGGGAGGGGGGGGGTGAAGAGGGGCCCTAGCGTCTACTTCAAGATCAGCTAAGGCGTCTTCCCCAATGACAGCACTCTTTTACTCAGCCTGTTGCCGGTCTGTGCTTGTCTACAGGGTTACTCTATATACCTCTTTCTTGAGCCTTGAAGGCGCATATAAATGTGCTCAATACTCATGCATGTACCTATGTAGGTATTAGGTCGAAACAAAAACACAGGCACAAATTCAAAAGCAATGAGTAGAGCACTACGCCTTGCCGTACCCAATTGGTATTAAGAGTATCTTCCTGACTTCTCTACACAATGGCAAATAGCAAAAGAAACCGGAGTTACGCAGTGGCTTCGAATTGAAAAACACGTGAAAGCAGCGAATGTCCTAAGGACATGTCGAAAAAGAACAGCGGATTCGCTAATTTTTCCAGTAGCGACCAATGGTGCTTCGCGCACGGTCTCTCCACAGGCAAAATGCCTCGCTCTACCGGTGAAAGTTCGAATTGAAAAGTTCGAATTGAAAAGTTCGGGTTCGCAAGATTCAGAAATTCAGGTCATACGAAAACAATTGACCAAATCACGAAATAAACGGAAATAGCGGATCTCCAAAGTTGCTCATTCAAGCAAACAATGGACTGAAATCGAAGTTGGTAAATTTTTGAAGTTCGCTCCATTCGGAGTGGTCTGCTCGCCGGATGATTCATGGAGATAAATGTATATAGTATCTCTATTTACAAGAGTCTCTATTTTACATTAAATTGAAGTTCAGACACTTGTGGCATTATCTCTATCTAAAAGAGTATATGCCATCTTTGTGAAATAAGTTGAACGCACAGAAAAACTGTACACGGCTTCTCATGCTGTGTTATCTTCAATTAAAGAAGTGTACACTCACTCATCGCCACTCACTTGATCTCCATGGTCTGGACGCTGAAGAGGAGGATCCACCCCACTCTGTGTTGCCCTGATACGTCGATGCTTGATCTTCATATGCCTTTCTCTTTTTCTCCTTCTGTCTTTCCTTTCTTGAATCAGCATACTGCTTCTTCTTGTAGGCCTGTTTGTAATGATGTCGTTCATTCCATGACATATCAGAAGGATCAAGATGGACAAGAATTGGATTATGAGCATCGCGATCATTTGGAGCAACCATGAAGATGTTGTGATCACCATGTAAGCAAGTTTCATTTACCTTGAAGTAAAATTCACCCACATAGTTCATGTGATCTTCATCCTCAAAGTCTTCTGGATGTTCCTCACACATCAAACGTGAATGACCCCACTCAACAACTGTTAACATACAACAATCACCTTTACCATTTGTCTTGTTCATGAGCTCGTCGGTGTATGTTGCTGTTGTAATGCCATCCAAGTGCGTTGCAAGAAAATCCAAGTCACGATAACTGCAAGAAATGAAATGCTTGACCCTGATTGGAGGGCAAGTTGGATCAAAATTCTTGCGCATGGCTTGTGTTGCAACACCTACCATTCTGTTAATCCAGAATTGGATAAGGCTGTGTTGATATGTAGGGACACCTGGAGATTTTGGTGTGCTGTAATAGCATGCCTTGTTCCCATCACCTGCGATGAAGTCAACTTGATATCTGGCACACTCAAAAGCCATAACAGCTAAGCACTCACCAACAATCCCAGCAGAGTCTGATGCATACTTCTGTCCGACGTGATAAAAGCACACACGTGTCATTCTCATCCTAGCTCTTGTCAAGTCAACAATCTCATCTGTATCTCGATCCTTTGTCTTTCCCCAAGATACTTCAAAGATTGCCCATGAGACTTGTCGAACTCGTGTGTCGTTGTCATCTGTGTGATATCCAGCAATTTGCTTGATATAGCCATCCTTTCCAAGGCGAGCGGCCACCATCAAGTCATGATAGTCATTGAAGCAAGTTTTGAAGTCAACCTCGTTGAGTCTTTCTCTGTGAGGATACAACGAACCAGCCTCGCAATTCATGAAAAGATGTCCTCCAAAGTTCTTGATGACATTGATGAAGTAATTGTTGAACTGTGATTTGGTTTCATCAAATTTTTCATGATCCTCATCGATAGTGTAGTCAATGTGTGGAATGAATTGTTGAAATCTTTCTGGAACCGGGCATTTTTCAAATCTGTTTCTGCACCAGTTTCCCAAATTCCAAAACATTGCTGGTATCTGTGGAGAGGATCTGTATGGAAATTCAGCATCCTTGTACGTTGGGTCTGATAGGCCTCCACCTAAATACCTGTAAGCCAAGCTATGCAAGATCATACAGTAAGGCAAGACCTTGTGTTCCTCAACGTAATCTTGGAGTACCTTTGTGAGATTTCCAAAACCGTCATCAATCCTCTGTTCTGCTTCTTTTGAGGATCTTTCTGCTTTGTCTTGATGAAGAGGATGCATCCTTGGATCACTACAACCATATTCAATGCGCTGATTAAGTTCTTGTAATTCTAGTTGTGGATCCTGATTCTTGTGTCTGGCAATGTACTCAACCATCAACTGGTCATCTGTAAGATGGTACCAAAAATCATGATGTGGAGACATGGTCTTCCTGTACTTAACATGCCAAAACATATGTCGATGCTTCGAAGACGCTGGATAACCTTTGTTGTAAAATCCTGCCCATTCACCATGGTAACCATCTGAAAAACAATCCTTCAATTTTCGAAAAACTGAATCATCTTCGTTTCCAGTGATATCTTGACCATAGTAAAGTCGAACTGCAGGTTTCACTTCAGGAGCTGTCTCATCATCTTGAATGTCTGTTTTCTTCTCCCCTGATTCCTCCTTTTCTGAGGAGCGTTCAGGTGGAGCTGATTCCTCTTCCTCTGAAGAGCCTTCAGCTGGGACATGTGGCTCCTGTGTGTCTTTTTCTTCTTCTTCTTCTTCTTCGACAGCAATCTCCTCATCTTCATCCTCTTCTTTCTCTTCTTCCTCTTGTCGTTCTTCTGGTTTGACAAAACTTTCCTTGATCTTTCGTTGAACATTCTGATTGCACATACTGATCCACTTCAATGTACACTCAACCAATTTGTCATCATCAGTTTCCAAAATGATATGTTTGTCCTCAATGTTCAAACTTTCAATGGTATGCTTGTACTCAGGATCACCTGCGCCTGGTCCTTGAAGATCTGGAAGTGGAGTGTCTGGATCATCGTCCACCATCTGAGGATCCTCTGCTCCAAAGAAATTTTCTGCGCCAAGGTGTTC